GCGGCGATTAGCTAGCGTTAAGAAGGGGTAGAGTAGAATAATGCTCTTGGCTAAGCTAATGCGCGATTAGATCGCCAGCCTTAAGAGGGCTAACGAGGCAGCAACAAGCGTAGGCAGCGTAAAAGGAAGCGGATATAGAAGCATGGAGTGCTAACAAAGGGAGCTAGAGAGGATCTACTTGCTTAGCGTGAGGCTAATCAGCAGATTGCTTATGAAGAGCGTTAGGGAGGAGAGCGATCAGGTGTCAGCCGCCAGGCTTTGGCGCGCTGCAGTAGGTGTAGAGAAACTGGCCACAACTCGCGTACGTGCAAGAAAGATACTCTAGGTACTGCTTAATCTATTATATTAATATACAGTAAAACAACTATATTGTGGTGGAACTACAGGCTTATAGAGGTGCGCAGGTTTAGTGGGGTGCGGCGCTCGCTTGTACGCGGCGCTCGCTTGTAAAACACGTTATCTTTTGTTTTTTTGGGCTCGCCGTTGCCGCCGTTGCCACCTCCACCTCCGAACCTCCACTAGCACGGACCTATACAGACATGTGGGGAAAAGACTGCTCAACCACCTTTCTTACTTTTTTCTTGGTTTGGCTAGTCATGGGCCTTTGAAATCCTGCGTGTGCATGTGCGTATGCCCTCCTCCCTCCATCTCGTATCTCCAGGCGGGCCAAGCCAGCCTTTTTCCCTTGCTCTCCTTCCCTCGACACCCCAACCACCAACCCTCCATCTACCACCACCACCACCATCATCATCATGGCTGCAGCCCTGCACCAGAACGGCAGCGCCTCAACATGTCTAGAGCAGCCCATCGAGCTCCAAGACGTCTCTGGTTTCCTCGCAAAGCCCCAAGATGCCAAAATAGCTGCACAGTCGCAGCAAGCGACTGCCAGTGGCGCTGGCCTGCGACTATCAGACGCAAAGGGTCTCTACGACACCAGCGACCCCGTCGAGAACCTGCCCTCACCCACAACACAAGCTGCCGACAAGCTCGAACAATGGAATCATCCCCGCTCAAACTTTTTTCGCACCGCCGCCGCTTTCTGGAGCTTTGTCGTCATGGGGAGCAACGACGCTGCGTATGGCGCCTTGATCCCTTATGTATGTTTGCATGTTTCATTTTTTTTCCCTTTGGCATGGCTTGATTTGTGAATTGACTTTTTTTTCACAAAAAAGAAAAGACCAAATACTCGCACAGACATCCGAAACGGAAATGGAAATTAAAAACTGGAATTGGAAAACGTATGCTAATGTTTCCTTTGGCGAGGGTCATAGTTACAAGATTACTACCATTTGACTTTTGTCGTCATTTCCCTCGTCTTCTTGTCCCCGCTCGTGGGCTACACGGCATCGGCCCTGCTCAACAATGCTATTCATCTCAAGTTTGGCCAGCGAGGCGTGGCCATTCTCGCGCCCAGCTGTCATCTCATCGCGTACATCGTCATTGCTGTACACCCGCCGTATCCTGTCCTAGTCGTCATTTTCATGCTAGCAGGGTTTGGCAATGGTCTGGCTGACGCCGCGTGGAGTACGTACTTGAATGACAAAAAACGCATATCAATGATGAAACAATTAGGAACTGACGATGCGCAGATGCTTGGATCGGTAACATGGCAAATCCGAATGAGGTTCTGGGCTTCTTGCATGCTTTCTACGGTCTTGGCGCCGTGCTGTCGCCGTTGATTGCAACCACCATGATTACAAAGGGAAGCAAGCTGCCATGGTACACCTTCTACTATGTTATGGTATGTCATGCTCGTCAATGGACATGTTTGCCACCCATCTCACATGATGTCAGATCGCCATGGCCGCCCTTGAACTCGGCACCTCGGCAACCGCCTTCTGGCGCGAAACAGGTGCCAAGTTCCGTGCTGCCAATCCCCGCACCGGCAACACAAAAGACACCCGCATGAAAGAGGCTCTAATACGTCTGCCTCAGGCTAGAGTCACGTGGCTCTGTGCCCTCTTCCTACTTGGCTACGTGGGCATCGAAGTCGCCCTCGGTGGCTGGATCGTCAAGTTTATGCTGGAAGTGCGTGATGGCGAGGACTTTGCCAGCGGCATGACTGCCACGGGGTTTTGGATGGGCATTACGGTTGGAAGGATGGTGCTGGGTTTTGTGACGCCCAGACTGGGTGAGAAACTGGCCATTGCTGTGAGTTTTGTTCTGTCTCTTTTTATTCGTTGTTTAGCATCCAAGGCTAACAAATTTTTCTAGATTTACCTTCCTATCACTATGGCTCTTGAGCTCATCTTCTGGCTTGTGCCTCAGTTCTACGTCTCGGCTGTGGCAGTAAGCCTACAGGGCTTCTTCCTTGGTCCCCTTTTCCCTGCCGCCATTGTCGCTGCCACCAAGCTGCTTCCACGCCATCTGCACGTCGGTGCCATTGGCTTCGCCGCTGCATTTGGTGGGAGCGGCGCGGCGATTTTCCCATTTGTAGTCGGTGCTATTGCCCAGGCAAAAGGTGTACAGGTGTTGCAGCCCATTATCCTGGCGCTCCTAGGTGTCATTCTTGCGCTGTGGCTGTGTTTGCCCAGGATCCATAAGAAGCAGGAGTGAGACTAGATATACATCTACGCACGTGGAGGAAAGGAACAGTATGGGATGTGTAAAAGCCTTTAAAAATTGACATATCCAACACACCGAGTTGCTAGTTTGCATATTAGTAGCGCTGCTGCATCACCCAACATGAACATGTACCTCTCTAATCACCAAAAATTCCCTCTATTCCCCAACATTACCGTTTCCAGCAGTCTTCCATGCCATACCACACCCTTTTCACTCCATCACCCCTCAATAGCACCGCTACAAACACGCATTCTTCCCCTCAAGCCCCATCCATGCATCTCACGCAAACGAAGACGGCAATGCCGAAGAAGAAGGCAACGGAAGCGACAGAGAGGGAAACAACGGAATCGGGCGCAGCGGCGGCAAACACAGCATGGGTTCCAGACGCGGCGCACGTGGTACATGTGGCTCGGCTGCTGACGCTGGTGGCACACGCATGTAAACCATTTTTTCGCCCTGCGGTATCCGTGTGTCTGTGATTGCTTGGGGTTCTGCGTCCAAAGCGGGATTAGCATGTACATTTCTCTTCTTTTCTTCTTTTTTCTTTTTCTGTGGACTTTGGGTGGAGTAGATACTATGTAATAGGGAGAGCGGATAGAAAATATTGCTTGAGAACATACCTTCTTGTGCCGAGATGAACTCCCTGTATTCCAGTCGTATGAGCATGATGATAGCTACACAGAGGACTACAAGCAGGATGTTGATAAGAACAAAGTCGGGGTCCGTGGGCGTTGCTTGGTGCCGAAAGTACTGCATCGTGTGCTGGGATGGTGGTGGCATCGTTATTTCTTCTTCTTCTTCTTCTTCTTCTTGTTTGACTTGGACTTTGGAGTTTGGAGGGGAGTCTTCCGTTTGCTTGCGTATTCTTTTCCAAGTTTAGTGTGTGTGTGTGTGTGTGTGTGTAAGTTAAAAATGGATTATAGCATTTGAGAGAAGAAGAGAAATGTTTTTGTCTTCTTATAAGTTTTTTTTTGATGTCGAGCTCCTTGGATGAATACAAAAGTGGGATTTTTGAGTGCTACATGAAAAATACGGGGTTTGTACCATGGTTAGGCATAGACGCACTACCATTGCTTATCAAGAACTTACTTCCGCGTTCAATAGCAATTTGGGGGTTTCTCACTCTAGTAGTTCTTGTGGGTCGTGATAGCCCTTTTTTGGTACTACATTTTATTTCTCTTTCTTGAGGCTTTGTTTCGCACTGGTATAGCTTCACCGTACGAGTTTCGTTCAACCTGTAAGATTCTTTGGATATCGTTGGCCTACGTTGTGGAGCAAGGTTCCATAGATGTGCGCGATGCGATCTACCAATCAAAAACGAGTGATTCCAAACATGTCGAGGGGATATTAAATGGAAATTCATCACGTCTCGTTGGCTGTAAGAATGTCACGCTGTGATTCTGCTTCCAATTACCCAGTCTCTTGTTCTAACTGCCCACTTCTGTGAAGAGATTACACGCTCTTCTAGAATTGAAGACTATTACGGAGCCACCTTCTCCTTCTCCTCATCACCTCCGACCACTTTTTCTGCCTCCGCTAGTCCCTTTGCATTCTCCTGCAAAATCTGCATTCCCGCACCAGCCGCCGCCTTCAAGCCCTCCGCCATGGCAATCGCAACCTGCTTCATGGCAACCATGGTATCGCCGGCGGCAAACACGCCCCTTACGCTCGTTTCATTGAACATGGGACTGGCAATCTTGACATGTCCACCCATTGCCGGGTCGACCGTCTCCACACCAAGCTGCTCAATGAGATGCTGCGCGCGATTCACAGTCGCAGGCTTGTGCACGATGAAGCCGAGCGTAACAGGTTCGCCTGTTTCAAAGTGCACCGTCACGCCGTCCGTGTGGCTCGGTCCATTGTTGACCAAACGCACTATGTTTCGCTCGTCAAGGGTGGCCCCGAGCCCTCTTGCAAGTTTGAGTGCGTCGTGGATCGCTGCATCTTGCTTTGTAGGCCCGTTGTTCAAGATGGTTATGGAGCTGGGGTCAAGAGGAAGGGCCATCTGCACCATGTGTGCGTACATGGGGCTGTTAAAGTCTAGGATCCCGACGGCGCTTCCGCGCTGCTCGTAGCCGTCGCAGGCAAGACACTGGTAGATGTGTGAAGGCCAGTTTTCTTTGTAGCCGGGTAAGTCCGGGAGAATGTCTCTGGAGCCAGTCGCTAGGATGAGTTTCTTCCCTTTGTATGAGTGGCCTTCGCTATCGGTGATTTGAAACCCATCGTACGGCACTTTCTCCTGTGGCAGGACCAGCTGCTTCTTCGTAGCGTGGGTGATGGTCGCCTGTTGGAACCAGACGCTGTCGTACTGAGACTCGATTTGCTCGCGGGCTATGCGTCCGAATTCTCGGGGGTTGAAGTGGTCGCGAGACGCTACTGTATGCATGTGGGTAACCCCTTCATTTCGGTATTGTTGAGAGTCGAAAACTAGAGCTGTAGTGCGTGTTCGTGCGCAAGTAAGTGCTGCGTTTAGGCCAGCTGGACCGGAGCCAATGATGAGGATATCAAACATCTGGGGTCGACTTCGAATGGTCATTTTGGTAAGACTCTGGTTCAAAATTCTAGCAGTAGTCTGCATTCGAGGTGCTGGTGTTGAGATAGATTTGATTCTAACAAAAATACTGGAAATGGGTTGCCGCCATCGTCTGCTGCATCCTACGGCAACTTATACTGACAGCGGCGACAACACTCATCATCAATGTTCGATGAAAACCTATCACGAAGTGAGCAGTCAACGTATGTAGACTCAGTACATAAGCCCTAGTTTTCTGACGGTAAGCCGCCACTCAGTATAGTGTGTGGAGGATAATGTCTCCGACTGTGAACTCATCCACATAGGCTGGGAAAATGTCTCCGAGGAAGTCTCCGCAGCTGAATTCCATGTATGTCTCTAAGTACACCGAATAGAACGTATTGATGACGTGTAGATAGCTGACTTTGGATCTTTTCCTGTTGATGCCTTACTCAATTTCTATATATGTCGGTGTAGGGTTGCTATGGCTTCTGAGCGGCTACCTGCGTCGAGATCGCCCCAAGAGGTAAGAGCACCAATTCGAAACGCGGAAAATCGTCAATACTTGCTTGACGTTGAAAACATCAGAAATGACAGATGGGCACTGCTTTTATTAAGGCTGTCTCCCTGGCTGAGATCGACGCAGGAGTCTGTCTCAGGTAGAAAACGACGCCACTTGCCCGTGGGTCGAGGGAACGAGGGAGACGCGTGGCATCCCATGCCCTCTTTCGCGGACCGTTCCGTGTAATAAAAAGTAAAAGAACCCTGTTCCCGCTCTCTCCACATTCAAACTTCATTGCTTGGACAAGCAGATGTTGCAGTGTCAAACCGATTAAGAATTAAATACTACGTCGTACATACTACAAACATCGACTGACATCAAGAGTAAGCCTACCCTCGTCACATCCCCGACGAGTCATACCAGCCAAAAGCAGCCGGCGTGTGTGCAAAAAAAAACATTACAGCCGGACCTCATTCATAAACATCCATCAAAGCTGTTGATACCTGGCCTTTGCATCCCCTCGTTAAGGTAAAAAAAAATCAAAAAGGTATAATGCGGATCATCTTCCCAGAAAGAGTAACAACATCGCGTCGTAAGAGAGCGTTCAGAAAGGAGGCAAAGCAAGGCGCTGCCTGGTAAAAAAAAATATAAAAAGAAGTATGCGCTCTTCTCCAAACGTATCATGACATCATGAAGGGGTTTGGAAAAGAGTGCAAAAGTAGAAGGTAAGGAATGTGAATAGGTATGCTTTAGAAAGCAAGCAGACCTATGATAGCAATGGCAGCACCAAAACCTGCGCCCATGGAGAGCTTAGAAGCTGCGCCGGTGAAGTTGGGGCTATTGGGGGTGGTTGGAGTGCCGCTGGAGGTAGGGCTCAGTGTCACAATGACGCTGGGGCTTCCAGTAGCAATCATGTTAGGTTTGGCCGTGGTGCTGTTCATGCCTGCAGTCGGGTATGGCGTGACAATGGTCGACGTCTCGACAACGCTGCTGCTCTTGACAACATAGGCGCTAGACGAGGGAGAGGCCGTGGGCGTAGGAGTAGCCGTGACTACGGGCGGGTAGGCTTGAGGCAAGAGGGTCTGAACACTGGTAGGAAGCGCCTTGTACCAGTCTGGTGTGTTGCCAGCCGCGATGCACGAGGCCACCTCGGAGGCGAAGGCGTTAGGGGAGGCTAGGGCGAGGGATACGCTTTCTGTGGGCAGGGCATGGGCGAGAGCCATGAGAACCGAGTGCTGAATATCGGAGCTAGATCGGGAACAGGATTGTTAGTTTATGCTGGGTGATGACGTGTGGAGGAGACGCGTGGTAGTGGCGTGTATCATGGTGGTGGAGGAAATACGAGGACTTACGCCACATCAGCCTGAGCCTTCGCGCCCACGAAAAGCGCACCGAGCGCCATGATAACCGTTGAGAAGCGCATCTTGGTTTCGAATAAAGTTGAGTTTGGCGGTGGTGGTGGTAAGGAGCGCGCAAGTGTCGTATATATGACACGACGGACCGAAAATGAGTGTGGGGGAGCAGCGGAAATGCAGGGCAGTCACGATAATGAGCGTAAGGGTTGGAGAGAGCGAGAGAAGGAGATTGAGATGAGGGGATCCCCGGGCGTATTTGAAACTGGGGAGGCGGCTGTTCAACTCACGATGGTTTGTTCCTCGGCCTGCCTGTTTGGACAAAGGGCGGCTAACCAAGGGGGGCAATTTAAGATTACCAGACCAGTTGGATAGAGCCGCGGCGGGCATATTGGATGGAGTCGCGCACAAGCGAAAGTAATTGGCTCGTCGCGGACGCAGTGTTGATGCCGCAATGCTTCACGTGGCGGCTAGATCTGCGACTGGGCGTTGTGCTTTTGCGCTGCGCAGGCACACGCGATGGCGGCTCTGGAGGGCGTGGTGGACGAAGGCGGCGTGTTTGGGCGGCGCGGACAGCCTCGCAGGATCGCGGTCAGCTGCGATACGGCGGCTCATTGCTCGAGTGTCATTTCCCGTGGGCATGGAGAAGGTGGATTAGCAGGCCAATGGGAGGCGAGCGCCATTTGCTAGCGGTGAGGGCGAATTTCCACTTTTTAAGCATGGCAGGGATCCCCTGCCTTGTCACCCACATGGGGAATGCAGGGACAGATGAGGTGCATGCGCCCGTCGCTGCAGCCTCGCCGTCGCATGCATTCACACCTACACATATCCATACATACATACAGCGCGACGCCCTGCTCCTCTTTGCTGTGCGCGCCATGTTACTTCTTCACTAACACCACATCCGCGCGCGGTTCTCGCAGCACCCGCCAGTGACGTCAGAACCACTCTTATCCTGTCCACCTGACAATCAGGCCAAATTACCGCGACTGCTCGGCAATTCGGCAGCCGCCGAGATACTAGCCGGACCAAAGCGTTCACCCTCCGGCTTCGCAACAACATCGTGAGCTTGGCCGGGCTGCCCAGCGCCATTTTCAGCTGCGCAGAGTTTTTTCGGCGAATCTTGGGCCATGGACTCGTCGCTGCGCAACAAACAACATCCAATCTCCTACCCCTGGACCTACTTGGGATATGCAGACGCCAAAGGGGCCAAAGGGCCGTGTTGCTACGTACGTACATTGCATTGTTGCGCGCCCAAGCTACTACCACGTATATTGATTCTTCGGCAACAAGTAACCCATATGTGTATATGCCGTCAACTGTCCGCGCGAGCGAAAAATTACCGATCGAAGAGGGAAAGACGGCCCTACACAAACGCATCTCTGAGCAGAGTTTCCGCCAACCGTGTCAATATCACTTGCCGAAAGGAAAACCATAAGCCGAGTACCTCCAGCTCCTTCAGCCGTATCCATTGCTCACATGTCAAACATGCCAAAGTGACTCGCATTAACCATGCGCTGGAAATCACCCACGAAACAGGAGCAAGAAAACCGAGTATACATTCATGGCAAACAGCCATATGCCAATGCTGCATAGCAGTGATTCCCACTCCTTTTCAACACCCTCATTAAATGCACGTGACCCTCTCCATCAATGCGGCCATCTACTTTTACCAAAAGCAAATTGCGTTTTACAACTTGTGCATAGCATGCGTACTCAATGCGTTCTTCTACACCCTATACGGCATATACTACATACATGCTATTATGATGAACAACAAACTCCCCCATACAACTCAAACACAAGTCTCTAATGCACCCCTGTCCAGTAAAGCTATCTTCCCCGTCCTGTATCTCCATCCACCCAGTCCCTGATCCCCTCACGATCAACCCAACCCCTTACCAGGCCTCCAGTATCAAACCCCTTAGCTCCTTTCCCCATTCATCCACTGCCTCCACAGTACCACCCCCATTCCACATCCTTAATCGTACGATACAACAGCTGAGAGACAGTCGCTCCGTCAAACCCCCCCTCTGATTCATCCCACAATGCCCAGTGTCAAAGCACTCGCCAGTCACGGCCAAGCCCGTCTGTCACATACGTTTTTTTATTCCAAGACACACCTCCGAGCGTGCTTTGCCACCGGCAAAATGCTGTGTCCGAGTCAACACAACATGTCTGGGTAATGTGGCGGAGCCTGTAACACAAAGACCGGTAAATGCCCGTTTCAGACACACCTGCCCACATTGCACTACACAGCCTTGCCCGGACTGTCTACTTGGCTGCGTTGCAGGCACACCACAGCATGAAACATGAGCTTTGGTATATTCGTTGAGTTATGCACGTGAGAGCGGCGGTTGCTGGCCCATATGAGAAGCTTGCATAGAGCAGTTGGTCGCAATAACAGTTGCAGTATGATATCATCGCTAAAAACATCCATCATTACACACGCATTTCATTCAACCAATCCAGTGCCCCGACTTTTATTTTCTCTTCCCTGCAAACACTCCAATAGCTATCCCGCAAACAAACAAATCTATGAGTAAACACATCCAAATAACTCGTATCATAAAGCAAAACAGAATGGAAAACAACCAACGCCTTTCTCGTCTCTAGAACCACCCCTCTATCCCATTATTCGTGTCCTCACCAAAGACCACGTCATATACTTGGCCCTGTTCATCAGCCTACTTCTTGCTACTCTTGCTCTCGGACTTCTCTTTTTGCTTCTTCTCGGCTGCCCTCTTCTTTGCCCCCTCTTTTTCAAGAATCTCAATCGTCTTTTCACTGCTTTCCCATAGCTTCTTCTGTAGCACCTCGTCATCAATCTCCTTCCTGGTCCAGATGGACCTTCTGCACTCCTTGAGGAGGTATCCACCCTCGCCCCTGCCCCATTGTGCCTCCATGGCGGCGTATAGGAAAGTTTGTGCACCTTGATCACCGCTCTTCAGAACAAGCCACCAAATCGGCCATGTAATCACGTATATTGCCAGACCCCAAAGCGAGCCAAACGTCAGATAGCGTCGCATACCAGGTGTCCGCGTCCAACCCGGGTCGACCATGATGACGCGCGCATTCATCGGCTTCTTGTCGGGGCGAGAGTAATTGGACAGATGCTTTTGAAAGGCGACAGCAAACGTCATGAGTGCAAGCTTAGAGGTTGCGTATACAGTAGAGGGCGTGAAGTCGAGTTGTCCGGGCTCGCTTTTTCCATTCTTTTTTGATTTCTCATCCATGCTCGGCAACTTTCCTCCCATGTATGATGAACAAGTACCAACAATAATTCGGACGTCGCGGTCAGCAGGCTGCGCTCGGAGTGCGGGGCTCAGTATGCTCAATAGATGGAAGTTGGCGATGTAGTTCAACCCCCAGGTTGACTCCAAGCCGTCCTCGGTCTGCATTGCTTTTCCTCCAGGCGGTGTCATCGTGTTTGCACACAGTATTATCATATCGAGACGTCGGGGAGGCGCATTGTCAACCCATTTCGTGGCGAACTGCCGTATGCTATGTAGAGACTCGAGATCGACATGCTCGGCGGTGATGAGCTCGTTGCCGGTTTGGGTGCGCAGGTCTTCGATGTAGTCGACGAGAAAGGGGTCAACGAGCGGTTGACGGACCAGGAGAACAATTTGTGCACCGCGAGACGCAAGACCTCTCACGACTTCAGCTCCTATACCAGCCGTTCCGCCCTGCGCGCGTTAGTAAGGGTCATCAATTGATACGCTAGAGCGGCTTACCGTGACCATGACCACCTTGGAGTGCATGTTCCTCTCGGAACCATTGGCAGCGCCATTGAAGAACCATTTGAAAAGGTAGACTACAGCGAATACGCATGCTGCCTTCAATATGGTCCAGCCATACGGAATAGAGTCAAGACCCTCGTTGAAGGCTTGAGCGAGAATGTTGACGGGCATGTTGCTTGGCAGGTGGGTGAGGCGGAAAGGCTTCGGGAACGCGATCTACCATGGGTCGCTAAGCCCAAGCGGAGCAGCTACCCACGTGGCGTCATAGCATGTGATTGCGCGTCGCCGCCGTTGCTTCACCAACAAACCTTCACTTTGTATTCTGGCTTCTTCGGCACCAGTGTCGCTCTTCTCAACACCGGAAAAGCTTAAGGAGTGCATGCGCCATAGCTTCTGTCTGAGTTCAGTAGCCACAGCAATGACCGCACCCTCTGCGACGCCCGCTCCCGGCGAGCAGCCAACCGACGAGTTTCTCCAAGACGATCCAAACATATCTACGATACCGCTTGCAGAACAGCGGGCCTTTGGCCGTGGTCTTTGGAAGAACCCAGTCCAATTTGTCCCCGCTACCCCCGAGGTGCAACCTGCAGCTACATCGACAAATGGCAAGACAATGGCTGAGAGGTATCTCGCCATCATGTTCCCCAACGGCCAGCCACAGCCAGAACCAGATGCGTACCCTCGGTGCGGCATATGTGGCGAGCCCGTCAAAGAGACAGATCAGCGCATACATTACCTCAGCCCTGCCCACCAAGCAGCACTGCCTCGTGCCCCAATTCCTTCAGCCATCGACCGAACAAGAATGGGACTCAAATACATGGAGAAACATGGATTTGATGTAGACGCGCGAAAAGGTCTAGGCTCCAGTGGTCAAGGCATGTTATTTCCGCTCGTACCCAAGGAGAAACGCGACAAGCTGGGCCTGGGCATGGACAAGAAAGATCACACAAAGCAGAAAGCATTGGGTGGCGCGAGTCGTGCAGAAGTTAGGGAGGGAAGACTCGATGCTGGCAAGGTCAGAAAACTTGCACAGATTGAGAAGAAGAAGCACGAAAAGCTGCAAACAATGTTCTATGGGAATGATGAGGTGGAGAAGTATTTGGGGCAGTTGGGTGGCTAGTCCCCAGACTAGGGAGCGCATATTACACGCTTCGACATGCACCGGTTTAAGGCAACTTGAAGGAACATGGCGTTTGACGACCCACCACAACACGGCGAACAGCGATCCGGCATACCTTCCGAACAAGCATTCAAGAAAAAGACGGATACACGATTAACCAGTGTCTCACATGTTCAAGAGTCGGGATGGCGTTGCGCTGGCGTCGGTCTTTTCGCAATCATTTTATGAGATACCCACAGCTCGACATTTGGGCCTCTTACAACAACCCTGACTTTGGCGTAGCCAACATCTACTTGCACACGCCCCACCTGTCGAGCCGTCCGTCCGCTGAACAAGCTGCAAGTGCAAGCATGAACGTTGTGATTATGTCAGGGTTGTTGCGATCATCTGTCTATTGGTACAATCCATCGGTGCCCCACCTCGCCATTCATTCCACCCTCGGAACCAGAAATTTTCACCCGTCACATGGAAGTATCACCACAATTTCGACAAACACTGAGCGAAAGCTGTTTTGCTCTCTTCATAATCGGCATCACGGTCCTTTCTTCCATCGAAAACATCCAAACAATCGAAAACGGTCGCTTAGCTCAGTTGGTTAGAGCGTGGTGCTAATACCTTGTATGATACGCCAAGGTCGCGAGTTCGACCCTCGTAGTGACCATCTTTTTTGCCGTCATGGACGTCCGGGCACGAACAGGTTCGGTGTACATCCTGCGAACTGTACTGCACTTTTTTTGTTGCCAAGAGTGTGGCGTCCTAGCAAGACTCAGACACTGCATGTACCCACAGCCTAACCGAGCACAGGTGTAACCTACCAGCAACGTCGAACACCCATCAGCATTAGGCAACGCTACTTGCTAGTAGTCCTAGCCAACCGTGCAGCGCTAGAACTGTGGGTATTTTTGCAATTCCACACCAGCATTCCCGTCACCACATTCACACCGCCCGAACATGGCTTTGACCCCATCTTTTTTTCACAAACCATGTCAGCTACAGTGCTGTATCGCCCAACATTCGGTACACTCTAATTTTCAAGCTCGCCATCGAATCCCTTCCTCCCAACTCAAGCATTGCTTGAAAACGTCTCGTTGGTGTAGTTGGTTATCACGTGGGTCTCATATCTCCATGTATGACTGTTAGCTGTTAGCAGATATCCCAAGGCCGCCAGTTCGAGTCTGGCACGGGACAGCAGTGATTCTTTTTTGCGCTTTGTTGCTGCACGGATGTTGCTATATGTCGTGACTGGATATTTTTTGCATGTGCGTGATGTGTGGGGGTAAGGGAGGAGAGTTTGGCGTGAGCGAAAAAGTAAGATAGAAGGGCTAATCGAGTAGGTCATGGTGCTAGCATCTTGATGATCTTTGTTTTGAGATGATACATACTACTAAAAATAAGGTTGCTTTGAAGAAGAGCGCTGGACATTGACACGAGGTGAAAATCTGGACAAGGTATCATAAGGAACTTTTAGACAAACTCCACACCACCAAAGAAGTCGCTAGGGTAAAGAGATAGATAGTTAGCTGAACAAACACCACATCTTTCACCAACTGCACCACAGACAAAAGGCCCAAAACAAAATGACACGACAACACTTGCTTCTTTCATTAGAGTATTAACGTTTCCCAACAACATACGTTAATCGGGGGGAGGAATGGAGGGAAGGCAATCCAAACGCGAGGTTGCCACAGCCACTGAAAGGCTAGGAGAGACGCACGCACGCGTACTGCTCCCAGACGCTATTCTACCTCCAGCATACTTCAACTACGTACACACACAGACAAGTGGCGAGGCAGAGAGAGAGAAAGAGACAAACCCACTTTCCATCTTGCCACACTACGCCAATTGAAACCGACAAACAAGCAAACTAGGTATCACCAGAATCCGTAAATCTGACAAAGGAGGCCAGCAACCAAAAGCTAAGGGGGAGAGAGTTGGTTGGACACAGACCAAATACAAAGAGATATCGACACGACACTAAGAGAAGGAAAGAGTGTATAGAAATGAAAGTGGCTGGTATGTATATATACACAGGAGCCCTCAAAGTCGGGAGGGATTGTTGACAGGTTGGCGGTGAGGAGATTTGGATGACGCGCCGTGGTGGGTTTGGCGTCGGGTATATGTAGCGACTGAATGCAGAGAGGGCCGAGACCTCCGCGATGAGGGATATACGAATAATACGTGTTTCTGCAGTAAATGGGAAAGAGACGCCCGGCGCTGAGAATGCGATGATGCTCCAGAAAGAAAGGTTGACTGCTTTGTACAGGGAACGGCACGGATCGGTTCGCGGGAAACGCTAGTTTCCGATAGGAGAGCGAGGAAAACATGTATAGGTGGGCGAATGGTTGAGGGCGTCGAGCATGGGCTCATTATCGATATAAGGATACGCGGATAAAACGGACGGCGGGAAGAGCTTTATCGACTTTGGCCAAGGTTCAGCCATGACATGTCGGATTGCTCTTTTTTCGCGTCATTTTGGCCAGATGCAGGACCGGGGAACATGGTGACGGTGCTCTCGTGTCCATCTCGGGGTGGTGGGTAAAAGGAGTTGAACTTGGGGCTAGGCAATGCTGCATCGTGCTGAGCTCCTGGAGCAGGAACTGTGCCGCCTGGGAAGAGTGTCGCAACGCTCTCACGCTCATGCGAGAGACCAAGCTGCGGTGGGGCAGGGTACATGGAGCTAAACTGGCTCTTTGGCATTGCTCCAGTCGATGCGGGAGGCGCGCTGCCAGATGGGAACATTGTCACCGTGCTGTCTCGCGTATCAGGGATAACCGGCGTAGTTCCTTGCCCAGGGTAGAAGGAGCTAAAGTTGCTCTTGGGGTAAAACGATTCGGTGCCGTCGGGATAATATGAGCTGGTACCATCGAACTTTCCATGATCCATAATCACACTGCTGGTATATTGACTGCTGGTCCGTCGGTTATCGCCCACTGGAGTCCAACTGTCTACCGGGTTGCGAGCGTAGTGCGGGGCGTCGTGGCTGAGTGCTGACACTGAGCTGGCGGTCGAGTTGGCACGGGCGAGTTCTGCCTGCATAGGCTGAATCTGGTGAGGCATAACAGTGGTGGGCGTGCCAAGCGTCGGACTGCCGCTAGCAACGCTGCTCAGGCGGTGCTCATCATTGAACTTGGGTATCTGCAATGGAGCAATCTGTTGCGATGGACGTGAACTGAACATGCGCGAGTTGGTGTACTGTGACTGGCTGCCTGTACTTGTCCTATCCGACGCAAACGTCGAGCGATCAGCAGGAGGAGCACTGGCGAGGTTTGTAGCCTCGTTGTTCGCAAAGTATCGACTCCAACCCGAGCTGCGAGCTCTTGGTGCAGGCTTGGGTTGCCTGCTAGAATTCTGACGAACCATGGTCTCAGCAGGCTCCGGCTTCAGGTCAAACTTGGCGAGCTCGTACGGTTCAGAGTACTGCTCTGAGTAGCCCAATGGGCTAGTCTTCTTGACAAGGCCGGCAGTGCTAGCATCGCTTGCAATGTTCTTCTTGTGGCCACCGCCTCGCCCCTGGATGATGGCGAGCGATGTGGTCGACTCATTCTTAGATTGGTAAGCCACTACCGATCCACCAGCCTCCTTCATAAAGGCTGCACCTCGGTCCGCGAAGCTCATACGGTCATTGTTCTTTTCCATATAGTTAGCCTTCTTGTTCTTATTCTTTCTGTACCTGAGACACAGCAAGATCAAGATGAGGATCGCCGCAATGCCGAAAATGGTTCCGAGTGTGGCCCCAAGCACGGTCAACATGCGTCCCTTGTTGCTTGGAGGCTCCGCAGGTGACGCGGCAGCTTCTGTACTGGTGGGGCTGGCCGAGGACATGACCGACAAGGACGTTGCGGATAAGGTTGGTGTTGGAGTAGCGCTACTTGATGATGAGATGGAATTGGCAAGCACCTGCTGCCCATTGAATACCGCAGACGCATTCATCCAGGAGTTCTCTTGGGCATTGAACAGGACAATCGGTGCAGCAGGGTCGCCTCCAGTTGCAACAGTAGTACCGTCAGTTCCTTGCGCTAAAGAGTATCCTGATCGTGTTGTCGTAGGTGCGTATGTTTCGTTGTACGGGGACCAGTCGTTGAGAGTTACACGTTTTGACTTGCCTCCAACTTTGGTCCCCGGGTTTGCCGGTGAGCCGCCCTTGCCTAACAGTAGTATTCGTTGCACAGTGTTTGGTTTGGCACCCATGTCGAACTTTTGCAAAGCGACGCTTCCGTCGGTACGGGAGATGACGGTGCATTTGGTTGTGCCCTGGTTGGCGATGGGTTGTTCTAGGTCGACGCCGAGGTTTTGCCATCCTAAGGATTCGGTGAACTTCCAGACGGCTTTGTTTGTCGCACCTCCTCCCACCATCATTACGGTCTTCGCGTCCGACTCCATGAGCATGGGGTTTACGGAAGGCGGTGCACCAGCCGATGGCAAACTTGAGACCGAGTAGGGCGCCACGGTGGAAAACAGGAAACCTTCAGAAGATGGACCATTGTCACCTTCGACCTGGGATCCAGCGTAGATGAGAATCTTTTGTGAGTCTTGGAGGTATGCAACGCCGTGGTTAACGCGGTTCTGCGTGTTCCAGCTCTCCGAACGTTGCCAGTCCCACTTCTTCTTGGAGAAAGTGTAGTGCATCAGACCAGGATAATTCCAGGTCGAAGCCGTCGCATTGACTCGTCCTCCAACAATAAACAGCTTTGCATCTTGCGTGTTGCCCTGAGGCACTGCCTTGACACATTGCGCGCCGGTAAGGGATATGTCCATGGGCAACGTCTGCCATTTTGCCCCCTCTTCAAGCTTTAGCGATTGAAATCCGGCTGGTGAGTAAACGTAGAGGGTGTTTTGGTAGATGATGGAGCAGTGCCCACTGAGCGGGTAGATAGGTTTCGGCGTACTCATGATGTGTAGTAGATCCAGGGTAGACCGGGTTTGAAAGCGAACGGAACGAGAGTTTAGTGTCTACTCGGGACGGAAAAAGCAATGAACAAGCAATTATGTTACTACCCAACTTTTCATAGCGATGTGCGAGGCAATATCTGTTAGGCGGCTAATAATAGCAGAGGATACGGGTTCAGTGGACCGACACGACGAGGTGGACAGTCGTGATGGAGACAGAATGCTCGTTTGCTGTGAGGGCACTCGACTGCAGGAAATACAGCGTCAGCATGTTTGGTTTCGAAGAGAGGGCGGTTTGTGTGGGACATACGCGAATCCGCGACAAATGCGTGACTGAGCGCGACGGGTAGTGGGAAGAGTATGTAGAGAGTAACAGGTTGCCGCGGCAGGTAGGCAGAGAGGGACGGGATAACCCTCTCTCAAAGAGGCGTGGGCGTGTGTCGAAATGAGAGGCAGCACAGCTCAGCAGTGTGCGAGAGGCGAAGGTGGAGAGGCCGTCTAGGTGAGGCTGTTCAGACGCTCGTAGACTGAAGCTGGGGAGAGACAGGTCAACCCGAGCATGAGGTGAGCGAGGGGACAGCACCAACCGGGCGCTGCGAGGGCCCGTCCGCGTTCACAGTTGTGCAAGGGCATGATTCGAGTGGGCCTCGGGCATGATGCCAAAAGGCCTAAGCGGCGACGGCACGAGCGAGGACAGACCATGGCGACCAAGTCAGTCAGGGGCAGATGGTGAGACAAGCCAATGAGGTTGCGCAGCCGGCGTCGTTATTCGCCAACGCCCCTGGCCTTGACCAAGTATATTTAGCGTTGCTTTTAGCCAAGAAACATGCCTGCGCCGAAGAAACAGGCCAGTGTCGGAACCTTTCCAGGGCTTCTGTTGGACCTGCAGCGCTGAGCACGCAGACTCTGCGCGACGCCATGGGGAGTCGTTGTAGACGTACGCGGGGTTGCCAGTAAGCTTGCGTCTGTGCCGGTGGCCTCGATGCCAGGTTCGCTGCCGCCGTCGCCGCCGGCCGTCGAGGGGTGCAGGCAATGATGGCATCGTGGCCACCCCCACTGCTGTCGCTGTCGCTGTCGCTGTCGCTGCCGCTGCCCTGGCGATCCCGTCCAAAGCAGTCGTCGCGTTGCGCTGCAATGCAGTGCAGTGCAGCAGTGCAGTGCCCCCCCCCTTCTGCTCATCAGCCTTGCACACAACGGGACGAACCAGGGGCTGCATCATTTCCGCTCCTTCGCCCACTGCGCGAATCACAGGCGGCCATTCTTGTGATTGCTGCTTGCTTGTTGCTGCCCGCCAGCCCGCAGAAGGATGGAGCCTGCCCTCGGGCAGCATGATAGCGGATGCTTGGAAAAAAAGGGTCGGCCACGCTTCATAACCGATTCTGTGTGCTGAGTCCGTGGCAAAATTCGTGCCTATGTAGGTCTGAGAAACCACGGTCGTATATGCATGGGCACAGACGCCTACAGTACACACGTACATGGTGGTCCCCTCGCCCCCTCCCCCTATCGATAGTTCGCTTCTGGGCAACGGCTATCTGTAGGCGAACACTTTGCACACGGCTGGCCGAGGTATCTCTGGGGTTGTGCTGTTGTCGCCGTGTGCGTGCCGGTTAAGGGGGTGTGCGGTTGGCGCAGGGCGAGACGCGCTTCTGCGGCAGCCGTCGAGTGCCGTCACACTGGCGGCCGTCAGCCATCACCTGTGTCGGCGGCAATGCGGCGGCGATTCGATCACGGCCGATGACGATACGGGCAAGGCTGTAGAAAAAGGCGCGCGCTCCAGCAGGCCGAGTCGAGGTGGCTTGGGCGACATTGTTCGTGATGGGTGGAGCGACTCCCACCCACTGACGTCTGAAACGGGAACCACGGCTCGCGCGCTGATTGGCGTGCGTAGCCCGGGTCGCCTGACTCAGCACCGGCCCACGTCCATTTCCCTCGTCCATGGGCCAAGAGATCATCGCCTCTTCCCCCCCAAGTGCCACCAGCTCCACCACCAGCTCCCGCTCCAGCTCCAGCATAAGCTGCTAATTACTCCTAGAGAAGCGCCCTGTCGACTGCCACCAACCTTATCGCGCCCATGTTGGCTGCACCGTCTGCGCCATTCACCCTCCCCAGCCCATCGGCGCCCTACCCCGCAAACACAGCCGTGGTTCCGACTGCACGCAATGAATGGGCCGCGTGCCATGACGGTCGGGCTCCGGTACCAATGCTTGCACTGGCGGTTGGGCCCGTCATCAATCTCCCACACCGTGGACAACACATTCCTTCGCGCTCCTGCCCTGTCGGTTAAACACGTCTTGGACTGCTCGCCACACGCTGGGCAATCCTCCTGCCTCTCACCAGCCGAGTCAGGCTTCGTCGCAGCCGGTGCATCCCTCTTCACCTGCTCTGCGACACCGCGCCCGCCTTCGTCTCGAGCAAAATAGCCATGTTTATAATATGACAGTCGTCGGCGACACTGAATCTCGTACCTGGATTATTTCTCTCGGCGCTCTGCATCGGCCGCCGAGTCTGCGTGAGCACCAAGGCGTGTCCGAATGAGCACCAAGACGCGTCCCTGCCCGTCCGATATTATGCAAAACATAACTGTCCCAGCCGCTTGGCACTTCAATCTCACAGCTATAGCCTCGTATGTTTGTCATGCCGTCTCCGTACCAGAGGAGCAGCCGGAACAGGGCATGATTTCATCTATTTCCAACCATGCGGCTCAGGTGACATTCGAAACAGTGGCATCTGGTTGGCACTTGTCAGACGCAAATCATCGGGCCAAACACGGAAAACAACAACTGCGACGTTGACATCCGGCTCGGCCCAAGCAATATCGGAGCATTTGACAGTGTCGTGTTTGATGGCGGGCTTCCGTTTGTTTTGACACGGCAAACGTACAAGACAAACAAGCAAAAAATGTCTTGTCAACCATCTCAGATCTGCTACGCCGTTGTGGTTTCAGCTAGAGCTATCCGTGCAGTTCATGCACGTAGCTCCGATCGTTGTGGAATGTCGTCACCACTTAAGAAGCAATTGCCCTCGTCCCAGACAAAGCACGAAACGACTTGACATGCGACTAAAGTTCCCTATCCTTCTCCTTACTGTGTGGCGTATATACGACAACGCAACCATGACTTGTGGGATGAGATGCCGCACTGGCATCCGATTCATTCGTGCGAAATGCAAAAACTGTCTCCTAATGAGCGACAACATCAACAAGGTTGAAAGGACGGAAGCGGCTCGAGATTTGCGCAGCTCGTCGCGTCACACGCTGATCTGTATACGCGCTATGGCCGAAAACCGTACCTGTCAACCTCCTGGATCGACTACACCCGCCCTTTTGACATGCGCATGTTGCTCCCCGAGCAAGTCATGGTTCGCATGATCAACAACAGTAGCTCGCGGCCGAGCGCTATGTCATGTCGTCAACAGTCCGTAGTCGTCGTCAGCTAATCGTGATGGCAGCATACCCCTAACTTACGCGAGCATCCTTTCCTTCAACTTATCTCTTAGCACAACGAGAAGATGTCGATACAAGTCAAGTAGAACCCAAGGACTGTGTGGCACACTAGCTGGTTCTGGCTCATTGCCGGCTTCACCACTGAATATTCAAGTCGGGTCGGTTCGCATTCAGCGTGGAAAAAAGCAACTATTAGAGTCCCTTGGGTTCTCTGGGTGGATACCACGTGCCGACCCTCGCGTCAACTATCTACTAGTGATCGAAGCTACGGCTCAGCGATCGGCATGACGAGATGCCAGCACTAGCACAAAGGTAAACGTCTTTTGGCATCTATCTATGATTTGGTAATAGCAAGTAGTCTTTCAGCATTGCCTAAAAAAACATATCAAAGTGAAGGCATTGCATTCCTCATATGCGCCATATCTCGGTAAATACATACAGCGAGATCAATATTAACGTGGTTCATAAGCGAGTCGGCCACCCAAGCGAGTCGGCCACTTTGTACCGGCGCGTCGACGTTAACACTATAACGCGTTATGTCTCAACCACACAATCATTTGTTAATCTATTCTAAATCTAATCTTTAACTTGCTCTTTTTGACGTCCAATCGCAACGTGTTCAAAGCCAAAGACGTGCTGCTTCTATCTATAACGTGCCTCGAACTACTCTCCAAGACCGACGCGCTAGAAAGCGCTTTCGACGCGACTGCGAACCGAATTCAAAGCGCCTAAATAAGCTAGAAGAGGAGGCTATTGTTAGGCGTATTCTTGAAGAGTCTACGCGAGGATTTGCCCCTATAAAGGCTGAGGTTCGAGCAATAGCTAATAAACTGTTAGAGGAGCGTGGTGGCAACCCTGTTGGCAAGAACTAGGTTGACAACTTTGTTAAGCGGACTCCTGAGCTCCGTACGCGCTGGAGCCGTCCCTATAATCACCAGCGAGCCGCCTGCGAGGATCCAGTGGCTATCCAGCGCTGGTTTGACTTAGTCCAGGCGACAAGGCAGAAGTGGGGTATTGTGGACGATGATATCTACAACTTTAACGAAACTAGCTTTATAATAGGCAAGATTTTATCACAGTTAGTTATCACAGGCTTAGAAGGATATAAGAAAAAGAAACAAGTACAGCCAGGCAACCGTGAGTGGGTTACTGTGATCCAAAGCGTGGGCGCGTCGGGTCGCTGAATACCACCCTTCGTTGTCTTTGCGGGCAAGGTGCTTATCAACGTCTAGTTTGAGGATTTGCCTGCCAACTAGGTTCTTAAAGTCAGCCCTAATAGCTGGACGAATAATCAGCTTAGTCTTGCCTAGTTAGAGCACTTTAATACCCATACAAAGAGGCATACTGTAGGTGGGTATCGACTGCTTATTATTAACGGCCATGAGAGCCACTGCTCCATCGATTTTCAAGATCTTTGCAAGGAGAAGAATATTATTCTTCTCTGCATGCCTCCACACTCGTCTCACCTGTTGCAGCCCCTTGACGTCGCCTGCTTCTCGCCGTTGAAGCGTAAGTATGGCGACGCTGTTTCAGGCTTGGCACGCAACCGCACCCACTATATTAGCAAGGAAACCTTCCTACCAGCCTTTAAGGCTGCTTTTGAGCAGTCTATCACGAAGGAGAATATCCAAGCTGGCTTCAGAGGCGCTGGACTAGTCCCACACGACCCACAGGCTGTGCTATCTAAGCTTGATGTGGTGGTGCAGACGCCAGTACAATCACCGCGACAGGCAGCCGCCTGGGAGGCGCAGACACCACGCAACGCGCGCGAGGTTGAGGCTCAAAGTACTCTTATTCGACAGAGAGTAAGAAACCGCCCTAGGTCTTCTGCAAATTCTCTTGACGAGAAGGTTGTGCAGCTAAGTAAAGGGGCTCAGCAAATAGCACATAAGATGACGCTTATGAGGGAGGAAGTAGCTGCTCTTCGAGAGGCTCTAGACACAGCAAATAAGCGTAAGAACCGCAAGCGGCGATACGTACGGACAGAAGAGACTCTTACTGTAGGCGAAGTACAAGAAGTATTAGCTAAACAGGCGGGTAGCAGTCGTGGTGATGGTGAGAGTGCGTCGAAGAGGGTGCGAGGAGAGCGGCGGTGCGGGCGTTGCAAGCAGACTAGACACAACGCTCGTACCTGCGCAGTTGAGATAGATAGTGCAAGTGATAGTAGCGATTCTGACAATTAATTTGGTATATTGCAATAGTTTATTGACTGTGATAAAAGACTGTGATAACGTGTTGAAGTTGACGCGACGGTACAAAGTGGCCGACTCGCTTGGGTGGCCGACTCGCTTATGAACCACGTTATGCGTCATCAAGTCCATATACACCACTCATTCTCAAACCGCACAAGGAGTCGGAAATTCCAGAACAACCCCCCATTTGTCACCGCGGTCTTAATACGACGTGCTATATCAGTAACTTTACATGGCTTCCCTGCCTCGGCCCCCGACTGTGGCTGTACAAGGTACCACAAGATGATAGCGCAAAAACCTCGTATCTTATCAGCAACGTTCCCAAAATACCGGCCACCCTCGTATCCATCACGAGGCGACACGTGCACGCGGAGAGAGAGAAAAAAACGGTCGAGAGCGCTCCACCCAGCTTACCCACGCCCTTCCCACTTCTGGACTTCAGCTAGAGTCATCATGCGGCGTAACCTGACTAGTAACATGGACTAGACCAGACTAGATTCTTTCCACACCCGGACAATGCAATCTAGTTGGTTAGCTAGTTTTTTAGTTAGTCTGTCAACCCACCAACTTCACGTTCCAGATACGTGCACGAAATGCAAAAAGACGCATGGTTCGGGTTGTAAGGTACGGTGTCAGACAAGAGCTGACTGAAGAAGAGAGGCGATATGGCGCAGCTTGAAACGTTGGAAACATTTTTTATTTTATTTTCCTTCTTTTTCCCTTGTTCTACGGGTTGACGTTTAGACTCAATGGCTCTTCGGCTCGACTCGAGGATACTTTTCCTTTTCCTTTTTCGGTCTTCTTTTTTCTTGCCAACCAGACACAGAACAGGCAGGACTATTGGGGCCTAGATGCTATAGTAAAATTCCATAATCATGCAAGTGAGACAGGTACTGGTAACGCCCTAGCATTGCTCGCAAAATAAGCGTGGGAGCTGAGCATCCTGGGTCTAGCTTGTTTTGATTGAAATATCGCGCAAGCCAAAAGAGAAAAAAAATCTTCAAGTCTATTGAGAAGCATTCAGTCTTCTGGAACATCGCAACTGTCTTGACATGTAGCCAGAAACCCTTCTTTCACACATTGAACGGTGGTTATAATAGCATTACCATCAAGCCATACCTGAGATGTGGCGAGGTCTGGCTCATCGCAAAAGCATGTGTCTCACCATCAAACCATCTTCGTCATTGTAAAAACTCAAAGACGGTCTGCAGGCGAGCAGTGACTATTGCCACTTTGCATTCTTCTCCGCTAGTCGTATAGCTCACGGCAACCATTAGGTACGGTCGATGAGTAGATATTCTAGCGTGGATGGGACAACATCACGTGCCTAGTCTCACAGTGACGGCTGGAGTAACAAATCTCATTCGTTGCCAAACTCCAAATCCATCGTGGTATCATTTCGAACAGAAAACTTCGACGGGGCCGCATGACGGCAAGTCCATTGTTCGAGCTAGAAGCCGGTATAACGCCCTGCTTTTCCATGCGCACGTCGCATGCCCAGACCGTGAACCCATGATATGCATTTCATCCACTCCGAGGCAGCAAGACAACTTGTGTCCATGTCTCTCGAAGCCGTGGTGTGTCGTCAAACAAAGAAATAAAGGCGAAGCACTTAAGCCTCCCTCTGCTTCTTCTTCTCCTCGCGACCGGCGCTCTTGCGCTCCAGGATAGACTCGCGGTCCTTGTCGAGCTTGAGCTTGGTGATGACGACCTTGGAGGCGGCGATGGGGATGGGGACTGATTGGCCGTTGCTCTTCTCGCGGACGACTGTGTGAAAGCTTAGTATTGATGTCGGGTCGAGGGAATCGAGGACTACGCACTGCCGTTGACGTGGATGCAGTACTTGAGACGGTAGACGGAGGAGACCTTGCCCTCACGTCCCTTGTTAGAACCGCGGACAACAGTGATCTCATCCTGCGACAAGTCAGCACACAACCAAAGCCGGCAACAGTCTCCAGGTACTCACGTCCTTGCGGATGGGAATGCTGCGCACTCCGTGCTTCTCGCGGAGCTCCTTACTCAAAGGCGCCTGAAGGTTGTTAGAACATGTCCACGGCAATGTTCCAAGTCTCTTCATACGCTCATGATGACCCGACGCACACTACTCGGCGCACTGAAGTGCGCCTTTCGCGATTTGCGGCGAGAGCTCGCGACCATTGACTGGACCTTGGTCATTTTTGCTGTGGATGGGCGGGTTGGCGGGTTAGTTGGCAAAGTTCGTGTCGCAATCTCAAAATTGGAGGTGAGAGAATGTGCAGACGCCTAGCCTGCTTCGCTTCGTTAGCGCCGGAGCCATGGTTTTGCCGACGCGTTGACCGCCCTCCTAATGCAGGCTGGCAACGCGCGCATTGAACATGCACTATTGCCGTGTCGTCGCCCTCAGCACGCGTCTACGTCTGCCTGCCCTTCGGTCTGGCGCAACCATTGCGCGCAGCGAGAAGCGTAAGGAGCCGAGTAGCATGCCAACGCCATCCTTGTCCGACACACACATCACACTTGCGGCATTTGTCGCGCCGCGCCTACTCCGAGTTCCTGGCCTTCCACTCGTGCCTTGGCTCTAGACGGGCCCCCAATCCACTAGGGCTCAGCTATCATGTCTGCGAACGGCTACAACCCATACAATTATCCCTACCAACAGAGCTCTGCTCAGCAGCGTTCCGCATATTCGACCGCACCCGCCTCGAACGTCGCCCAGGCATCTCGCCAATACCAGCCATTGACGACCCAAGCCCAGAACTACATACCCTACCAATCACAGTCGTACGCGAACCAGAATAGTGGATATGCGACCGCACAGGGCGCTTCATGGAATCACAGCCATGATGGAGCGCGCGAGACAACAAGTCAGGCTGCCGAGGTTCTGCACAACATGAGCAACACCTTGTACGCGACCACCGGCACAGCCGCGACAAACCAAGCCGGCTTCACCGCGACCCACACCACGGCTTCGCATTCCAACCGCTTTGGCACTGGCAGTTCTCGCTCCCCACAAGTGCTAGCGCAGCAAAACCATTCTGCTTATGGACAATCACAGGCGCGCCCACACAGTGTCAACAACAATCGCACGCAGCAAATGAATCGGGCATTGCCATCGCCGGGCATTGCGCCTCCGCACACGATGTACAACCAGCAGCAGCAGCGTACTGCCAGTCCGGCTCAACCTCAGTACAATACTGCGCCAGTTAGCGACGGGAGAAGCGCGACAGCCAACACGGTGGCAAACCAGCAGTACGGCAATTATAGCGGGCAGCAGCTTCCTAGCGTCGGAGATTTGCAGGGCACTCAGAGCGCCACGCCATCGGGTGCCTACAATTATGCTACTGAGCAGTTGCCTCCGACCACAATCGCGCCTCACACACCCAGCGTCAGTATAGCGGATACCTACCATGCACAGGGCACTACTACTGTGGACCCAATGGCAGTGTACGATCCATGGCCGGAGTATCAGCGAAAACAGGCAGAAAAACTAGCAAAGGAGCACGCTGCACGTGCTGAAGAGGAACGGGTTGCAGAAGAGCAACGCAAAGCAGAAGAACAGAAGAAAGAGGAGGAGCGCAAACGGCAAGAAGAGGAGAACAGTTTACGACAGCCAAAGTCCACGGTAGACAAAGTTCAAGATCAACAGCAACCCACGGTAGCCTCTGCAGCCTCTGCAGCTCCAGCCAGCTCCGCTGTTCCTGGCGAAGCACTGGAGAGTGAGATACGTGCGATGATGGCGAAAATGCGTGAACTTAACAGCAAGGACCCGGCTCTTTTGGCACGCATCTGGGAAGAAGAGCGCAAAACAAAAGCCTCAAAACCAAACACGGCGCAAAACAAGACTGCGCCTCAAGCTACCACAGTCCAGCCAGCACAACCTGCTCGCGCGAGCACACCGCAATCTACGAATTCGCAACAGCACACTGGCTCCAGAGAAGCGACGAATGCAAATACATCCAAGCCGGCAGATCCTGCTGTCGCGCAGGCTGTGCCAGTCAGACAAGCCCCGACGACTGCCACTCGACCGACGGGCAACACGGTTTGGCCACATGAGCGGAAAGTTCATGTAGCGAACGCGGCCGCCTCTTATCTCAACAGCCAGAATTCGTTTCTTAAAATCAGGCCGGGCCGCGTACTAGACTTGCTCAACGGCAACCCTTCCTATATTCAGCTGTGTGAACAGCTTGAGCAGATGAACTTCAAGCTAGATCGTGCAGCCTTTGCCAGGAGCTTGCTCGCAGCCGTGCCTGATGTAAACTCAAAGGCACGTACATCTGGGCCTCCGCCCACGCCAGCTCCTGTACAGAAGCCACAAGTTCCACCTGCTGTAATGAAGAAGGAAGTCTCAACTCCTGCTGCATCTAGCCCACAACATACACCTGTCTCGGGCCCACCAACAAATGGAACGCCTCACTCAGCACTCCTAGATAGTGCCACACCTGCAGACCATCCAGCACCAGCACCAGTCGCTGAGATGGTGCCTATCAAACCTGAATTAAGGAAGCCTGCAAACAAAGAAGAGGCCGCTCGAAAGCGTAACTTGAGCGACTTGGTCGACTTGACGCAGCTCTCTGAAGATGAGGACATGGGCCCGCCACCCAAGAGACTGAACACAAACTCTGCGCATACGTCTGGGCCGCCGCACCTCAATTCTGAAGATGCAATGGAGGGGGAGAAGAAACCGCCGACGCCGAACTTTCCTATGGCTGATATATCTTCTCATCCACCACAATCATCTATCCATCCGCCAGCTCAGCCGCCTAGGGAGCTTGGACTGTCGAGGTATGTTGAGCCACTGGATCGGAAAAAGGCACTGCGCCGCAATAATTACAATCCTGCAACGATTGCGCGCGATGTTCTCCTCGCCTGTGGACGGCACCCGTCGCAGCGTAACCTCAATCAACACTTGGATGTGCTCAGAACAACTTTACCTCTAATCACATTTGATGCCGACCTCAGCACAATCCGCTGGGACCGAATTGATCCAGGAAAGCCTCCCCAAGGCTACTTCAAGGACAGGGTCGAGGATCTTACTCAAGACGCAGACGATGAGGACGAGTCCGAAGATGAAGAGGCGAGGCCGCGTCCCCGATCTCCGTCAAAGGCGATTGGCGGCGAAGGTGGGGCTCATGTAACGGCCCAAGCTTTACCTGAAGCTATCAACCCATTCAAACAGAAGCGACGCGGTCGACCCCCAAAACACCTGTCCAACACTCCCGGCGCAACAACACCCAAGCTCCCGAAAAGCCCTGCACCCATGAGTTCGCCCGCTTCTCGCCCCACCTCAGGGGCTGCTGGAGTAGGCTATTCAGCATTTCGCTCTGCTACCCAGTACGGTCCTGACGGCCAATCACTTCCTAAAAAGAAAGGCCGTCCTGTCGGGTGGAGAAAGGCCATCCATGGATCTGCTGCTATACAGGCTCGACCGGCTTTTAAAGAATACACTGGGCCTTTGAACAAGCATCAGCCGACGCAATCAAGCACTTTGCGCAATGTGGACACAGGCCAGACCGATGCGGCCATTCGCATTGGTTCTCGGTCACCCAGTGCCGCGAATCGCGCTCCTCAGTACCAGTCCTACAAGTGCAAATGGCTGAATTGCAAAGCGGATCTGCATAACTTGGATACACTCAAGAAACATGTATTCAAAGTGCATCGTAAAGAATCGCCGGAAAACACTCTGGACTGTCTATGGGGTGACTGCGGCAAAGAAGTTACCAGCCATGATCCCTTGACAGACATCAGCCTGGAGCGTTACCAGCCACATTCTTTCGACCTGGAGAACAACTGGCGCAGCCATATACAGCAGACACACTTGGATCCGCTGTCATGGGAGCTTGGCGATGGGCCCGCCAGTGGTCTCTCTGGTAAGGAAGATGACTGAAGTGCTTTGGTAGTTTAGAGTTGTAGCAAGGATCTAACTATGCTCAATCTAGACTCACATGATTCTGAAGCTTACCTGAGCGATGCGCAGGGCCGCCAAGTCACTCCACGTATCACAGTCGATCCCAAGCGTGTCGAGGCACTCACGTCCTCACCACCTGTGTTGGCATCAGCCTCTCGGGGTCGCGGACGACCTCCGAAACGTACAGCAGAAGAAGAAGCTCGAGATGCGCACGAAAGACTCGTGGCACTAAAGAAGCGCATTGGTGGGCCAGGCATGGATCGCGGGGGCGCCACACTTGTAAACGACAAACGACGCAGAGGCCTTATTGAGGGCGATGAGACCGAGGAGGAGATTGTCAACATGGAAGACTAACCGCTACGGCGGCATTTTGATATTCGGTTTGCTGCTCCTTTGGCACTTAGTTTCTGTAATTTTGTGCAACTAGGCGTATACCCATTACGAGGACGCTGCATTGGGATTGGGATGACTTTGGCAAGTGCGCGTCGGGCATAATTGAGAACCCTCCTGTTCTCTAGGATAAATAAAAAAAACTATTCGAGCAATTGTTGCATTGCCTGATATCTTGTAACGACCAACGCCTGAACTCCGTGCTTGTAGTCGATGTGCCCGTCCTGCATGGAGCTAACATGAACTCTGATCCGGCTGCCTAATGCACTCGCACCATGTATGGAATCCGGTGTGTCTTGAAACAAGGCTAGACTGCAATGTGTTCCTTATGCCTTTGCCTTTCCCGCCTTGGCCTTTGGCTTCTCGTCAACCTTGTGGTCGTCCGAGTTGACCTCGAGGAAATGGTACAAGACGATGAGCATCATGGCAGCACTTCCGAGGAAGATTGCGAGCGTGTAGAGTTGGTCGTCGGTAATCATCTTCAAAGTGACGGCGCGTCAAGTGTAGCTGGGTACGTGGTAGGGGAGCGTTGGAGCGCGCTGCGGAGCAATTAGCTACATTTCCTCACGATCCGAGAAATCGCCAAGGAACTATACAAGTAGATGCAATACAACAGTCTATACGTCGGAAATGTCGGGGTGGGATTGGTTGCGCAGCGAGTGACTACTGAAGCTCATGTGAAGGCCACCTTGAAGCTTCGGGAATGTCGGCGAAGACAGGGCTGGCTCTAGCGCAAGGTCCGCCGCCACTCGAAAACCCACCCCACACAGCGTCATTCTCTCGCTTTGACACACACAGCCCAGGCACCACGCCAACCATCAGCCGCCGGACTCGACACGACCCCAATTCCCAAACTGCGTCCATCCTCGCATCCCCTCGCCCCCACCTTCTTTTCGAGTCGACACAACCCAAGCCAAGATGGCACCCAAAGGCAAGGGCGACCAGCCCAAGGCGAAGAAGGTCGTGGTGGACAAGACGTTTGGCATGAAGAACAAGAAGGGAGGCGCCGCTCAGAAGCAGATTGCGCAAATCAAGGCCACGCAGGCATCAGGAGGTACGCCTGATGAGAAGCGCAAGGCGGCGGAGAAGGCGCAGCGCGAGAAAGAAAAGGCAGCAGCAGAAGCGGCGCGCAAAGAGACGGCTGAGCTCTTCAAGCCGGTCCAGGTCCAAAAGGTCCCATTTGGAACGGATCCCAAGACGGTCCTGTGTCAGTTTTTCAAAAAAGGCAACTGCGAAAAGGGCAAGAAGTGCAAATTTAGTCACGACCTGGCTATTGAACGCAAGACGGAGAAGAAGAGCTTGTACACGGACAGCAGAGACCAAGAAAAGCAAGAAGAGGAGGAGCGTAGAAAGAAGGATAACATGGATGACTGGGACGATGCCAAGCTGCAACAAGTTGTCTTGAGCAAGCACGGAAACCCCAAGACAACAACGGATAAAGTGTGCAAGTACTTTATCCAGGCCATTGAAGACCAGAAATATGGATGGTTCTGGACCTGTCCAAATGGTGGTGATAAATGCTTTTACCGGCACTCCCTTCCACCTGGGTAAGTCTCGCTTGCCAAGGCGGCTCCAGAATGCAGACTAACAAGCCATAGCTTCGTCATCAAGACCAAGGAGCAGCGTGCGGCCGAAAAGGCTCTGATGGCCAACTCGCCAATGAATACTCTGACACTCGAAGACTTCCTCGAGTCGGAACGTCACAAGCTCACTGGAAAACTCACACCCGTCACACCAGAAACGTTTGCCAAGTGGAAGAAGGAGCGTGTCGACAAGAAGCAGGCTGAGGAAGAAGCCAAGAAGCTCAGGGACGCCACCGGAAGGGCCATGTTTGAAAAGGGCGACTGGGCTCAAGATAGCGATGATGACAGCAGCGATGACGACGGCGAGGATGAGTGGAACCTGGAGTCGATGAGGAGAGAAACAGAGGCGGCGCGGGAAAAGAAGGAAGAGGAGCGCATGGCTGCCGCCATGGACAAGGTGACTGTATCTTGAACGCCTTTGTTTGTCTCTAGTCAGACGACAGTCCTGGGGACGGGAAAGAAATGAGGCGACGAGAGCCTGCCGGCTGCCACACAATGCTGAAAAAGCTTGCAGGGCAGGTCGAGTAGCACTGTGGAAGCAACAGATTGGTCGTCATGCGCCTGCAGCTGTAGCCTCGAGATGATTTTGAGGCTGAGCGTTTGATGCAACACAGCATGCAACGGCGGAGCACCAGGCTGAATCGGCTTTGGTGTAATCTGGGGGCTGGCGTCCGGTTTGGGGTCTGGGTGTTATTGTATGAGGTTACGAAATATACCTGCACTTGCATGAACACCATGCTATCCGTCTACTTACCGAGGATCAACCATGCTAAGTGATTTTGCACACTACCGTAGCCATGGTCTTGAGGTGCACAATGTTGACTTGGATTGCTGAAGAATGCCAGTCTTTGACATGTCTTGGCATATACTCTAGGGAAAGGCTATAATTCCTTGCCCAGCATACAGACTTTGTCGCCAAAGTCAATGGAATGCTTGCGTAGAGCGTGATTCGCAAGAAGCTAGATGACATCACGTGGCTGGTGATTCTTGCGGTGAGCGCTAGTACGAGGGCATCGGGATCATGTTCGGGCCGAGATGCGTATGTGAGCTGTATGTATACGGATCGATATGTTTCTAAGCAAAGAATATCGCCACGGAAAGCGTAGACGGTAGACACGGTTGTGGTTTCGGATGGTGGATAGGGTGGTTAGTACACTTGCCAAGGACTTATCTCGGTAAGCCGAGGAGGCTACTTGGACGTAATTGGGGGATTCATTTTTTGTACGGAGGTGACTGTTAAAAGTTCTTGCTAGCGCCACGCTAAGCCGCTAGCCTATTAGCCTAACTATTCTTAGCGCCTATACTAATTTTTTAAAGCTAGCGATAGCTTATATACTTATTTTTTTAAGTATTTTTAATCTACTATAGTTGTAATGGGCGGGCCCAACGGGCCGAGCGTACGACTACTTACGCCATCCATAGCCAAAAAGGCAGTAACAAGACTTCAAGCTTCTTGAAGTCCAGGTAGTCGTATAGATATACTCGATCACACACACACTTTAGGCGTAGCCTCTTACACTATGCTTAAAGAACTATATACTAAAATACCAAAGTAGAGTAGCTCTTATAGCTAAGTAATCTACTTAATCTTAATGCTATTCAAGTAGCTTAACTATAGCTTAAAAGAAAAATAATATAAAAAGGCGTACTAAAAAGTTAAATAAAAGAAATAAAAGTATAGTAATAGTACTAAGATAAGCTACTTTAATACCAAGTTTAAGCTTAGATAAAGCGTATTTTATTTTATATTTAAAAAAAATTATTAAACTTAAAGGTGGTAATAAGTATAAAGAAAGGTAGCGGGACTAATCTACACAGCTTTAGCTCTATTTTCGGCGGTAATTAATGCACCCCTGTTAGCAAGAACTTTTGACAGTCACCTCCGTATCGGAAGTACTAGCAGCCACCGCCCAGGCAGCCCACAGCAGCCTTGTGCGCGCGTACGACAGATGCTCTCCCAGGCGACAGATAAGCGGCTCAAGGGAAGTAGAGACGGTAATTGGAGTGGAGTGGCTACCAAGCAAGCTGGCAGCCCAGGATCACTCCTAGGATGGTGCGCCCGAGGTTGGTGCGAGGCGACTAGGCCAGGCTGGGATGCCCTAGACACCAATGCGGCAAGCCCGAAGTCCGCCCTGTCACTCAATTGCCGCGCTGCTGTTCCGCCTGCGCCTGTGGAGCTCCCCGCAGCATGACGGCACGCTTGCTCGGCCAACGCTGCACCCTTGGCTCTCTTTCGACATCGTGGGGGTTTCTTGTACCCGACATTGTTGCCGGCCTGCTTGTCACTCCCGATATGCTCTGCCATGATGCCGTCAGCCGCCTGACATCTCACACTAGTCCGAGACGGTGACCTGATCGCGTCGGTGTATTCTTTCTTAAATAGCTGCCCTGGCTGGCTACCGGTTATTCTGTAGTCGGTTAATACACGCTTCTGCTCCTCTTCTCTTGTTATATATCTGCACGGCCGTCCCTCCAGTCTCTGCCCCGGTGTAGATTAACTCGCAGCTGTTCCTCTCGATTATATTGTGTGGGGCCCATACCGCTGTGCTTCCCTCTTGGACACTCTGAACACAGACACCGACGAAGCCATGGCCGTGGAAAACTACGACATTGTTATTATTGGCGCGGGCCCCGTCGGCCTTTGCCTCTCAACATGCTTGTCAAGATGGGGCTACAAGATCAAGCACATCGACAACCGAGCAGAGCCTACCCCTACTGGTCGAGCAGACGGTATCCAACCGCGTTCCCTGGATCTTCTGAGAAACATGGGCCTCAAGCGAAAGATTATGGAGTACGAGCCGGCCAAGGTGTACGAGGTTGCTTTCTGGGATCCAGCCCAGAAGGGTATCGTCAGGACCGGCACATGGGCTAGTTGCCCCAAGTTCATCGATGCCCGGTATCCCTTTACCACTCTGCTCCACCAGGGATTGATCGAGCGAACCTTTATCCAAGATATCGAGAAGAACGGTACCAAGATCCAGAGGCCGTGGACGATCAAGGGATTCAAGAACGATGGCAAGGACAAGACGTATCCCGTTGAGGTTCAACTGGCCCATGTAGATGGAACGGTTGAGGAGACTGTTCGCGCAAAGTACCTCTTCAGCGGAGAGGGTGCAAGGAGTTTTGTCCGAGAACAGCTGGGTATCAACATGATCTACAAGGACCCTATTGCACACGTCTGGGGAGTCATGGACGGCGTCGTCAGGACAAACTTCCCTGACATCAAGGTAAGCAGTTTCAGATCTTGCTTGTACCATTTGCTCTATGCTAACGAATTTCCAGATGAAATGCACCATCCACTCGGATGCCGGCTCCATCATGATTATCCCTCGTGAGGACAACATGGTACGCTTGTACATCCAAGTTGCCTCTTCGACCGACAAGGACTGGGACCCCCGCAAGTCTGCTACTGCAGAGGAGGTTCAAGCCCGCGCCAAGGAGATTTTCAAGCCATACACAATCTCATGGGACCGTGTCGAATGGTACTCTGTCTACCCCATTGGCCAGGGTATTGCTGAGCGCTACACCCTCGACGAGCGCGTATTCATGGGCGGTGATGCCTGCCACACTCACAGCCCCAAGGCGGGTCAGGGCATGAACACTGCTTTCCTGGACGCCGTGAACCTTGCCTGGAAGATTCACCATGTCGAGAGCGGATGGGCACCACGATCGATGCTTTCCACATACGAGTCGGAACGCAAGCTGATCGCAGAAACCCTTCTCGACTTCGACGCAAAGTACGCCAAGCTCTTCTCCACCCGTCTACCCTCAGCAGGCGAAGTCGCCGGTGCCTCGGCCAAGGAAACACCAGAGGACAACGAGTTCATCAAGACCTTCAAGGCCAGCTGCGAGTTTACCAGCGGATACGGCGTCGCCTACAAGCCCAACGCAATCAACTGGGGACCCGAACACGCTGCACAACACCCACTTATCCTGTCATACCCAGAAGGCACCACTCAACGGACAGGCAGGATCTTGACGCCGTCCACCGTCACACGAGTTGTCGACGCCAACGTCGTGCACCTCGAACAAGAGATTCCGCTGAACGGCTCGTACCGCGTTTTCATCTTCGGCGGCAGTCTCGACAAGAGCGCTCGGGCGCTCAAGGACCTCGCCACAAACATGTCGTCTCCCAACTCCTTTTTCAGCACATTCCTGCACAAAGACCTCAAGGACAAGGACCGCTACCACGAGCACCACAACCCACACACCGACTTCTTGTCTCTTGCGCTCATCTTCTCCGCGCCACGGTCAAGCATCCACATTGACGAGCAATTACCCCAGCCGTTTGCCCGCTACGCCGACCACGTCTACGCCGATGACGTCTGTGACCAGAGGGTTCCTGATGCCAAGGCTGCTGCCCACGCCAAGATGGGCCTTGATCAGGAGAAGGGTGGTGTAGTCGTTGTACGACCCGACGGCTACGTCGGTGTCGTCGTCAAGCTTGAGGAGGGCTCTGGCACCTGCGAGGCTCTCGACAGCTGGTTTGGATCCGTCACGGGAAAGAAGCTCGGTGGCGAGCGACCCAGCTTGTAGATACGCACGAAACTGTACATGTCCTTATTGTTTCCTTGGGGTTTCCAAGTCACGTTTCATAGCATAGCGGCTTTTCTTCTTTCTTCCGTCTTTTAGTAGTTTCTTTTTGTTCCACTGAAGCGGGTTGAGCGCACACGTACAAGTAGAGCACTTTTTCTTTCGCGAACACACGATTTCTCAAAATCATGGCTCTGTTTTATTTTATTTTTCACAATGAATCGGTGCTCTTTTGCTTGATGACGTGGCACATTGATATGGTGCAAAATATACAGTCATGTGCCATTTGCCCTGAGATATATGTCAGGGAAGCCTTACCAAGGTACGTAACGTAGCAAATATCCTTTGAAGTAAATGGTACTAAAACCATGAATCAGCATAGTCTGGCATACATATGCGCTTGTCAGACTAGCTATTCAAGCTACTTACATGTGACATACAGTATCGATTCTCCATTAAAAGCCAATAGCTTCAAGTCTCAGCATACCCAGTACTTAGTCAGTTTATACCGAGAAGACTCCAGATATGGCAAGAGCCGCTCTCCCTCGTTAGTGCTGAGCGGCGCAATATCGCGAATAATGCATGTGTGCCTCCGTCTAAAAAGCTCGGTGAAGCTTATATCCTTGTTTTGCCAGTACATGTCTGACTAGCCTTTTTCCCGTACTTAGTGAGCCGAGGAAATATGCACCAGGCCGGTTGCCGTGGAGCAAGAATACACCACCGAGGTTTCCAAGGCTTTCAGATGCAATCAACTAAGAATTAGTAAGGGGGATGGGGACTTGCGTGTTTTGTCACATTTTAGTTCTGTAAGATACCAGAAACTAGTGCTGGTCAACTTTAGTGCTTTGCTTTGGAAATTTCACTATACGTGCAAATAATAACGATGTCGTTTGCTTTGCTCCAACAGCGTGTTTCCCTACTTAGCTAGGCTCGGGATATCATCGACCACTGAGAGTGCCGCACGAGCTGTGTGTGTGTGTGTGTAAACTAGACCAGTCGAAGTATGAAAAAGCCCAAATCAGCCAAGGTAAAAGGAAGATCAAGATGCCCAACAAAGACAGTATTATTGCTTGTGCCTGATAAGTCTACAAAAAAACATAAAGGCCGGGTTGCATGCGAGAATCATCGTCGTCCCAGCGTGCATCAGAATGACGTAACTAGATAAATCAAGTGTTCGATTCTAGAGTCCCAAATTCTATGTATGCAACATGGCACATGCACCCTGCCACTACCTACCACCGTGTAAATTCCCCCCTCCAAACGCCACATCATGGTCTCCATCTAATCATCTCGTTTCCATCATCATTCTAGTTGACCACTCTCTTCATCTGCGCCGCCTGCCTTGGCTCGATAAATAGTGCTTCGGCCTGGGTGAGCACGATTCCATCCTTCTTGCCTTCTTGCCAGTCTTCGGGTTTGGGAAGTGTCTCCAGCCGGCCTTTGACCCATGCCTTTCTACCTTCGGCTTTTGTTGTCTCGGCATGGAGGACGACAATCTGGCCTGCCATGCAGGGCGCCTTGTAGTCGATCTTCAGGCTAGCTGTCACAGCCACTTTGTTCGGCAGCACGGGGAAACAGCAGCGTGCGAGGCCCTCGTCAAGGAGCGTCGCTAGCAGCCCTCCATGCACGATACCCGGGTGTCCACAGAGCGCGCTGCCCAGGTACTGCAGCGAAACATAGTGCGAACCGTCGCTTGTTGTGAATTGCAGCGGCGGCACTGCAATCTTGTCCTCACCCAGGAGTGTTCCACCGGTGAGATTCTGCGGGCGGAGCTGCTCTGGGATTTTGAGATGCGGGCGCGAGGCAAGGTACTTGGGGTCTTCGAGTAGGCTTTTGGTGAGCGGGTGTTCGAATATGCTCTTCTCAATCTCTGCTAGTTCTTCGCTTGAAGGCTGGTAGAGTTCAAGCGTCTCGGCGTCGGTCGGTGGGTTGGCGAGTTCTTGGAGGGATTGCATTGCGGGGGCGCCGGCCATGATGAAGCCGGTTGCAAAGGTGACGAGCGTAAGAGCGAGGGCAATGGGTAAACGAATGTAAATGGGGCGCTTGGCAGAAGAATTTGTATTTGGAGGTGGCGGCGGCGACTGAGAAGTATGCGTTTCTTGCGATAAGGCTGCTAACTAGATGTTTAGCCAAGTATTCGCTCCTTGCATGTGAAGACGATAAGGGAACGCATTGGTATTTCTTGTCCTTGCGGAATACATGTAAAGGGGACTCACCAGTGCCACTCTGCAGTCTGATCTGTCTGTTGATGTCTCTCCATGTCGCCAGGGGCACGATTCCATCTTTTATACCAGGCCGGCCGACTGCGCGCCGCACCAATGGCGCCCTACTGCAAATGCCCCGACACTGACCCACATGCCTAAATACGGTAGACCTTGCCGAAATCATGTTTATGATCTGCCCAGAAGCAGAGAATTCTGGTCTAGTCGTTTGCGTTGCACTCTGAGTCGGTGAAAGCCTAGTCACAACGGAGTGTCCGCGTGCCGCTCGGACCTTTAACATCATGTACCTCGGCTCGCAAATAGCCGGTGTTTGATGCTGCTTTACTGAGCAAACCCTATCCTTAGTAGGCAAAGGCAAAGGAAGGGGGACCAATACTCATGTTCGTGCGTGATTTGACCGATCCAATCGTGTACAATCCCTTCTTCGTTGGAAAGCCCCTATCTTTGAGCGTGCTGTCCATACCAGCCAAGTGAGCCTCATACCTCATACACATCACGAAAAGCAATGCCGAGAGCCAAACACTTCCGAAAAATTGACATTTGGTTTACTTTTTCCATAGCCCTGCCCCTGAATGCTTTGCGCGGCCCATACCCTCTTTGTAACCATCCGTTCAATCATCATACTAATACATACAGAGTAGAGAAGTGTGTCATGTCGAACGCCATGCTCATCTGCAACGCTCGTCTATCCACTTCCATGACCCAGAGAACAAACCAAATTCCCCGTCAACACAGGGTTAATAGTAAAACAGGACAGCTAAATCTTTTGGACGCCAAAGATGCTGAGAGAACAGGAGCGCTAGCGTGAAGATGCGAACAGAGATTGTAATCGTACAGTGGTCGGCGTATATGAAACGGGAGAGATTGGTGCAATGAGTCGCTCAGTAATAATCCCTCGCGCTCTTTTGCAACTCGATCAATCTCCATCCTCTTGTCTCGGGGTTGTTGACGTCCTCTGGTATTCTAGTGACACCAATGGCATAGGTGACCTGTTGGACCTTGTCGTCCATACCCGATGCCAACTCTCCGCTCTTTGCATTGCGGTAAACATGGACCTCTTGGGTTCTGCAAGTGAGGATGAAGACAGGTATCTCCCCTGGCTCTAGAAGTTTGGCGTTGAGCACATCGACACCACGGATATCCACGATCTTGCCGTCAGACTTGAGACCAGCGGCCTGATACTGTTGCATCAGCGCAGCATAGACCGAGTACTGAGCCGCCGACAACCACTCCTTCAGGACAGCGACGTCGCCTTTGACGTATGCGTCCAGAACCTCGGGCAAGATGTATTCACGCATCTCGGTCAGGAATTCCTCCATCTGGAAATTGGGATCCATTTCTCGGAACCTCTTGATGACCATGGCGGTTTCATTTTCGGCAAAGAATCCAGTAATGCGGTCCGAGATGCTGCGAGCCGTCTCAATGATGGCATTGTCAGACTCCCTATAGACGGCCTTCATGTTGAAGAAACCTTGTGCGAGCTTGGAGTTGTCTTTCCACTCCCTCCAGACCTCCTTGTACTTTGCATCCTTGTGCAATGTGACGTTCGTACCAGCACTGCGTGATGTTAGTCAAACATCACCGCGTTTCTTAGAAATATTCTTACTTTGGGTCTTCTTCCATTGGTCCAGCTTTCTTGCCTCCAGTTCGCTTGAGCTCATTGAGCTCACGTAACTCTCGCCTCTTTCGACGCTCCTCCTTTTCAACCCAACCGCCATACCGCGAGGAGCTTCCATCATCAATGGTCTCTTTGACAGCCTGGAAAGCCTTGGTTTGCCGCACTGGCCGTGTCGCATACTCGATGCCGCTTCCAGTGACCCTAGCAGCAGCGCGGACGCCCTTTACAGGCATGGTATCCCATGTCCAGGCTGCACCCTGACCCACAGCCGATGCAGTTGCTTTTAGTGCCTCGGTTGTTTTTGTCTTTGCAGCCTCAGAAAGCTGCCCGGCTTTTTGGACATTGGGGTTCTGTTGGAAGTCGTGCAGCGCACCACCCAATTGCTTTGTGCCCTCATTCCAGTCTTTGGAGGCCTGGAATTCCTGCTTCAGCGTCTCAGTGAAGACTTGCCACGGAGTCTTGTCACCGTGGGGTGGAGGTGGGGGTGTATCTTGTTTCTCTTTTTTCTGACCCTCCTCACCTTCTTTTTGTTCGCCAGTCTCTTCCTCGCCCTCTTTTTTTTCCTTTGCCTCCTCGCCCTCCTTCTTGGCTTGGTCGCCTGCAGCCTCTTCCGCAGTGCTGCCTTCAGAGGTTGTGGACTTCTTGGGTTCGGGTTCTTCGTGGTTTACGGTTTTTTGCTTTTGCGCTTGCTCGTACAAAGCGGGGCGAGAAGAAAAGTGGCGGGCGTATGCGGAAGATGTGCGGAAGAGGACATCTTGAGGCAGGAAATCGCTGCGAAGGAAAGTCTGTGGGGAAGATAAAGAGGTCGATGGCAGCGAATTGCGTGCAGCAGACGCTTGCGGCGTTCGCGGCAACGTTGATATCCGTCTATACGCTGCAGTTCTTCCACAGGCGGCTGCCGGTGTCGCAGCGGCGGACTGAATGCATCGCGCACTGGCGGCAAATGTGCTTGAGGCTGGCGGTCTCATGCTCTGAAGACGAATAGGGTAGGAGTTCTGGTCTTGATTTCAATGGATGCCTAGTCCAGAAAGTGGGCGTTCAAGGCAAGACCGCGGGCAGTGTTGAGTGAAAACGTCAGGCGGGATTGCCATCTTTTTCCGCATCGGCCTTTCGGCAATGCCAAGCATCGCAACTTCCCAACTTTCTTTGACCTTCTAGCTCGCCAACGCAATCCTAACCTGGATCGGGACACCTATCACTGTCGCCAATATGGTCAGCAATACTGTATTGCGGACATTCCGATCCCTCACATCCACCATCTGCACATCATGTCGGCAAACGCAATCGCTGCGACCCTTCACACACAGCACGCGGACGCTCAATGCAGCACCCATCGACCGCAACAAGCCTGTACAGTCAATGGACTCACTCCTATCAAACGTGGACCAGAATTTTCGCCAAGCGGGCCAGGACCAATTTTCGTCTCTCATTCCGAATGCAGACGGCACCGCCTACCGCAACCTAGTCCCGCGAGAGTGGGAGGAAGACGACAGGCACAAATTACACATATACGCACATAAACACAACACACATCTATGCCTTACCAAGCCCAATCGCGATCCCATCATCTCAGTGTCATGTGGAAACATTGGCTTCAGGAAAGCGGGGAGGGGCTCGTATGATGCTGCCTATCAACTGGCGGCTTTCCTGATGAACCGAATCCAGGACAAGGGCCTGATACCCCAGATCAAAAAGCTAGAACTGGTATACAGAGGGTTCGGGCCAGGACGAGAAGCTGTTACAAAGGCGATATTGGGCAGCGAGGGAAAGAAGATACGGCCGCTCATCACCAAGTTGGCGGACTCGACGAGGTTGAAATTTGGTGGTACGAGGAGCAAGAAGCCAAGGAGATTGGGTTAGAGGCCTGGGGCTGTTTGGACGGAGAGTAGTGGGAGAATCATGCGGAATGTACAATATGAGGACTGTGCAGTCATAGCGGGGCACTACCATGCGTCCGTCAATAACGACGTTGAGTGCCGAAGTGCGAACATCACCAAACAGCAGTGTATTTGCAGTCCAGGCGAATCAGACCAGCTTGAGAGTCATGTCAAATTTCGCGGCAGTGGCGCCCTTTCAGCGGGTGGCATAGTCCTACCACCAGAATCCGTTTCCGGGATGTTAACAAGCCTGGGCGCAAGATTTCGGGCTTCATGCCTAATAGGCCCTCTTGCGCCTCCCTGACCACCACGACTACTTCCAGCAGAATAGCTCGTGTTCTCCCAGCCCCGTGATTCTTTAGCTTTCCGAGCGCGCTCTAGTTCTCGGTCGTGTCGCAGCATAGACGACCCTTCGTCTTCGAACTCTTCGTCAAGCAACTCTCCATCCGCAGTATCATAATCCGGTGGTGCGATCCATTCCCGTGGTACAACGCATGGGAGAGCGACGCCGATGCTAGCTGCGCGGTTCAGATAGCCTGGGGCTGAGCGCCCAGTGAGCTTTTCGCAGAGGTATGATGTGAAGTGATTACAGTTCTTGGTAAGGAGATTGTACGATGTCCCTTGGAATTCCTGCGAGGCCTATAACACATCAGCTGGTCCTTTGCGCATGCGCAGCGTCGCGAACCTCTTGTATAATGGCCTCTAGTTCTTCAGCAGGGCGGAATGAGAAACCGTGTAGAATCGCTTGCTTGAAGGTACCGCCTGGAGGCTCCTGCCCGGGCTTGGTCCAGTACACCCCGGTGAGGTCTCGCCGGTCGTGTCCTCCGTATGCGTATTCCCTATCGCCGATTACCACGCCGGTGTGCAGGAGAGAGCTGCCGATTGCCCAGAGGATAGTCGCAACTTTTCCAGGCGGCAGCAGATCGTAGACGTGGATCGTGACCTCAGTTCTTTGCAGCGACAGCGTATTCCGATGTAGGCTGGAGCTTTGGCGTGCGGGTTTTGGACGGGCAGCCGACGACATTCTGCGTGGCGGTATATGGGGGACTATTCGAATATGGTATCTCGTGTCGCAGGTATGTGTATGCTGGGACCAAAGATGAAATGGTGGGGTATCATAGACAGCGGCAAAGGAACGATTTGGTGGCGAGGAAGATGGCCAGCGGCGGCGGCAGGGCGGGGCGAGCGAGAGCAGAGGACGGGGGACCTGCCCTTGGAGCAATATGCGGAGGGTGAGGTGTGGGGGGCGGAGATGAAGGATAGAGACGGGAGGCCCATGGCAGGCGACGTACAACAACACCGCTGTTTGGCGATCCGTCATGCAGCCACAGCAGCTGCTGCGCGGCTCGCATGCGCCCAGCCCCCGGGACGGCCTTTCCGCCTTGGGCCTAGCGCAGCAGACACGCCAAGCGAGCCCAGGTGGCCCCAGCGCCCAAAACTTAAGCTGCAAAATTCGATTGGACTTGGGCCGCCCGCCGTCAACCCAACCCAGCAACAGGCAGGAGAGCGGCTGCAAGTCACTCTCCCACCCCTCTATTTCATCACGCCCCCCACCACGCCTCTCACCTTTTCCTTCTCTTCTTTGATACCCGCTTTTTCCCGCCCGACAGCAAGTACTGTCTGCCACGGTTCGGCGCATTTACGCTCCTCTGCCTCTGCCGCCAAATTTTTCATCGCCTTCGCAGCCACCCGCACCTACGCGTCCGCGCCCAAGAAGAAAAAAATGCCTCCCAAGAAGCAAGTCGAGGAGAAGAAGATCCCGCTCGGCAGGCCAGGCAACAACTTGAAGAGCGGTATCGTGAGTGAGAGCCCTTTGCAGCTTTGCCTTGTCGCGTTCTCACATTAACAGTAAATGCCAGGTCGGCCTAGCAAACGTCGGCAAGTCGACTCTCTTCCAAGCCATCACCAAGTGCTCGCTCGGTAACCCCGCCGTAAGTTGCCCGCACCCCGCCACCGCAAGCCTGCGCTGACCTGCCCAGAACTTTCCCTATGCCACCATCGACCCCGAAGAGTCTCGCGTCCTCGTTCCCGATGAGCGCTTTGACTGGCTGGTAGAGCACTACAAGCCCAAGTCGGTTGTGCCCGCCCATTTGACCATCTACGACATTGCTGGTCTGACGCGCGGTGCCTCCACTGGTGCCGGTCTCGGTAACGCCTTTTTGTCGCACATCCGTGCTGTCGATGCCATTTTCCAAGTCGTCCGATGCTTCGACGATGCCGAGATCATCCACGTCGAGGGCGATGTTGATCCCATCCGTGACTTGGACATCATTGCTGAGGAGCTGCGCCTGAAGGACATTGAGTTTGTCGAGAAGGCACTTGCAGCGCTTGTCAAGGAGACACGAAGAGGAGGCCAGAGCTTGGAGATGAAGAAGCTCAAGGAAGAGCAGGCCACCGTCGAGAAGGTCCTTCAGATGCTCCAGGACGGCAAGGACGTCCGCAAGGGCAACTGGTCACCCAAGGAGGTATGCACCCATTTTTCTCTCTCTCCCGTACCCCGCCCCATTGCAAGATGACAAAGAGCGATTGCTCTATAATCCCAGCTCTCTGATGGCCCATTAACGCTGGGCCGTTCTGAAGTGACGTCCTACTCTGATTCGCAACCTGCCTTCTCAACTATGCATTACTCAAATTTGTTCGCTACTCTTTGCTTACAATTGGTTAGGTCGAGCACATCAACCCTCTTTTCCTTCTCTCGGCCAAGCCCGTTGTGTTCCTTGTCAACCTAAGCGAGAAGGACTACATCCGCCAGAAGAACAAGCATCTTCCCAAGATTGCCGAGTGGGTCAAGAACAACGCCCCTGGCGACCCAATCATCCCCATCTCTGTCCAGCTCGAGGAGCGCATTGCTGTCATGTCTGACGAAGAGGCTGCTGAAGAGCTAAAGAACCTCAACACCAAGTCGGCGCTCCCCAAGGCCATCCAGACGATGCGCAAGGCTCTCCAGCTTGGCAGCTTCTTCACAACTGGTACCGACGAAGTCCGACAATGGACGATCAGGACAGGCACCAAGGCGCCACAAGCTGCCGGTGTCATCCACGGTGACTTTGAGAAGACGTTTATCCAGGCGATTGTGTACAATTACAACACATTGAGGGAAGAGGGTGACGAAGCCACTGTCAAGGCAAAGGGCAAGATCATGACCAAGGGCAAGGACTATGTTGTCGAGGACGGCGACATCCTGCTCATCAAGGCGGGTGCGGCCAAGGCGTAGACGGGTTGTTACTTTGATGCTTGAGGGGCTGTGTCGAGCCCGTTGTCGGCTCCCGGTCATGTGTGTATGAGTCTATGATTTCGATGCGCATCTCGCGACGAGGTAAATGAAAAGCAGCTAGTCTGTGTGTGAATGAATGTATGAGAAGAAAAGGCCATTCTGAGACGACGAGTGCATTGCAAGTGTTGTGAAGTGGTACATATGATACACAGACGGACCTTTTACATACTACGGAGATGTGACGACGGATGGACAGTGCCGCTCCAAGGCTTGGTTATTTGGCCGTGGGCTTTGTTTCAGCGAGCATCCAACTGTTTCCACAGACACAGTGCTTGCTCACGCCCACCAGCCACTGGTAGTGGTGTATGGTGTAGCCCAGCAGGCCCGGGACGACATCCTCCATACACGCGCCACACCGCACACACTGCCTAAGCATGTTCTTCCTCTTCCGCTCTCCGTTGGCGTCTGGATGCGCACCGCCGGTACTCTGAATGCTATCGCTGCGGTTGCGACTGCCCATGTGCTGGCCGGGCCCCGTGCTGACTGGGTGGACCCAGGTGCCCACGCCGCGAATAATCATCTTCTGACACACATCGACGACGTGGCTATCGTGCCAGATCTGCGCGCGCCTCGAGGCATGGAAGCCCAGCCACGTCGTGTCGAAGAACATGAGCTTGCCCATGTCGAGTTTGTCGGCCAGACAGCCGTTTTGCTGGTTGCTGTTCCACAGGGTGTCGGTGACGAGGCGCTTTGCGACTGGAAAGAGGATGTCGGGGACTCTCCCGAGGAGGATCTCGCGCTCGACGAGGTTGCGCTGGGCGTCGTTGAGGTTGCGCTGCTTGTAGATGCCGCGGACGTGGTTGAGGGTTTCGCTGATGAGGACTTCGAACCAGCGCCACTCAAAGGGGAGTTCGGTGACGGCCGAGAGCAGAGGCGTGTAGAGTTTCTTGGACTCGGGCGACTGGATGGGCGCATTGGGGTTGTTGGCGTGGGCTTCGGCGCTGCGCTTGACCCATTGGATGGGCTGCGCCCAGAGCTTCATCATGGCGCGGGGGAAGGCCGAAAGCAGGATGAGCACGGCAGGCTTGTTCATCTCCCTGATCTTGTTCTCGAGCACTTCGCGCGTCAGCTCGGCGGCTGGTATGTCGGATAGGGCGCGGCCGAGGGAGAAGAGCTCGTCGAGCGTGTAGGCCATGAAATGCATCGTCCATCGAATGGTGCCAATCATCTGTGGCACAGCCTCGGGCCTAAGGTTCGTCTTTCCCACGTCGCCGTGCATGCGGACAATGGTGGTGAGGATCTGCGTGACATATTTGATGTTGAGTATCTGCCACGCTATTTTGCTGCTCAGGGTGCGGTCGATGTTGCCGTGCAGTCCAAGGAGATGCATTGCCGAGAGGCTCTTCACAAAGAACGGCGACCGTCCTAGTAAGATGAAATGATTTGTAGATGAGTCGTCGATTCCGCAGTCGATGTTCACCTGCAGTCCTTCAAATAGCAGGTTGATGAAGTCATGCTTTCGCTTGTCGCTCATTGACCCGACGATTGCGAAGATGTCGTCGCTGGAGAAGTATTGGTTGGCAGCCGAGGATGACTGAAGAATGAGTGCTGCAAGTGCAGCAGAATGGCGCGGGTCTTCGTCATCTGTAGATAGTGTGCCGTGCGAATATTCCATCGAGCGGAGCTTCACTGTGCCGTCTAATTGCAGACCCACAGCCATGCAGTGGTTGGGAGAGAATGCAACATGGAGTGAGGGTTCAGCATGCTGGAAGATGAAGCCAGCCTGCAGCAGCGAAGTTACATGTTCTGTGTTATCATCTGGCATGATAATCTCCATTGTAGATCGTTTCCTGAACTCAATGGAGCCATCGCTATAGCAAAAGGCTAGCAGCATGTTATACCAGATGGGATAAAACTCCAAGACGACTGCGTGAAGCGAGAAATCTGGCTGTCGCTTGAGCAGATATGTGGTCTGGGCAGGTATTGAACCAACGCTCTTTTTCTTGGAAGTGACGTGGTCGAGGCCCGGGTGCAGCTGGTTCTGCTGTTCTTGATGGACCTCCCACTTGACAATGGTACTATAGCGTGTTTCTTGTGGGTTCATGTCATATGAAATGGGGTTTGGTGGCTTGCTAAATATGGCCTGGATTGTAGGCACAGAGCCGTCGTCTTGTTGAGGTGTGACAGGAAGGAAATTCAAATGCGTCAGTTGAGCGGCAGCAGCAGGCCCTTTTGATGATGTACCATTACTTAGGTCGTCATTGATCATGTCAACAGGATTGCAAGCATCTTCTAGAGCGAGGAGTGAGACGTGAATGGTTGGCTTCTCAAAGGGACCAGCATTTTGGCTTCGTTTATCAGCTGGAACATTCCAAATGGCTTCCACACGGTACAGGTGTAGGCGTCTCTTGACATCGTATGCTGCTAGCAGAAGGTTGTTGTCTGTGCTTGTTAGTAAAGGGGCGCAGCAGTGAAGAAAGGGCATGTACCGTTGTTGGAGGCAAAAGCAGCATGGGTAAAGGCTTCTCTGGTCGCCACCATGGGCCCCAGCTGGGCGGATACTTCTTGCCAGTTGTTGTCGTTTTGCTGGAAGCGGAGTTTGAGTTCACCGTACCTCTTCAGGTAGATGAGTGACGCTTTGCCGTCGACTGGGTGATGGGCGTTGTTGAACAAGTGCTGTCTGATGTTCCACTTCCACTTGTTCCCTTCTCGCGCCGCCGACCAAGCGATCAGATTCTATAAGCGTGTGAACGCATTGCCAATGAAGTGTGAGTGGAAAGACTACCTTTTGTGCATATGGCAGGATTGCCAGCCAATGCATGCCAACGACAGCATCTGCTTCGGACTCGGGATGGGCGATTTCTGCTCTGGTGAAATGCATGCGGTCCAGGGCCATGGCGCAGGAAAAGACCATGACGCGGCCGGCCTCGTCGGTGACGGCGAGATCGTTGCCCAGATGGCTCCATGACAAGTGCGTCAATGGGAACACATCGCGGCCTTGTGGCAGGTCGAGCGGGACGTTCCTGCGGAGATCCCACTTGCCCGTTTCAGGATGACGTGAGAATATGTTGAGGTTGACAGAATAGCCGTCTGGGCTTATGTATGCGACACAGCCATTCTTTGACCACGAAATCTTTCTAGCACGCGTCAGAAAAGTTGGCAGGCAAGACAGGCAGGCTGGACTTGCTGGCAACAGCCGCTCGAGCCCAGCTCGTCGATGCGGGCATCGAGGCCCTTGACGGGAGGCGTTGTATTAATCGACTGTATGTTGACATGCTCCGAGTCGCCAAAAAGGTCATCTACATCCATGTTGTAGCTTGCGCCATCCATGGTGAGGCGGGCTTCGCAGCACGCGGACGGATCAACGGGCGGGACCGAAGAAAAGCGGCGGGGAGAGAGCGTGGAGCAGGCAATCCACGGGCATCACAGTCCGGGCAAAAGGAAACAACGGGGAATGGCATTCAGGCGTGATGGCGGGCGAGGGAGTCGGTGCAGAGGCTCTGGCGGAGGTTGCCCAGGCGGCGCGCGCTGGCTGGCAAGCAGCAAGCATGGGATGGCGGCAGTAAGCGACGCGCTAACGCCTGCTAGCGCGCTTCTAGCTCGTGCTCGTGCGCCGTGGGCGGGAGCTTGGCGCGCAATCGTCATGCTTGGACTTTGGCTATTCACCCATTTGCAGTGCAACGCTGGCCACGGCCGTTGCAGCCGTCGCACCCACCACGCGCAGGCTCAGAGACACACACATCCAGCCACCGCGCACAGGGGCCGACGGGCCTGGGAGACAGCCGTCGAGGGCGCGGGAGATGCACCGCGCGCTTCGCCCAAGCCCCAGAGCGGCGCCATGGCGGTTGCTGCTGTCACGCCGGGCGGAGAGGCAGACGGCTACGCAGAACGCGAGGGCGAGGGCGAGGGCGAGGGCGAGGGCGGAAGGCATGGGACGAAAAAACAGAAGGCTGGCACAAAGCCAAAAGCCCATATGGGATATTGCTTATGCTGAGCACTCGGCTGGCTCGGCCCAAAGGTTGAGCCAAATGCGTGTATGTACATAAGGAATTAGTGTAAACAGGTTGGGTGTTTAGGTGCGCCTGCCGCCTGCCTTTCCCCCCTTGGCGTTCGCACCGGCGGCGCTCCATGGTTGTCACGGTGAACGAGCGCTGGACCCGTCGTTGTCGCATGCTCCGCCAAACCTCTTCACCTCGCCCGCCCGCCCTTCACCTCTCCCACCACCACCACCACCATCACCACCGCCATCACCACCGCCATCAGCGCCATCACCAGCACCATCACCACAACCGCCTCCCCACGCGTTTGTCCCGCCCACGCGCCTGCCCTGCCCTCGGTCCCTCGCGCCTGCCGCTCTCGTCGCAATGCCCTAGCGCACCTGCCCCCATTCGCACGCTTTTCGTCGACGGGGCGTCCCCCGATAGCCCGCGCTGCCAGTGCCAGTGCCAGTGCCAGCAACCACCAGCCCACACGCAGCCCTGCCCATTCGGCGCCTGCACGCAAGCATCGCCAAAATAATCCCGCCCGCCCGCTCTGCATCCCTATGAGCGCCCCCAGCGCGACTCTGCACGCTGCAACACACGTTGTAGCTCCACACGCGGCCGCTCCCTGAAGCCGCCGAGCCCGCTGCCCTCCACCATCGAACCTTCCGCACGACGCCCGCCTGTCGCTGCCCATTGCTGCAGACCCCCCACACCACACGCGCCGCGTCTGCTCCCTTCACAATGGCGTGCACCGCGTTAAATAACGTGCCGAGCTCGCCCTTGACCGAAATCTCCGACTCGGAAATCTCGCTGCTCTCTCGCTCGCCCACGCCGCCCCCAGAGCCGAACTCGTTTGCCCAAGGGCGCGTCTACATGTCGCCCTCGTCCTCGCGGCGCTCGTCTGCCAAGACCACGCCCGCTCCTGAAGACATACCTTCACCGCCCTGCAGCAGCAACGACGACAACCCGCGTCCCGCAAAGAGGAGGAAGACGCTCGAGCCCAAGGAGCGCACCGCCGAATACCTCGACCTGTCCCAGCCCGAGGTCCCCCCACACCATCTGCCCCAGCTGCAGCGCCTGCTGACGGTGCTGCACAAGAAGCGCAAGATTGTCGTTATTGCAGGAGCTGGCATCTCCGTGTCGGCTGGCATTCCCGACTTCCGCTCCGCCACGGGCTTGTTCAACACGCTCAAAAAGGAGCACAAGCTCAAGTCCTCTGGCAAGGACCTCTTTGACGCCTCTGTTTACCAAGACGACACGTCGACGTCGACGTTTCACGACATGGTGCGCACCCTCTCTCACCATACCAAGTCCGCCCAGCCGACCGCCTTCCACCACCTGCTCGCGACCTTGGCCCAGGAAGGCCGATTAATGCGACTGTACACGCAAAACGTCGATGGCATCGATACCTCGTTGCCGCCTTTGAGCACCCAGGTTCCTCTGCCCAAGAAAGGGCCCTGGCCCAAGACTGTGCAGGTACACGGTGGCCTGGACTACATGTCGTGCTCCAAATGTCACGCGGTAACACCTTTTGATGCGGAAAAGTTCAACGGGCCTAGTCCACCCCCGTGCCCGAGCTGCGTGCAGAACGACGAGATCCGCCAAGTTGCCGACAAACGAAGCCACGGCATCGGCCGTCTGCGCCCACGCATGGTCCTCTACAACGAGTACAACCCCGACGATGAATCTATCGGCTCGTGCGCTTCCTATGATATGCGCATGCGACCAGACGCCGTGATTGTCGCTGGCACCACGTTGAAGGTTCCGGGTGTACGGCGTATAGCTCGCGAGATGTGCAACATTGTGCGCGACCGAAGGGACGGCGTCACCGTGTGGCTGAACAACGATCCTGAGCCAGTCGGCAAGGATCTCGAAGACAAGTGGGATCTGGTAGTCAAGGGGCCTTGCGACGAAGTGGCTCGCCATGCCAATATGCGTCGATGGGACGACCCCATGGACTACAAGACGGTCACGGATGAGCATCTTACCAAGATCAAGGAGAAGCAAAAGGCCGAGGTTATTATTGGTACCCCTCGCAAGCCGGGAGTGCTTTGCAATGCCGGTCAGCTGACACCTGGCCAAAGTCCACGTATCCTTCCTCGAGCATTCGACGAGGAACCCGAAACGCCTTCAAAGAAGGGCACAAAGAGAAAGGCAGACATTCAGAATGCCCAGCTAGATCTGTTTGGCAAGGTCACAGGGAAAGCACCTACCAAGAAGCCCAGAGCGCAGCCAAAGAAGGTGACGGCGACGGCGAGTAAGACCAAGGCAAAGAAGGAGCCAAAGAAAGAGGCTCCCGCTATCAACAATGTCTTCAAAGCTACCAAAGGCGCGGCAAAGACTGCGGCAAAAAATTTGAACAAGGCGTCTGACCCTGCTCTTACAGTACCCCAATCCAAGTTCAACCCGCAGTTGAGGCCAAAAGAAAATATTAATGACACGACTGTTGTTGTTGGGAAGGGCCGGAATCCCACTACGCCCAGGAAGGCGAAAAAGCTTACAAAAATAAAGCCCGACTACAACTACTTGCAGCCGCTGTCGAATGTTGACGGCCGCAACAACTCGTCGCCAACACGGCCACCTGTCGAGAGTTTCACACCCACCAAAGACCGTACGCCCAATGCTCAGATTGAGGAAGAGATGGCATTTGCGCACGCCACATGTACAAGTGAATCTCGTCCTTCATCCTCCGGCAGCGCACAGCGGCACGTAATCGAGAGTCCTACAGGTGCCGTTCCCAAGAACATGAACCACCTTCTCTGTTAGCCTGTATTGCATTTTTCGGTGTTGGTGGTACCGCTTCTTTTCTCACTCGCATTTGCGTGTACCATGACAGCATGTAGGCGTTTGCTTTTTACGCGCAGACGAATGTCAGCTGTACCAGTACCTTTTTTTCCTTGTTGGCCATGCATATTCTACTTTTTTTTACTGCATGATACCCACGCGGACCCCTGATGGAGACAGATACGGCGTCTTGAGGTCCCCCTACACGTGCAGGGTTATGTTTAGGAGATAGTCTAGAACTCTTGCCTCGATTGATATTTTTACGCGCTCAAATAAAAAACACCTAGCCATGTGGTATGATGACGACACCCTGTGATTTCTTAGCATGTCTATTCTCTCGCTTTGACTAGATTGAATCGTGTGTCCATATTGTTTACGACAGCGAGGTGCGCGTCCTGGACGCGCCTTCCGAGACTGGCGCCGCCTTGGCGCTTGGTCCACCAGCGCCTATCAAGCTGGCTAGTTCCCTATCATCCTGTCTAGATGTGGCCTCCATTTTCGCTTGCAATAAGTTGCTGCTGATAGCTGGTTGTAATCATCAGCAAGCCGCGGGTCGTCTTATCCATTGTTCCACGGCAGAGGGACAATACTCGTGCCCTGAGACAACTCAAAAGTTGGCTGTGAAGTTGCTTCCAAACATAGGGATCCCCAAGTACACCAGAGGCTGGAGGAGCTGGGGTTTATGAGATGTCTTCCCCGCTTACAGTGCGGAACCTGACTTCGACCGCCATCTCATTGCTTCGTGTCGAGCGATTTGAAGATCCAAACACATTACAATCCAAGGCGAATGGATACTTTTTCAGCTCAAAAACTACTACGCACGCGACACCTACAGCACCAGAGCTCAGTGGGCATGCGCAGAGCTTCAATTGCCAGGACTTGGAAGTAATACTACAGCCTTTCGAATCCTATACGCTCAGTTTTCCAAGTCTAGCTCAGCCGAGTAGTACAGCCACTCTGTCATCTCCAACACTCCGCATCACAATTCAAACAGCCAACAATGAACGACACCGCGTCGACACAAACCCTTCGTACACGCAAAAGTCAACACAGACCTTTACTGCACTCTCGGCAAGTCCATCGACAACCTACAAGGCCATCTTCCACCCTTCTAAGCCCACCCCCCACCTAGCAATCCATAGCAACCACGTCCCCAGGTATTCATCATGGATGGCCACACTTCCAGACAACCTCCCTGTATCAGCAATCAGCATCCCCGGAGCACACAACGCACATACACACTACTGTGCCCTGCCCTCTGTCCGCTGCCAAGTCCACGACATCCAAACCCAACTGGACAACGGAATCCGCTTCCTCGACATACGGGTGCAACCCGTCCACGCCACCGACGTGTCCAAGAAAGAGCTATACCTCGTCCACGGCGCCTTCCCCGTCAGTCTGACAGGCCCCAAGTACTTCGACCCCGTCCTCCAAACATGCTACACGTTCCTCGCCGCCAACCCCCGTGAAACCATCCTCCTCAGCCTCAAAAGAGAAGGCATCGGCAGCGCTACAGACGACCATCTCGCCCGCATCCTCCAAAAACACTACATCGCTCGTAATCCTGCTGCGTGGTACACGCAAAACAAGATTCCTTATCTCGGGAGTGTGCGTGGCAAACTCGTCCTCGTACGGCGGTATACCGTGGAATCTTCGACATCGACATCGACATCTGATTCTCCAGACGTGCAAAACGCAGGTCTAGACGCTACAGCATGGCCTCACAACGCAACTCACGCCGTGTTTCCCTCGTCATCATCATCATCATCATCACAATGCATAACCCCCACCTTCTGCCTCCAAGACTTCTGCGAAGTCCTCGTTCCCTCGCTCATCCCCTCCAAGCTGCAGCACTGCAACGACCATCTCGTCCGCTCAGCCGCCGCCATGCACCCCATTCCAGGCATCACCACGGATATCGCTAACCCCGTGCCCCCGGGCCCGCTGTACCTCAACTTCCTGAGCGCCAGCAATTTCTGGAAAAAGGCGTGCTGGCCCAGTGCCATTGCCAAAGTCGTTCATCAGGGCATGGAAATGTGGCTGTGTGGCGGCCATCATTTGCAGGATGAGGGCGTCACGGGGTCCACGAGGGAGCCTGCGGGCGGGAATACGGAGAGTCGTAGTCAGAGTAATAGTGGGGGTGTGGAGGTGAGAAAGGCAAAGAGTGGCGATGGCAGCACGGGCATAGTGGTTATGGATTGTGTAGGGGAAAATGGGGATTGGGACTTGGTTCGGCTGGTTATAGGCATGAACGTGGGTGTTTTACTCAAGTTTCCTCCTCCTTCTTCTTCTTCTTCTTCATAGTTGCTAAGAGTGTAGTTGATGAAGCCAACGCAAGTCGTAGATCATGGGGAGTTGTACAATCAAGATATAATACAATGAGTAGTCAGAGGAGCAATTGAAACTCTTGTAGTCTCATCGAACTCGCGTATGCAAGAGCCAGAGCCATGTGTTACTTGGTTACTTTGAGCCTCCAACAAGACTATTCTTGATCTCTTTAATCCCCTCCTTGGCCATGGCACCCACAACCACTGTCTTGTCTGGGTTGTCCGCCCTCTCCACATCCACACTCAGCTTTCTGTCGTGCCAGCCCGTAGCCCTCAAGTATCCGGCGGTGCCCATGCCCACGAACATGCCGCCAAAATGGCTTGCATGATCCATGCTGGAGCGCTTCCTCAGGGCCGAGTGTATTTCGAGCACGACAAAGGCGGCAAACAGCATCTTTGGCCAAAACGCCACTTCCGAGTCTCGCAGCAGCGGGATCTTGATGGTTTCCTGGTCGGTGAGAAGGCAGTAGAGGGCCGAGATGCCCCAGATGGCGGCGGAGGCGCCCACAGAATGCGCCGTGATGTTTCCGCGACCGAGATTCGCCCAGTAGAGCGAGGCGAGTGTGCCAACGGCTCCGGCACTGACGTACGTGCCCATGAAGATGCCGCGCCCGACCAGGTCGCAGCACGCGGGGCCGACGAGACACAGCATCATCATGTTTGCGATCAGGTGCTCGTATTGGATATGGCTGAAGATGTTCAAGACGCTCTGCACCGCGCGTGGGTAGCCGGGCACGTGCATGAAGTAGCGCGTCATCAAGGGCCAGAGGGGCATGATTCGCCATGCAATTGCCACGACGCAGTTTGTCACGACCAGAGCGCCTATGGTGGCAGTTATGGGAGACAGGTCTGGAAAGAGGCGGTACTCGGGCGACGGCGGCAGGTAGTAGTATGCGAAAGCCCAGGAGAGGATGACGGTGACGAGGACAAAGGCCGTCATGGGGGAGAGACGCTGTGCCTGGAATCTGGTTAGCAGGCGTATGGAAGTGGAATGGGCCAAGGGGGCACATACGAGAGTAGTCTGAGCCAGTAGTTCTTCCGGGGTCTTCGCATCTGTCACCTGGGCGGCCTTGTTGTACTTTTCCATCTCTTCTTTCCTTCGGCTGACTTGTTCACGGCCAAAGACATCAATGTACGTTGTCTGACCAGGCTTCATGAGCTGCGTGCCCGTTGGCGTACGCACCCACTCTCCGCTGGCGAGCTTCTCCTCCATCTCGCGCTCTTTTTGCTCCTTCTCCTCTGCTATTCTTGTGATTTCCTCCAACCGCGCTCTCCTCTTCTCTTCAATGTTGAGCTCAAACTGACTCTTGCCCGCATGCAGAATGCCAATCTTCTGGTCCTCTCCTTCCTGGCGCAGCCGCTCCTGCTCTTCCTGTTCCATCTTCTCCCGAAAGGCGCGGGCGGGGTCCTTGTACTTGGACTCGGTCTCCGGGTCTGCTAGCCATAGCTCGTAGGCGATGCGGTTGGCCTCCTTCTCGGCCCATTCTTCTGCTGCGCGCGCCTCGTCTATCGGGTACTCTGTCCGCAGCCATTCGAGCCCCTTGAGTGCGGTTTCCCGGCTCACGTGCGTGTACTGCTTGCCTAGGTTGTCCACGCCATAGTCGGCTAGAGAGCCGACTGTCCGCCGGTGGTGCAGGATGCGCAAGACATTGTTGCCGTCCTGTGGCGACAGCTTCCAGCCAAAGATGCGCTGTATTGTTGCGTCACCGACTGGCCCGTCGGGCAGCGGGCCTATTCGTACGGTGCGCTTGCGGGACTGCGGGACGGTGGGGTTTCGCGGTGTGTCTATGACTCTGGCTCGATAGCGGGGCGTGCAAGCAAAGAAGCGACATTGCGGCCGTGATGTTCGATGGCGCTGGATGAGGGCCAGTAGCGGGGATGTGGACGAGTGTTCAATGGGTGCTTGGGCGGTGCAGAGCCGCCGTGCAAGTGAAGCGCATGTCGGCCGGAGCAGCGACATGGCGTACTCGGGCCCTGTCCAGCCCAGGCAGTCGTGCACACGAGGTGAATTGTTCAGACTATACGCCTATAGTCTCTGGGCTTCGGGCATGCGCCGTGGCCAACATTGCATGGCTGGTGGGTGGGCGGAGAGAATGAGCGCACGTTGGTGGATGATTGCATACTTTCTCAAAATGTTGCCATGTCCAAGTCTGTGCTGACTTAGCCCAAAGTAAGTAACTACTTACCACCATGTCCATAGCACTGCTCATCTCCTGCATCAACACAACATGCCAACATGTGCACAGCCAAGGCTCGCTACAAGTACAACAGTATATGGTTTCGACATTCCGCTACCTAGCAACCAATCACGATACAAGCCGCCCATTACTGCATCGGTACAAATTCGTTATGCTGCAGCGCCTGCGAAATCTCCTTCACCGGCCTGACATAACTCACCAACCTCGCAATCGCCCAGTCAATGTGCAGTCCCATCATGTTTCCAAATACGATGCTTCCCCCCTTGCTGAGGTGGGTGTTGTCCGATAGGTGCAAGTTGTATGTGTGCGCATTCTTCGGCCCAATGGCATTCAGGTACTTGGTGCTCGCAGCATTGAGGTCAATGAGAATCGCATGGCTGAGCTCAGCCGCCTTCTTCGTTGCCGCCGTCACATCGGCGAGACTCTCAATGACATGGCCCGAGGAATCAAAGTCGCGCTTGCTAAGCGGCGTGACCAGGATGGGTGTGGCGGGGATGGCCTTGACTTCCTTTACGAACTGAACGAGGTTGCGCGTAAACTGCGCCATGGAGATTTTGTTCTCGGGCCTCTGGTCGCCATGCCCAAACTGGATCGTCACGTACGGAATGTAGGCCCCATTTGCCCCCGCTGCCTTTGCGGCCGCAAGAACCTTCGCCCAGTGGCCGTCTGCGCGATATGAAACTGTCGTCGCAGCGTTCACCCCAAAGTTCCTTCCTGTGGCTCCTTGAACCAGACATGTGTTGAGAAAGCCATCACCCCAGCCACCTGAAAACTTGGATTGCGGCGCCGTTGTCCCGTCGCCGGCCAGAACAAAATACGACGGCCTACGGTCGGGGTCTGGAACAGGAGTGGCCGTGGAAAGGGAGGCAAAAAGTGCCAGGTATGAGAAAGCTGAGTTGAGATACATATTGAATGATTTGTGGTGTGAAGCAGGATGCTGACAAGTCTCGGTTGCTATCAAAGTGGTCCATTATTAACCACCGAGATGCCTCAGGACTTTATACTGGGCAGGTCAGATTTCCAAAAATAGACCAACTTTAAAAACGACGTTGGATGACCTGTCACCGTTCCTTATTTCCTGCCAAAAAGCTTATCGCGAGGAATATTGCACTGGAGAGTAAGACGACCAAAGCGTTTCCACCAATCGGTATCAGCACGGGCGTCCTGGTCGCTGCTTGTGGAGAAACTGGCGTTATTCAGGAGAACTTATTACCCCAACATGCACGCCTCTACCTCAGCCGTAAGACTCTGTGAACAATGCTTGAACACTGCTCAGGTACCACTGACATGTTCCCCAATCTTCGCATCGGCCGTCTCCGCCTCGACCCTGGGCTCCATCTTCATCCTCACAAACTCCTTCTTCATGCTCTCAAACTCTTTGAAGCCCTGGAAATACTTTCGGCGGAAATCATTCAACTCACTAGCTCTTGTGCCCTTTTCATATTCTCTCTTGACAGTCTCCAAGGCGCCCTCGGGTATCTCTGACTCGCGCCGACGCCGGTACGTCAAGAGTCGGCGCGACCATTTGTTGAAGGCTTGCACGCATACAGACGTCAGCTCGAGCCCTGGATGCGAGGGTATGATGAGCTCAACGTCTTCGTCATTGGCAGTGGGCATCCACATGCTGATGCGCCCGTCTTCGACCAGTGTAGCAACAGCAAAGGCAAGTATGTCGTCGAGCAGCGCAGTAAAAGAATACGGCCGCTTTGGTGGAATATATCCCGGTTCTTTGAACTGATCTTGATGTGATTTCCGCTCGTTTTCCAAAAGCTCTTGTCGTGACCCAAGGACCTTGAGGCCTTCGCGGATGCCGTACGGCGGATCACAAACGATGCCGTCTAGGTAGCCTTTGCCTTGCTGATTACTAGTCGGCAGCATCCTCAGTGGCGTATTGGTGAGGTCGGAAATTAAGGCGCCCAGATATCTTGGTTCGAAGCCGTATTGCTTAAAGTTGCCGACTACGTCGTATTTACCCGTCTGCCCTCTTCTGGCACTTCCGCCCGTACCCCGAATGGTGCGGCCGTCAATATCGCTTCCAAACACCACGGCTCCAAAATTAGCACACGCGATCGGAAATCCGCCTGTGCCCATGAACGGATCGTAGAATAGCTTGCCTGGCGCCACATGTGCAATGTTGGCTGTGACTAGCGTAAGCTCTGCGTCCATGGATGTTGTGCTAATGTAATGTCTCTTCTTGAGGTCAAACTTCTTCTTGGCCTCATTGCGACACGAGTCGGCGATAAAGCGACCAAAGTACAGGTATTTTGGCTGTTTGGCGTCGAGCTCGTAGTCTTCAAACACGCGGAAGGCCACGTCAGGATCGCGCATTCGCGGCGGGCCCTTGAAGGCTAAGTAAGAGAAGCTGTCGATAATCTCGCGCTGTTCATCGCTTGATCTGCCTCCGCGGTAGCCTTCTACGGTAAAGCGGAAGGATGCACTTTCGTACTGAGCCCATTTTGAGGCGGTTAGTCTGCGGACCGACTTGTGGAGAGTGCCGTACTCCTCTCCTTGGCCCCACAGCTCATATATGCCTTGTGAAAGCATGCTACGAGCAATAAGCTTCCGCGCCGCAGCATCTGAGGGAAGTTCGACGATGCAGTAGGGAGACTTGACTTGCTTTGTTAGGAAGCTTGTTTTGACGTGGACGTATTTTTATGGCAGTACTGAACTTCATAAAAAAAACCACACACATAAAATCCATGAAATGAGCGTTGCACATCAAGAAGTGCAGGAGTGTTGATGTGAGTTGGGAGAAACAAAACATGCACTTACATCTTCCTCATACTTGACAAACTGCAGTTTTACGCCCGCAACATCTGCCAAGGCCTGCAACTCAACTTTGCGGAAACTCTCGTGAGCTTGCGCAAGCCTGACCAGATACTGAGGCATGATTGGCGTTTTGGATCGGAGGGGTGACTTTGAGGCTGCTGGGATGTATAATATCTAGTACACCATCTACAGTGATACGTCAAGGGGGTAATGCTCAATCAGGTATCGGCATGACCAGTGGCCAGTCTTCCGGTTCGTCTTTTTCTTGCTTTTTTCTGATAGTTTTTTTTTGCCGAGTTCCCCTCTCACCCAAATGTAGAGAAGAGTCACGAGTCCCGCCAGCCGCGAATTGGGAAAAGCGAGAAAAAAGTTGTGCGGGTCGGGAGCCATCATTCATCATTGGTTCGTTTAGGAAAGACTTATACTACATTTGTCGGCAGGGGTAACCTCACCGCATCGCGCATATCCAATAGCCCGAAACCGCTATGTTCTGCAGGGTCAAACTTAGTCGACCGGTCTTTCATTGTAAATGGCGTGGATATCTATTTCAGCCTACATCATGATATCCTGGAACCTCGACAGCTTGCTGTTCTATGCATCCCAGAGATAGTACTGTTCGTTTGCATCGCGCAGGATAAATCGGTCATCTTGTATGGCTTTGACAACTGGACGCAATCCGTCGATTTTGAAGTCTCTCGCTAGATTCATATCAAGCCTTGAGCCAAAACAGTTTTCCAGATGGAGCTTGTGGGGATCGTTTGTACAGGACTGCCATATAGAATGGTAGTATTCGCCGTCCAACTGAACCTATGGTATTCATGGCAGTGAAAAATCATCTTAGGAAATAAATAGGAGATTGACTGCTCATTGATCTTTCACGCGAATATAGGGTAGGTATTGTTTGATTTACAAGTGGTTTCGACGTGTTAACGCAATGCAGTTGTATATACATGGTAGGTCTAAGATTCTTAGTAGCTGTTATGACAACTACTGCACCACCTCCTTGAAAGAAATCGAACACACGCTAACCCTAATACAGTTTGGTCTTCATTCTGTTCCTGAGGTTCTTGTTTGATTTCTTTTAATTAGGTGGTGAATGATGGAAGGTGCACTTAGTAGGAGCATCACTAAAGGCTTGACAAGCATCGCCTATACTCACACACTATAATTTAGTTAGATCTAACTCTCTTTAAAGATTAAGCTACTACTTACTTGACCCTCTCCACACGGGAAAAAATAATTTTGAGGTTCCCCATGGAATTTACCTTCAACCATACATTCGCCGGTTGGTGCACAAAACTATGTGTATTAGGCAATAGCTAATGATATAGGACTCTGTTCTTACCCCTTTACATCCACCAATTGCACTGCGACATCCAGGTTGTTTAACATCTGAAGCTTCCAGCTCAGACCCCAGATCTGCAGCCAGGGTTAGGACTGAGAGCATTGCTACAATGAAAAATTTCATAGTGATGTTTTAATTGGAGCTTGCTGGGCAGAGAAAGGGGGCGATAGGACAAAGAATATGGATTTCAGTGAAAATATTTATCCTCTAGAGGGAGGGAAATTCTGTGTACAGTATTGTGTTCGTGAAATCTTGTATAGTACGGACGTATATATACACATTGAGAGCTTGATTATATCCTACCCTGCCGATCAACAGTAAGAGGCGAATAGGTTCTATAACAACGCAAAGCGCTAATCTAGCCCCGATGAAGCCTTCTTTTACTTAATTCCGCGCTCTATGTAGTAATGCTAAGAAGTACTATATCCTAAGATAAGTATTATAAAAAGTAGGCTATATAAGCCTTAGTAGTAGTTGCTAGGAACCACGTTCCTAGCGACATGAGAGGGCTTAGTTAGGAGCCCCTAGCTAGCTTGTAGTATATAATCCCTAAGCCTACAAAGTTCTAGAGGCTAAGGATTCGTCTTGGAATATACTACTACCTACTGCTACCATTAAGCTCTTATCGTACTGTTCCGTGCCTAAGTCCTTTAGTAGTTCTAACAGTAGTAGAGGTAGTATAGTAAATAGGTCTCTATCTTAAGATTTCTTTTTTGATAATATGTTTTTTTAATACTAGTTCTTATTAGATAGTTAGTACCTTATTTTATAGCCCTTATATAGACCTATAACCTATTAATACGTTGTATTAGTCAAACTATAATAGATAAGAAGATATTAGCCTACCTACCTTGCTAAGACTTAGGTCTCTACCTTCTAGCCTAAAGAGGAATTACTTGCCACCTATTATTGCTAGCCTAATGTATTATATTCGTAAGTTATAGGCCTATACTATAGCTATAAAAGAAGACACAAATTATCCTAAAAGAATTAGTATTAAAAGAGATCTTATAGAAAAAGAGATTCTAAGGCAGAGACTTATATACTACGCTACCCCTACTACTGCTAAGGCCGGTATTTTGGTGGAGCAACTAGGGGATATACCCCTAGCAGCCCAAATAGGAGTCAGATAGTGCCAAGGGCCTGGCATGAAACCAGGAAGCAGAGGAAAGGGGGACGGAGAGGACATACAACACACAAAAAACAGAACCAAATATACTGCTACACTCCCACCTACCTATCCAAATACGCTATTTATGTACTAGGTGTATAGTCAGAATGACTATCAGACTACTAGTAATAGAGCCTGTATAGCCACCGAGCACCCGTGCAGCTGGAGGTGAATAACGCTCCACGACAATATAGCCCACTTTTTACAACACTTACCCTAGGATATAGTAAGAATTAGAGATAACTAGGCCCATTCTTTGCTGATTATTAGGGCAAAATGCAGTTAAGCCCGCGGCATAGTACCGGATATATTACTTAGCCATTCAGCGAGCTTATTCTTACCAAGGTTAGGACCAATGTGAAATACAAACTCTATAAGGTAATTTAACGTTTGAGAGATTTTTTTCATTGGCAATTGCTGCCGCACTGTCTCTCCTCTGGCATGTCATTCTGACATAATATCACCCATCAAGGCCGCGCATGCCTATAATACATCGTTATCACCTCGTGTCCCTCCCGGTAAGCCGGGCGCTATCACATCATCTTTATGCTAGACTTTTGTGTCATACTAAAAATACAGGTGGAGAACCTAGCTGTACGAGTATCATTTCCACATGTTTTGGTTGCATTTCAATCACGACACATTATTTACCGCTCTGATTGAAGTTCATGCTGTATCCGCCGCTCTTCTCGTCCTTTGTGAACTGAAAGTTGTCCGTGCTCAACCCAAACGGTTTCAGTATACCGTTTCCCAGCTGTTTTAGCTTACCCATCATATCCGCCATTTCCTTGTTCTTCGCCTCCTCCAACTGTCCGGGTAACGTTCTCAATGCAGCCTGCACCGCTTTCTGGTCAAGGCTTGATAGCTGATGAGGCGGTTTCCTGAGGGCTTGGTAGTCTTCCAGCGAGCCCTGAAGAGAGGCCCAGCCACCGACCTCGTGGCGTGCCTTTGCGCGGCGGAGCAGCGCCTTGGTGCGAAGCTTGTGAACGTCGTTTATGGTATGACCGGTGCGCGTGAGAGCATCAAGGTAGATTTCGGTAGTGTCATCGATTTCGTTGATGGCGCCGCCGCCTGTTGCTTTGCTTTCGCCCTCCTGGGTTGTGTCCTTTGGTGCTGGGGGAGGATCTATCCGGTCCAGCGCTTCCAAGGCTTTTGTGGCGGATTCTACAGCCTGCTTCCATTCTTCCAACTTCAAGTGGCACGCTGCTATGTTGGAACGCAGGACGGCGACATCGTATTCGAGGTAATTCGGACAAACTGCAAGTGCTTTCTCATAGCCCTGTATCGCGCCGCTGTATTCTCCTGATGCGAATGTCTTGTTCGCTGAAGCTTTCTCTGCAGTCGCCTCGTCCAATAATCTCTTCTCTTCGTCTGGTGGGAAGATCTCAGGAGTCGCTAGTTCAGCCGCATCGACCTTCGAGGGAGTATCTTCTCGTGATGACATGCTCGCACCAAAGTCCGGAACGCTTCCTTGTGTCGATGTTCTTGGTCGATGTTCTTGGTCGATGTATGGCTGTACCTGTAGATCTAGTTGCAAAGTGACGTCTGTGGTTGGGGACGGGGGTCCGACTAGCACTAGCGTCCCCGCGCCTCGGCCAGCCACGAGGCGTGGGGTACCATCAATCATTCATCGCGTGCGAATCAACGTTGGCAACCCTTCTTTATTGAAACTCTACGCTGGCTTTGGCGCTTATATATCCAGTCTCACGCGCTCCAGGAGATCCTCACCATGGGTTCAAAGTACGCGGCTGCAACCCCAAAAAACACTGTACACCCCCGCATTGACATGATTCAGTACCACCATTCCACCACCCCGCATACGGGCTGCGCTATTTGATATGGATGGCCTCCTAATTGACTCGGAAGACATCTACACCATAGTCACAAACACGATTCTCGAGCGCTACGGTCGGCCTCACATCCCCTGGTCCATAAAATCACAACTTCAAGGTCGTCCAGGCCCGCAAGCCTCGAAAATCTTCCACGATTGGGCCAAACTGCCCATCTCCAACGAGCAACTCATGGTCGAGCAACGGGAACTTCAGAAGGAGCTTTTCAAGACGACAAAACCTCTGCCAGGTGTCATTGATCTACTGGATGGCTTGAAGAGCAGGGGCATACATATGGCGCTAGCGACAAGCAGCCACAAGTTGAATTACGAACTCAAGACGTCGCATTTGGATCATTTGTTTGACCAGTTTGCGCCTGAACATCGCGTTCTGGGTGATGATCCAAGAGTACCGCATGGCCTGGGGAAACCCGCTCCATACATCTACCTTGTTGCACTTGACACGCTTAACAAGACCATGGAGGAACAAGGCCAACCACCCATTAAGCCCGAAGAATGCCTAGTCTTTGAGGACAGCGTACCTGGAGTGGAGTCTGGCCGGAGAGCAGGAATGCAGGTGGTGTGGTGTCCGCACCCGGAGTTGCTCATAGAGTACCAGGGCAGAGAGAAGGAGGTGCTTGCAGGATTGACGGGCGAGCATAAAGAGACTGAGGAAGAAAAGGCAAAGAAAGCCCAGGATATGGCAGAAGGAAAGAGACAGACTGGTATGCCGGGATCAATCGACGATGGATGGGCAAAGTTGTTCTCCACTCTGGAAAACTTTCCGTACGACGATTATCAAATGGCAATCAAAGCATGAAAGTCTGCAAAGGGCACATGTGGTGTTGAATGAAAGACAAATACCCCATCAGATATACAGAACAAACCGAGGAAATATCAATAAACTCCATACATTTTCATTGGTGCATGTTTCTCCATTGGGAGAGAACATGATTCGTGATGTTTTGCCGTGTACTGCATAATGTAATCATTATCCGCATCAGCACGCTAAACTGTCGAAGAAAACAGCGGCTCAAAGATGCATACTCGTCTTTGGCCATTTCAGACTAAACTCCAGTCGCTTCCCCAAAGACTGAAGTAAACGCCGGCCAGTCATGCGCGCCACCCACCCAATGCCGTGCGGTACAAACACTCGACGCGAGAAGATTATCCATCTATGCAACCTCCTCAATCTTAGGCTTGTCGCCTGATGCGGCAGCTGCGGGCGCCTTGTCCTTGTTGTCCTCGTCATTTTCCAGCTCGGGCATGTCGTCGTCGTCACTGTCGTCATCACCACCGGGGGCACCGCCACCCATGTTGGCCATCATTTGGCTCATGTCCATGCCCTCCATGCCCGGCATGCCGCCCATACCTCCTGCGCCAAGCTTGCTGAAGTCGATACCGCCAAAGCCTCCGTCGCCACCACCACCGCCCATTGGGTTCATCGCGTTCAGGTCCGCGTCATCAGGGGCCTCGTCTTGCTCGTCCTCGTCGACCCACTATAGCTGGTTAGTCTGGTGCCCCTGGATTCGTATTCTAGGTCAACTTACCTTGTCAAAGTTGGTCTTGAGGAAGTGCATCCTCTTGCTGTCCTTGAGCAGGCGGGGCCAGTACTCTTCCTTGAGTTCCTTCTTGCGCAGGACTAATGTGACATCGCGACCGCTGTGACTGATCTTGGACTCCTTGGGGTCGATCTCGGCGTAGAACTCCAGGTCGACGGCGTACGTGCACTTCTTGGAAGTTGAGGTGCCCTTGAAGCTGAGAGACTGGTCCTTGATATCGAGCTTCATGTCCGATTCGGGTACATCGGCGGCGACAATTGTGAGGTATATGTAGTTCTTCTCGGGGTCGTCGCTGGATGAGCGTTGCGCCCAGGTGACTGTGGCGTGTTAGCTTGTGTCAATTTGTGACCAAGGCTCCGCGGATGCGCCTGTCGTGATCGCAAGTAGGCCATATACGACAAGCATACGCTCAGAATGTACCTTACTCGGGAAACCCTCCACTGCATCTCTGCGAACGTGAGAGGCTTCCCGAGGCGCGCCAGGAGTATTTCCGGAGCCGAGGAGCTCGATAAGGCTGCAGCTTACCTTCTGGAGTAACGGTAGCCATCGTCTATGCGGTGCTGCTGTGTTTTGGTTTCCCGTCGAGGTGAGCGTGCTGCTGGGGGTGTAGCAGGAAAAATAGCGGGTGTTGATTGTTGGTCGCTTGGAGTGTTTGTCTGGGGGAGGCCGATTGAAGGGGGAAGAAATGTGGTGCGGTGGAGGGACTAGCGTGGAAAGCAATAGAAGCTCAATGGAATCTTGAGGTTCAACGACCCGTTTTTGGTCAATCAATTACGAAACCCAGCGTGGAGCGTAGTGCAGCAGGGCGTCCGCCGGGTGGTTTGGAATTTGCTTATTTGACCCAGGCCGTGTTGGGTTGATTGACAAAGGGCGGCCTTGAGGCTAGTCAGTTGTTCATGCCCCGCGAAGAGCTCAACGTCACCATGGGCCCGAGCTCGATCCTGAAGCCGGGCAAAGGCGTCGACCCGTTGCAACTCCTCGGACCCTTACATACTACATACATACATGCACATGCACCTGCACCTGCAACCCCACTGATCGCAACCTCAGCGCACTATCGCCTGTTTGGACATCTCAACTGGGCTTGAGCCGCCATCCTCCACGTCGCTCGCTCTAGCCGCCATCACGCGCCTCTGCCTGCTTGGGCTTACCGTCTCTTGCTCTGTCCGCATCCATTAGCGCAGACGACATCCGCACCAGCATCACCAACCTAGCGCCTGCGAAGTCATAGTGCGCGTATCTGACTTGATTGATCGCCCACGATGGAGACCATCAAGGGTCTCCTGTGGAAGCCCACGCCCGAGGAGCAGGTAGACCACGTCTCCACACCCCATGGCCACGCTCCAGTCTAACCCGCCCATAGAAGCGCAAATGCAACACCCTCGTGCGCCAAAACGTGCGGAAACTCGATCGCGACATCCAGCAACTCAAGGTCACGGAGCAGAAAACCAAGAACCTCATTCAACAGTCGTCGAAACGCGCCCAACGCAACCCCTCCATGGCCAAGCAGGCCAACCAAGACGTCCGCATCTTCGCCCGTGAGCTGATTCGCGTCCGGAAACAGAGCAATCGCCTCATGACGTCCAAGGCCCAGCTCAATAGCGTGCAGATGCAGGTCAACGAAGCCTTTTCCGTCAGGAAGATTGAAGGCAGTATAAAGGCCAGCACGGGCATCATGAAGGATGTAAACAGTCTGGTGAGACTGCCAGAGCTGACGGGCACTATGAGGGAGCTCAGCTCTGAGTTGATGAAGGCGGGAATCATCGAGGAGATGCTGGACGATACACTAGGTGAGAACGAGATGCTGGAGGGTGAGGCCGACGAGGCCGAGGAGGAAGTGGACAAGGTGCTGAGTGAGGTGCTCAAGGATCGGTTACCGCCGAGCAAGGCCCAAGAGCAAGAGCTTCCTGCTGCTCCACAAGCAGAGGAGGAAGAGGAAGAAGACCAGGCGGAAATGTTGGCTCAAATGCGAGGCCGCCTCGAGGCACTCAAGAGCTGAGGCAATTTATGAAGATTGCTTTGAAACTATCCCATGTATAGAGCCATAATGCGGAGTTGTGGAATTACGGCGTACTGAGTATCCGCGATGCAACGACACTGAATTTGTGTAGCTACATACATAACACTCTCAGCCCGAAGAAAGCCAGTTTGATGATAATGACGATATTTTTTTTACTTATGTATTGGTTCATTCATTCATTCATTTCATTCCTCTACTTAGAGACATGCAAACGCACATTTGTCCCCCACCCAGCTGAAATGGTATCATTGACATCACAAAGGACTGCCACCATAACAGGAATGCCGTTCATGCATGCCACGATGTCAGTGTCTCTTGAATGTGCCGCCTCAATCTCCCCTGATAATCTTTCCCACAAATTTCAATTCCCATTCCCTCGGCTCCTCGCCCACGAAACGAGCGTTCGTCCGCTCATCCAGCATGTGTGTGGTGACGGAAATGCCATTGTACCACTCCCGCACCTTGTCATCGGCGTCCTCAGTCCACACCGTCAGAGTCCCATCGAGAATCATTAGCGAGACCTTTGGAGGTACGCCGCGCATTTTGAGCAGCATATTGAGGATGTCGCTGAACTTTTCGCCTTGCTGAGAGAATGTCGATGGAGGTCTGTCTAGCGGCCATCGGGGATGGCGAGAAGACTGAGGTGGAAGGTCTTGTGTCGAAGTTGGAACAGGGGGAGAAGAAGCCGTCGCAGTGGTGGACTCAAGAACAGATGCAAGATCGTTATGGACAGAAGACGCTGGCTTGGACGACTCACCGCCACCGTCATCTCCGGCTGTAGTCGCAGAAGGAACTTCCCAGGAACGGAACAGCCAACACATTCGCTCTACACAAGCGAGTAGCATGACAGCGACAAGGAAGGTCTCGAAAGGGTTCGCTTGTTGACGCTGTAGCAATCGGCGTTCCAGGTCGTTCATGACGACGCGTGCAAGACACGCAGCACGCTTCTCTGTCGCGCCCATGAGTTGCATTGTAATGAGACTGTAGGAAGAGCTGTGTTCGAGAGGTGTGATGGGCGTGTGGATGCCTTCCTCAATATCCGCAGCCGTCAATATCGAAGGTGCCTGAGTGGGCGCAAGAGACGGGTTAGAAAACAAGTGCCATTCGAAGTTGCGGGATGTGAGTATGCGCGTCAGGTTCCAGAGTTCTATCGACTTGGATATCAGTCCGTCTGGACTCAGCGATGCTATATTCTTCGCGCTTTGTACAGTCACCTTCATGAAGTGCGAGTCCTCGGTGTCGGAAAAGTGGCCAGCCATCTTTTTCACATAGTGGTCTATCTTTCCACTGACGTCGTCATCGCTGTCTATCAGCTCTAGGTCCGGTGACGCTAGCCCCGAGAAGATGGCAGGGTCGATATCCGTATTCTGGACCGCTGAAGTTTGTTGACACTTTAACGGTGTGAAAGTTGCAAAAGTGCTAGAGGCGGGGAAATGGGTGGCTTCTATCCGACCTGGTGTCTGATCCAACCGTATTTGGCCTTTTGCTTGATTCGTGGCGTGGAATGCGAGGACACTGTGCAAGCCTGCAGTATACAGACCACATTCCTCTGCTATCCGTGTTCGAATGCAAGGCTGCTTCCACAATCGTGCGCTCTCCACGTTCTGGCAAGTGTTGCATGGATTCTCCCCGGAACAAGGCTTCTTGAGCATACGACATCGAATGCATGCGCCTCGCTTGCGCACTTCCTGCACTTCTTTCCGCCGAGAGTCTGTGAAACGTCCTCTCACTTTTGGTTTTGCCGGCTTTTGGTTCATGCTGAAATCGGTCGTGAAGTGCGTCTGGTTGCCCGCGTTCATGGCAAGTGGTCGCTGATGGTTCATGCCTTTGTTCTGGTTGTCGCCCATCTGCATGTGCTCTTTGCCATGATCTTGCAACATTGGGTCGAGCGAGTTGGGCTGTATGTTTGGCCAGTGCCCACGTGCGTGTCCGTGTGAATGGAAGTACTTTGGCTCTGCCATGCTGTGCAGGCCATGACCCGAGAGATGCATATCCGAGTCCATTGACAGCCCGTTGGTTAATGGCATCAAGTCGTTTGCTGCAGACGCTGCCATGACAAGCGATGGAACCATGTGCGACATAGACGAGGCATTTGAGAGAGGCATGTGGCCCATGTTCGGGGAGGTTGTCGGTGAGTGGTGCAGCGAATTGTTGAACTGGTACATGGACGGCATAGCCGGCGCATTCGACATGTCGATGCCCTGTGACATAGCACCCAGGTCTGAGCCATCTGGCCTGTCGTCTTGTATCAGGAACTCGTCCAGTAGGCCGGCATGACTCGTGTTGTTGTGACTGTGTTGTGTTTGCGAAGGCTGTTTCTCGGCCATGCGCTTTCCGGACAGGTCCAAGTGCTGTCGCGAGACCTCAGCAAGCGTCTCGAGAGCCGAGAGCTGCTTCGACGGTGCAAAGGGAAGATTCACTTTCTGGCCATGCTGCATCTGGCTCGGTCCCGGCGCGTTCGTATGAGCCGTCTGCGTCATGTTGTCGGGGAGGGGCAGCTCGTGCATTTGCAGCAGCGCGCGCTGCCGGTCCTGGAGAGGAAGCGCAGGACATTTCTTGACGAGGTGATTCGTGAGGCTGTCTATGCGTCCTTTGGGGAACTGCGTCTGGTCAGCTCTTCTGCACCTTGGCCCAGAGACTTTTGTCGAGGGGACTCACCTTCTCGCCGCACGACTTGCACGTGTGCTGGTAGCGGTTACTTGCATCTTCGAGCTTAGGGCCGCGCTCGAAGTATTCGAGAATCAATTGGTTAGGTCGGCGGCCCATGTTCAGCCCCAGAGTTGAGCCCTTTGACCCTGCAGTGCGTTGCGGAATGTTTTTGCCGGACTTATCGCGCGGTGAGGACCTGGGAAATTTTGGCGGTGTAAATCCGGGCAATGTGATTGGCCCAGCGCTCTTTGCCTGCTCAACCACACCTGCGTCCGCTTTCGTATGGGCAGTACTGGTAGCGACTACAGTGTAGGCTACAGGGCCGCTGGCTTCTCGGGCTCGAATGGAGAGGTTGCTTTTAACTCACAGGTGCTTTTTCGCCGTGCGTCAGGGTGTGCTGACGAGCCAGCTCATAGCTTACCGCAGCAGCTCAGTTGCAGTTGTTGTAAGTTGACAGAGACATCTAGCCCCAATGTGTATATGCTGCCACGCTCTATTGGCCCTGGAAGAAAGCGATAGAAGCCGCGATCAAAGCGTAGCAGGTGGAGACATTTCCAAAAGTAGCTTGGCTGGGCATGCGCCGGACTCCTGCCAGTCGTCCAGGCGTGAACAAACAGGACATGCCAGGAACATTATTCTGTATCGATTGGACGAAGAGCATTAAGAATATGAGAGACAGCCTCTTCGTCTGATGCACTGCTGTGATGCTCAAAAGTGTCCCAGAGCGGGATGACGTCAATGTGACCGTCCCTGAGCAATACACTCGTCATGATCAAATTGGGTAAACTATCCAAGCAATGAATCTTGATCCCTATTTCTCTCCCTCCAAAACTTTCTCAAATCTCTGCCTTTAATTGTCCAGACGCTAGGAATTTGAGAAACCCTGAAAATGGACACGACAAAGTCCCCAGCAGCAAACCCCGGCATAACGCCCGATCCCAGTCACAACGGTTCAACAATCCGCAAAGCTTTCGTCCTGGAAGCCCTCGCAAACCTCTTCGTCATACCTTTGATAACAAATACGCGCTTCATTCTCTCGTTCCTTCTCAACAATCCATCCCGAGACATCAACCCCTCCTCGGTCTTGTTCGCGCGCCTATTCGGCTGCTTGATTGTCGGTGGATTCACGTCGGCACTGCTAGCCGGCGCTACCAACACCAGAAATGGAATTGAGTCTAGAAGAACAACTTATATGATGTTGGGTCTAGGCGAGGCAATGTTGATTCCAATGTTGGCCCTGGAGTTGAGTAGAGGCCCACAGGCTGCACTGAGTAAAAAGGCGGCAGGGGTAAGCATTGGGTTTTTGGGGCCTCCGTTGTTATGGAGGCTGTATGTGATTTTTGTTAGGCCAGACTTGTTGGGGAGGTATACAGAAGGGGGAGCGGGTAATGGACGTGCGACGAGGAGGGACGGATGTGAGTATACACCGTTGGATCTGCGTGAGAACCTGAGCTAATCAGACCTAGATGGTACTATCAACACACGTGATGATTAAGGCGATCTGTTGGGAATGTGGGAACTAGTTGCATCAATACGCTTAGTCGCTTGCGAATTCTTGTTGTCAAAGCTCGCATCCCCGTTCCTGTTTCCCAAATCTAGTACTTTTCCGTGCCATATTGATCACGGTCGAAATCCACAAACGCCTCGCTGAAATAATATGCAATATACTCTTTGAGATGGCTCTGAGAAGCACAAATCTTCAGTCTGCGAAGCCTCCCCATTCTACCTCCTCATCCTCCTCTTCAGAATCGCTTGCAGCTTCGAGTTCTTGTCCTCTCCAAGCCCTTAATCGGTCGTCGGCGAGACACTCTTTTGCCGCATTTCTCAATGGCTTCAGTTTGCCATCCTTTGCCATCTTTTCAATCGGCTGTATAAGCGTCTCCAATGTCTCTTTGTGGCTCTCCTTTTCCCATCCTTCTCCCTCAACCCTCTCCAACTCATCAACCCATACGTCCATGACATGATATCTCAGTCCATTCGGGATCTTCAGGTTCTGACACTCTAAAGGTGTCTCTTCCACGATACTGTTCCATTGTTCCAACAAGCTCTTTTTCCACTTGTTCCGGCTAAGGAAGGCGAACGATGCGTTGACGTATTGACGGATCAGGTATAAATATTTATCGAGTCTTAGCGCTTCGATGTGACCCCACTCGCGAGACATGGTAAGAAAAAAGGCGCGGATGAATGGGAGGACGACGGGCGTGCGAAGGATAGAGACAAGAGATGCGAGGTCGCGCGAAAGGCGTTGCTGAAGCGCGGGTTTGTCTTGCATCCACAAACCTACAAAGCTGTCTTAGTATCTTCTTTTGGTTGTCGCAGAGATCCCATCGCCTAATAACACGTACAGTAAAACAGTCCTTTCCATAATTTCAGCAGGTCTAGTTCTGAAATCTCTGACTGCGCGCCGAGGTATGTTCGTAAAGACTCGAGTGCCTGATCGCGAACTTTCTTGTCTATCGCAAACTTCAGTCTCTTTCCCACAAAGTCTGATCCTGTCTTATATACATACCGCTCGAGGCGAGGTTCCTTATGAAAGGGTTGTTTTGCGCGTCTGAAGCCATGTTGTGCAAAATGATGGATTGCTGATGTGCCCAGGTGAGGTTCGAGATGCGCGGAACTTTTTTTGGGGGCTGCGGAGCTAACCTATCGATAAGACCCGCCACTTGTGAATTAGCGCCCCAGTAATGAATATACCATGCGATGAATTGGACTTAGCTTAAGCTTAAGTGTAAATGGACGTATAGGGAGATGATGCTATTAGATTTTGTCGGCTGATTTTATGCCATTACATGTTAGCAACTACTCACGATCACTTGGATACAGGTCTAATCAAGGAAAGACACTTCAAAGCCGACATATAAGCTACTAAAAAGTCTGATGTCTTGTTGTTCTGTAACTACGGAATTAGGTACTTGGATAAAAAAGAATTTGTCGTGGAAACCACCTTCATGTCTCTAGCTAGCTACTGCAGACTGCTTGCATCATTATTACTAACTCATTTAGTTTAGTCAACTCATAAGAGGAAATATCAGTCTTTGTGAAACTTACCTACATGTATTTCTACGTGTTTTATAGGTATTCTAGCCTTTTGACATACTAACCCTTGTTTTCACGCTAAGATATATTTTTTCCCTGTTATCTAATTCTCGTCCTCTGCAGTTCTTGATTTATCACGTCATGCTGTTCTCCAAGTGACAAAGTTCTACAGTACATTAACACAATATACTAACATAATACCAATATTACTTGTCCTTAATAAAGTCTACATGAGACTGATTTGATACCTTCTTTAAATAAACATCACTAGGCTTTCAATAGTACGCCTGATGGTACTTTTTGTTATCCTCGTTTCAATTATTTCTACATCTTCTGTCCTAAAGTAGAAATAATCAAGAATTTATACTCCCTTTTATAAGACCTTACAAACCATATCATGCGCACAAGAACATCGATTCAGAAGCAGGCTGTGAGATGCGACAACAAATTTTGTAGCTGCATGTATACCCCTGGCTACGATCATAAACATTATTCCTGCCACTTCCTGGCTGGAACTTGATTTCCCCGAGTTGTTAATAGGGTAGAGGAGCATCTGTGTCCTGTGAGGAGCTGTGCATGATTGCCAAAGTACGGTCCAATTAATTTAACTAACAACCAGTTCGTAGATTTGCTAGTCAGATGATGTGCTGTTATCCACTCGCGCCTCTTGACTTGTACTGGTTTAAACAGCCTTTAAGCTATTTGTCTGCACCCCTTAGTTCCTCTAACAGGGTATTGTGGTGGAGCAACTAGGGAATATACCTGTAAGGGGCTCGACCCCGGAGGGTAGTCTTAAGCTCGGGAGCACGATCGGACAGGCCAAGGTAACAAGATTGTATTCGATAGAGAGCTAAGCTCTCGGCTACGTAGCTATCTATATACAATGCTGGTTGCTAGGGTAACAATCGGGCCGGGCAGGTGGAGTAAACGAGGTCGTAGACGAGTATGGGAGGCGAAGGGCGTTCAGCCCGTTACAATACCCTAGCAGCCGAATGGTAGTTAGATGGTGCCAAGGGACTGGTATAAAACTAGGAAGTGGAGGAAAATGCAATAAAAAGAATAAAATACTATTACATTTCTAAAGACCTATCAGAATACTTAATCAATGTACTAAGGGTGCAGTCAGAATGATTACCAGACTACCAGTAATAGAGCCTGTATAGCCACCAAGCACCTGCGCAGCTGGAGGTGAAGAACGCTCCACGATAGTGTATTAATCGAAATCCATAAATCTAAAGAGAAACAGTTGTCCTCAGAGCCTGAATATAAGAATATTCACCGGACCTTATTAGCAGGCTAGGCCTAATCTGTCAATGCATCATGCTCGGTGGTAATCCTAGTGCTTACTTATGCATTTTCCACATATTATATCAAGATAGAATTCAGCATACAAGAGAAGGCTACTGAATATACATCTGCAATCGAAAAAATAACAAGGTGTAATGAATAGGTAGAGGTCTGCTATACAGTGCCCTTATTTTAGATCGTGGCTACCAGGTCGTGTAGGCTATCGCATTTACCAGACTTCGCTGCCTATCTTCGTTACATATTACGTTATATCTCCCCAACGCCCCTCAACGCCTCTGAATCTGACTATATATAGAATAGATAAGTTAAGTTCAAGACGAATAGCGCTTTGGAGGAAGCTAGAGAAGTCTATTATATAATAGTAATTATGTTATATTATATTTTAATAGCACGTGATATATTTTATAAAAGTTTTGTTAGCTTAATCATTTACTTACCCCCTACACGTTAGTCTGCTTCCTTTAGCTAGGTATTTGTTCTGAATTTACTCCAAGAAGAAGTAGTAAGGTTTAAATAGCGAGAAGAAATTAAACATCTACTATTTGCGCTAGTGAGTAGCTGACTAAGCAAATCTGTTGCGTTGTTGCGAGAGCGCTAGTACTCTTGACACTTTTACCTAACACCTGTTCGAAGAGGTAAGCTCCAAAATTAATACACTTTTTATTTAATTTAATAATAGTTTTCTAATATACCTAAGTCTAGAGTAACACAAGTATTACCTAGCTGCTGCTTACCGTATTAGTTGTAAGTCTGTTCACTATCGTCTAGTTAACCCCGCCTACCTTCATTAGCATGCTACATAACCTTCACAAATCATGCGGATTTACATTAATGATTAATCCGGCGCGTTAAGCACATGCTAATATAATGTAGTCTCGGCGTTGTAATGCCACTCATGGTCGTGATCCCATCCAACGGTCACGCGAGGCGGCGCGTCCTGGTCGATCGCGTAAGTAACGCCGAGAAACCTTTTACACGTGTAGCAACGTCCTTATCGTATCCAGGTGCATTCTATACTCTCAAATCGCGTGCAAGACGATGTAAGCAGTCATGCTATTTGTGGCCCGTGCGCAATTCTGACGATGAATCTAGGACGAACAGTACCTCGTCCGCTGGAACACTGAAGATCCATCAACTCAAGCCCCGCTGAGTTGGCACTCCATCAAAGAGCTTCTACGATGTCTTGAACACGTCCAAGATTACATCGAAGTGAGGGAAAAGTATGAAGCAGCGGCTCTAGTGAGAACGAAAGAGACTAACTTCACCCAGGTCCATGGAAGAGTTGGGACAAGCACAGATAGCAACAACAAGAAAACGAAAGAGTCCGGACAGTAGTAGTGGGCATGAAAGCCGTGCTTCGCCGTTTGATCGCCGTTTTCAAGAAAGTCGGACACCCTCAGTCTCACGGTCTTCCCCACTGTCTCCCTCACCGCCTGTGTCTTCCCACGACGTGTACAACGGCGTTCTAGATGCTGACGAACATGGCTTCGTTTACTGTCGTTCGGCAGCCGGAGCAGATATACCGCAACTTGACGTCCACGCCCTGACACCGGAAATAACCCAGGCGGCGTATCTGGCTAGCGTCGACAAAGCACTTACCTACATACGAAACGAGTACGTTCGGCGACTAGCCAAAGTGCCAGGAGAACATGGCAAGCCCATCCGTTTGATTAACCTGGTCGACTCGTCTACCCCATCACTGCGATTCCGGTACATTTCCGAATATGTCCTGCAAGAGGGCGTGTACCGCGCATCGTCGGAGACGCAGCAAGGCTGCACGCAATGCTCACCGCACATGGGCCGCGACATTGGGTGCGAATACACGAAGAAATGCGATTGTCTCGAGTACGCCGCGGTGGATGAATCGCGGCTCGACGGCGAGCAGCGAAAGCAGTACTACCACGCGCTCGACACGGGCGCCTCCACCATGGGGTTCCCCAAGAAATTCCCTTACTTTGCCTCGGGCACCAAGCGCGAGAAGACGGGCTGCCTCGTCCCTTTCTACCTCAACTCGCGGCGCCCAATCTACGAATGCAACGACAAGTGCCACTGCGGGCGCTACTGCCGCAACAAAAACGTCCAGTTTGGGCGTCAGGTCGAGGTGGAAATCTTCCGGTCGAGCAACGGCCGCGGGTGGGGTCTGCGCTGCAGAGAGGACCTGCACGAAGGCCAGTTCATCGACACGTACCGTGGCGAAGTCATTACCGACGCCGAGGCCACGCGCCGCGAGACGGCATCCTCCAAGGCAAAAGCCTCGTACCTGTATTCGCTCGACAAGTTTGCAGAGTCCGAGGGCCTCGACGAAAAGGATCTCTACGTTGTCGACGGCGAGTTCATGGGCGGCCCCACCAAATTCATTAATCACTCTTGCGAGCCAAATTGCCGCCAGTACACGGTCAGCTACAACAAGCATGATCCCAGGGTCTACGACATTGCGTTTTTCGCCTGCAGGTTCATTCCAAAGGGCGAGGAACTGACATTTGACTACCTCGACAAGGATGACGATGAGCCCATGGATGAGCCTGGCGAGGACGCCATTCCCTGTCTGTGCGGCTCGAAAAAGTGCCGGAAATGGTTGTGGACCTGAGGTTTGGAGGTTGCGTTATGTTTTGTTGGAGGGGCGACAAGGACATCATGGCATTTGGAGTAGCGGATAAGCGGGGGAGAGAGAGAGAGAGAGAGAGAGATTCTCACCTGAGGGGAAGGGTTCTGGTTGCTCTTTTTTGCAAAGGCAAGGAAATATGCGGGGGGTTTTTTTTTCTTTTCTTTTCTAATGATACGTAGTCATCCCTCTTTTTCCTTTCTTGCACACATCACTTGGCCCAAAATTTTTGTATCTCAAACTAATAATATTCTCTTTGTATCTCAAGTCACGGCGTGTGAAATGTTTACTTTGTCTATCCCCCCCCCTCGTGAGTGAACAGCCCACCAAACCAAACCAGATTGAGATATCTTACCATTCAATTCAATCCATTTAAATTCCAGTCTGCACGAACAAAACCCGACCAAAACAGTTCAAGTATTCGGACCCATATAAAAAAAAAGGGGGGGGAAGGGTCGAATAGTATATCACTTACTCAGACCTAATAGTACAATAAGAACACACACACACACACACAAACAAGCACACTCACATATACACAAGAAAAAGAAAAGAAAAGAACAGAGGCCAAGCTATACAATTTCAGCGTGTCATCCAAAAAAAAGAAGAGCCTAATATTAAGGAGGTTAGGGGAACTTATAAAGAAACAAGGGATTGAATAATTGATAAAAAAAACCCCTACTGGAGGGCAAGGTCTTGAGGGGGGGGGGATATATGTATGTATCTCTCACACTGTCTGTCTCTGTCTCTGTCTCTGTCTCTGTATCACTCACACTTCACTGTGACGGCTCACTTATACTAATCTGATCTGTATACTCGCAATCGCAATCGCAATCGCAATCGCAATCCAAAATCGCCAATCTTTCGACCCCCAAAGACAAACATTCCAAAAACAACAACTTCAAACAAGAACTAGAAAAAAAAAACCAAGCACAACAAACATCTAAGGCAAGAAACAAAGAAAAGTGTCTTCATCGCTCAAGTGCAAACTAGTTATAGTTTCAAGGAAAGAAAACGATAAAAAAAATAATAAACGGTTGGTGTTCTCCAAAAGAGAAAAAAAAGAATAATAATAAAATAAGCAAGCATTAGGTTACATGAAGGAATGGGAAAAAAAGATATTGGGACAGACATTTATATTTGTCTTGCGCGCACGCGCGCGTACACACACACACACACACACACACACAAACACAAACACTCAACACGCACACAAAGCATACATGAGGAAAAGACCGGATACTCCTACGGAGTTAGAGATTCAAGGAAAAAAAAACTCTGTAACAAAGGAAATGGGGGTTTGTTCATTTTGAAAAATGGGGGTTGGGGGGGTTGGGGGGGTTACTTGGCTTTGCTCATTTTCTTGCCAATTCCCTTCCAAAGTTGAGAGCCAAGGGCGTCAATTCGCCCTCTTCAATAGCGCTCTCGTCTTCATAGAAGCCACTCTCGCTCCATGGCTCCATGTCTGCATCCTGGTCGTACGCCTGCTTCCGCATCAGAGGCGGTGTGCGAGGCTGCTTTCCCAGGACGGGGAAGCCGATTTCAGTTGACGCGTGCGAGCTCATCGAGTTGGAGCGTGCGTCTTGGGAGCGCTGAGAAGAAGAAGGGGCGTCGGACGTGCGGCGCATGTTGGAGGTGGGCGGTGTCATGAGGCCAGAGAGAAAGGATTGCTGCGTAGGCTGAGGCTGGGTGCGAGATGGCGTCTGGTTGCGCAGTGAGCTCGACGATTTCCCAGCGAGAGCGGATGCAGCTTCTCCGCGACCTTTACGCCAGTTGCCAATGGCAGCAGCAAGCTGAACTGCCTTTGGTGACGCAAAGTTGGATAGTGTGCTGAGTGTCGGGAAAGACTGCTGTCCGCCGGATATGAGACGCTCCTTCTCGGACTGCTCCATCTGCAAGTTGGTACGGATGCGGATGGCGGCATCGCGAACAGTTTCGCGGTCAAAAGTTGGCTGGGCCAAGGCGTTGATCAGGTCGTTCAAGTCGTCCACGCGTACGCCGAGCAGCTCACGTAGCCAGTTAATCTCAGTATCACGCTCCTTGAGCTTGGCTGGTGCTTCTGTATCAACCGCTTCGAGCTGCTGCTCAAGCGACTCAATGCGTCCCTCACGCTCCTGAAGTTGCTCTTGTAGAACACCAATGGACTCGCGCAGTGCTTGAGCCGAAACCTTCTCGCCCATGGAGAAGGAATTACCAGGATTGGGTGACTTGGATGCGGCGGCAACCGCAGCGCTGGCGGCTTCCTTTGCAACCTGTAACTTCTCTTCCAGCAGTGCAATCTTGTCCTTGAAATGGTCGAGCCTGGAGTCGGCCAAAGCAAGCTTGTCGTTGTGGAAGGCCTCGGCACGGTCAATGTCCTCGCGTACAAACTCGAGAGCACGAGCATGTTCCTGCTTCAAATGCTCAAGTTGACGCTCGTATGCACGCTGCTGTTCCTGCAGGGTTTGCCTGTTCTTCTCCATAATCTCCTGGATAGCCTGCTTCTTAGCGTCAGAGGCTGCCTCGAGATCAAGCTCGTGCTTCTCCTTGGCCGTGTCGGCGTCCAGGCGGACTTGGTCAAGCTCGGCACGGACACGGTTGATCTCGCTCTCAAGCTCGTGGCGAACAATGTTGACCTGGTTGTTAGCGGCGTCCACATCGGCCTCCATGAGCACACGGGTGCGGCGGATCTCCACATGCGCGGCATCCCTCGCTTCCCGCATGTCGCGTTCGTAGCGCTCGGCGTTCCTCTGGTGCTCCACAGTCTCCTTCCTCAGCTGTTGAATAGTCTCCTCGAGTCGGGCGTTGTGCTTCTGCGTCTGTTCAAGGTGGAACCTGAGCTTCATGCCCTCACGCTCTTGAGTCTCAAGGCGCTCGAGCTCCCGCTCCAGACGCTCACGTGTGCGACCCTCGGCCTCAATGCGCGCGCTGAGGATCTCGTACTTGCTGGCAGATGCCTCCTCGTTCTTGTGCCACTGAGCGCGTTCGGCGGCAATCTGCTGAGTGGCAGAGACCATGTCTTGCTGGAGCTTCTCAAGCTTGACACGCATCGACTCCCGGACACGGGTGGCCTCTTCAGCCTGGAAGCGTGACTCTCCGATAGCCTTGCGTAGCTGCTCTGCTTCCTCATGAGCGACCTGGAGATCGCCACGCCACTTGTTAGCAGAGAGGCGATGCTCCTCGAGTGTAAAGGTCAACGCCTCATTCTCAGCAGTGACAGAATCCAGCTTCTTCTTAAGATCCTCCTCGGAGCTCTCCAAAGCGATATTGGTAAGCTTGAGCCGCTCACTCTCGGTTTCGAGAGAAGAGACTCTGTCGCGGAGGACATCTTCGTTGCTCTGGAGGGTGTCGAGACTCTGGCGAAGACCATCGCGCTCTTCAGTCAGAGCGTTAATCTTGTGCTCATCGTCACGGGCAGCTTGCTGAAGGAGGGTAAGCTCCTCCTCCGTGACCTTGAGAAGGCGAGCAGAGTCAGTTTCACGGTCCTCGAGAGCCTTGCGTGCGTCAGCCTCGTCGTTGAAGCGCATATTGGCTTCCTTGAGCATTTCCTCGAGATCAGCAATCCGTGCATCTCTCTCTTGTACAGCCTGAGTTTCCTCGCGCTTGGCGAGCTCCATGTTCTGCTGCTTAAAAGCTTCATCGATGAGCTCGCGAACGTCCTCGGCTTGAAGGTGGTGGCTTGTGGTCTGTGCAATAGAGGCTTTGAGACTGCCGATGATCTGGTACAGCTCAGACATGTCAAGCTGCGGCTGGGGAATGTCGACAGGTGCCTCCAAAGTAGACACAGGCTTCTGAGAGGCCAGTGCTTCAGCAACAATGGAACGGATCATGTCCGGCTGAACAGAATCCGCAGGCGGTGCAGGCGGTGCTGGGGCCTGGGCCGACGCAAGCGCTTCTGCGACAATGCTCTTGAGGTCGTCGGGCCAGATCTGCTCAGGAACTGGGGGAGGCAATGGCTGAGGAGCGTGCGTCTCAAAGGCCTCCATGACAATCGATCGGATATCATCAGGCTTCACAGACTCGACAGGCTTGGGAGTATGAGACGCGAGCGTGTCGGCAAGGATGGATCGGATATCTTCAGCCTTGAGAGTTTCAGCCGTGGGCTCGAGTGCCAGTCTGGTCGAAGCAATGGCATCCTGAACGACAGCACGAATCTGATCCACAGGAACAGGCTCAACGGGCTGCACGGGTGGCTGGTGGTGCGTGAGGACATCGGTAACAATCTCCCGGATCTTCTCGGGGATAATTGGTTCTGCCATTGGTACAGGCACAGGCATCGACGTGATCTGTGACTGATGCACCTCAAGCGCGTCCATAACAATAGACCGTATCTTCTCGAGCTTCCGGTCTTTGCCTCTAGATCTGTTGCGGTAGCTGGCCTCGGTTTCAATCTCGTCGTCTTCGTCATCTGCGTCACTTTCTAGACGTTCGTTGGTGGACATGCTACGGCGGCCGCGTCGTGGATGCTGTGACATGGACGCAAGCGCTTGCTGGATGCCTTGCAGGTTTTGCTCTAGCGGGCCAAGGCGGTCCTGCAAAAGACGGCCCATGAGCTCATCAACATGCTTGTCGAAGAAGCCGCTTCGCGTTTGAACCTTGGTTCCGTCCTCGCTTAGGAGGCCATCATCCCAGTCGCTCAAATGTCCATCGTCTGCATTGTTCAATTGACGCACAGGAGATTCAAAGGGAAGAGCAGCCAGTTCGCTGTCGAACGGATCCTGCATTGATGCTGCAGAGCCAGGAATGTTGACCAAGCGACCTGGAAAGAATCCCCGGCGAGGGCTGGGGCTAGGCGCGTCGCTGCGCATCTTGAAGTTGGGTCGCAGTTCAGTGTGCTCAAATACATTCGGCGTCCTCTGTGGAGAGGATTGGTCCCAAGACGTCTCGTCACGCTCAACGCCAAAGTCAGAGCCCTCTCCGTCCATGTGCTTCATGACTGCATCAATGTCGTTGAAAGAAGCCTCGCCAATCGTGTCGAAATCAGCGCTCTCACGCTCCGTGTAGCGGGTATGTCTGCCAGACTCCATGGCCGTCTTGAATGAGCCATCATTGCTGGGTTGGTAAGTAGTCACCGAGTTTCGGCTAGCCATCCTTGGAGGTGACAGGCGAGACTTTTCGGGCTCTTCGACTTGCGAAGGCTTCGTAACGTGGAAGCCAAAATCGTAGCCAGCGTTGCTGAGCTGTGGTTTGAGCTCAAACGGTTTCGCATTAGCCGAGAGAGTGCTCTTGTGGCTGTGCTTGGACGTTGGCTCGGGTTCCTCGGTCGTCGGAGTAGGTACATCACTGGCATGAGGAGTATCGTCGTCCGCAGCCTCACTCCCAGCAGGGGAAATAGGCTCAAATGGCTTCGTGTCCTGTAGCTGTGACAGTGGCGAAGGAGTCTTGGACCTGGCCTTGGTCTGCTTCGTGTTAGGCGACAAGTTCTCCTTGTCTTCGACATAGTCTTCCAGCGCCATTTCTGCATCCAGCAGAACATTGGGCTCCTTGACTTCAGACAAAGGCTGCGACGCGAGAATCGGCTGAAGTGCAAACTTGGGCACATCATCGCCATCAGGGCGGTCACGTCGCACACGCTTCTCGCGACCATCAGCTTGCACAGGCCGGCCAGCCTCGTCTTCACACGTCTTCTCTTCCTTGGGTGGCTGCTGACGCGTGTTGTCGGGTCGCACAATAGGCACAGCCTTGGATCGAGTAGCAGGCTTGATGATGTCGTTGGCAGAGATGTTAACGTCTCCAAAGATCTTGGAAGAAAAGCTTGTCGGAGCAGGGCCTGGCTTGGCGGGATTGAAGGTCGACACCCCGGGATTGAACGCTGGCGCCTCGGGCTTGAATGACGGCGGGCTCGAGAAGTTGAAGCCACTACTGGGAGTAGGCTGGAAGGTAGGAGCGTCGGGCTTGAAAGTGGGTGCCTCTGGCTTGAAGGCAGGGCCCGCCGTGTTGAGATTTGCCGGCCCGTCCACGCTGTTCTTGTTAGCCTCATGACCGGCTTGCTCAGTGGGAGGCTTGACGGCCGGCGCAAAGTTGAAGCCAGACGAGAAGGACCCAGGGCTGAAGGACGCAGCTGGGTTGAATTTGAACTCCTTGGCTTCGACATTGAGCTTCGAAATGGACGAGCGCGACGCGTGCTTGCTATGCACACCCGACGACGCAGGCTTGTTGAAGGCAAACTTGTTGTCTTTCCACGAATTGCTGACTTGCGACGGCGCCTTGGAGTGTTGCACAGAGCTCTGGGCCGTGTTGCGAGCCTCTCCCTCTTCCAGGCTGGGATTGGTATTCTCGGAAAGATTCGTACGCGCACCATCGCTGTCCGAAGGAGGAGTCTGCTGTGACGGGAACGAGTACGAGACGGGCTTCTGCGTCTGCGCAAGTGAGTGCGCTCTGCTGTGAGGCTGAGGCTGGTGCAAGATGGGTCGAGAGTCCTCCCACTTGGGGTTAGCCACAGCGTTGGAAGGTTTCAAAGGCACACTGCTCTCTGGCTCCGTACTGAAATCTCCACCCTCAGCAAACTGCTTGTCGATAGCCTCTTCCAAGTGGTACTCCTCGTTAGCAGCCTCGCGTTCAAGGTTCTCGCTAATATTGTGGCGATGGCCGCGAGGAGTCGGCACAGCAATCTCCGTGTTAGTTTGAGTGGCATGCTTCATAGTCGGGACTTCGTCTTCCTCGTCCTCATCCTCGGGCACTTCCTCAAGCGTCGACGAGGGGCGCATGCCAAGGACCTGCTGCTGCTGTTGTTGTTGCTGCTGAAGAATCTGGGCCTGGAGTTGCTGCTGCTGCAATTGCATGTGTAGCTGGAAGTCATTCCTCTGCGCCGACGTAATGGGAAGCTGCGGAGGTCCCATGCCAAACGGCGAACGGGGTGAGATGAGCTCAGCAAGGTCTGGACGGTTCAGAGCAAGAGCAGGCGAGCCGGTGCGGCCATCCTGAGAAAAGTAGCCACTCGGTGACCATGTGCCCGAAGGTGAGTAGCCATGGTGAGCAAAGTTTGCAGGCGATCCAAACGTAGAGTGGCGATGCATGTGCATGCTTGTGCGGGGATTCACAAAAGCCCCAGGAGAAGCAATTGACTGTCGCGACATGTGGCCGGGCGATGGTCCGAATGGGAAGCCGCCGGTTGCGATACTGCCTGGCCTGGCCATGCGTATGCTGCCAGCAGACGAGGTAGGCAGCGGCGGAGAGAAGACCTGTCCAGGATGTTGCTGCGAAGAGGTCTGGCGCGACAGAGGAAGTGGTACGTCTTCCTCGCCACCCATGCTGACACCTAGTGCTGCAAGCTTGGCCTCGAGCAGAGAGTTCTGGTAATCTTTCCATTCCGACTCCTTGGCCACACGCACTGTGAACTTGGAGCCTGAGCTGGCACGCTCTGCCTGTACGTCGGTCTCTGCTGGCCAGATGGCTCGGTTGTGTGTCTCTTGGCCTCCGGTACTGAATCCACGGACATCGTAGCCTTTCTGCTCGAGTTGGCTGAGCTTTGTGTTGACGGCTTCTTCGCTCATGGGCTTGGGAGGATATCCTGGGTTACCTCGAGGGATGTCGCGCGGTATGGAAATGATACAACCCTTGCCTTTGACGATGACCTTCTTGCGCATTCTTGGGTGTGCAGGCGCAGGCGCAGCATTTGGAGGCGCAAGAAACGCGTTTGCTGGCGGGTTTGAGGCTGGCCTGTTGTTTGTCGACTCGCCCTGGGACGACTTTACAGCACCACCGTCCGACGGCTTATCATGTGTCTGGTTGGATGTCTTGGCTGTCTTGGAAGGCGTCGGAACGGGAGTCTTGTCATTCGAAGCACTGTTTCCATTAGTCTGCTGTGCGGCCTGTGGACCGGATCCCGAACTCTGCCTTTGGGGAACGGGCGGATCCGAGTCGGCGTACTTTGAGGCCATCATCTTGCCAAGCGCTTCCTTCTGGTCCTTGCTGAAGTGGCGCCAAAAGTCCTGCTGGTTCAGTGTCTTGTTGGTGTTCCTGTCCCGGTGTCTTCGCTTGGGTGGGGGAGCAAACGAGATTTCCGGCTCCTCTGCTGAACCTTGGGTATCACTGTCGTTGTCGCGCCAGTCGTTGGTGTCGCGGTTCCAACGCTGCTCGAGAAACCGCTGCACCCACTCTGCTGACGTGGGATTGGGATCGGACGGTCTGGGTGTACTGCCAGAGGCGCGGTCTCTCGTCAGAGTGTCTAGGTCCGGCAATCGAGATCGAATCAGATGCTCGAGCGTAAAGCGGTTAGGCGATACGTTGCGGTCTATAGACGGGATGAGATGCTCGAGATTGAAGCGGTTGGGCGAGTCTTCCTCAAGCTGTAGCCGCGAGGGAAGCAGGTGTCCAAGCCCAAACTGGAGACCGGAAGATTCCTCCTCGTCGAAGTCGTCGCTACCAAACTGGTTCGAGACTTGAGGGTCTAGGTTGAAGGATGGAGGCGGGTGCCGATACGGACTGCCCCAACTTGCCGTGTAGTACGAAGTGTCTGTTCGCTCGCGCCTCGCAGCGTTGGACGGGGTGCGCGGCGGGTTTCCAAGGAGGGAGAAGGAGGGAAGTGAAGGAAGTTCTGGGCTCGAATGCCCGAGTGTACGAGACGGGGACGGGGCAGTCCAAGTGGGCGAGACGGCTTCACGCGCTTCGGATGGTGAGGTCGCTTCGCCAAAGCACGTGGGTGCAGAGGGAGGCGATGAGGGTGGCGGCAACGAAGGCGAAATTGATCGTTCAGCTTGCATTCAAGGATGTCTCCCTAAATGTTCCCGCAACTCCAAATGAGCTGCAACACTTCTTTCCACCTTGTTTTTTCTTTTTCACTCTTTCTCTATCTCTCTCTCTCACGCTCTCTCTCGTCGGCCCCCAAACGCGTCGGAAGAGGGGTTCTCACGGTACTCGACAAGGCGACAATCGGTTGAGCCCGGAGGCCAGGCCACGCGTGTGCTGCGGAGGAGGCAGAGGAGGGGCGGGGAGCGTCGAGTCGTCGAGCGCACTCGGGAACCCGTTGTTGTTTGGGGGGTTGAGGCCGTAATGATTAGGTATACTGGGTGAGAACAAGGAAAGGGTGGGTAGCCAAAAAAAAATTGGGGTAGCTAAAAGAGCGACATAAGGTAGGATGGCACAAATCTGGAGACCGCAGGACGAATGAACATCCCGGAGCAGCAGGCAGCAAAGACGACGGGTGAGAAGAGGAGTTGGCAGTCGGAGGCGTGCCAATGTCGTCGAAGACAAAAAAAGGTGGACACGGACAGGACGGGACTGGACTGGACTGAGCTGAGCAGAGCAGAGCAGAGCAGAGCAGAGCAGAGCAGGGCAGAACAGGGCAGGGCGAGGACAGGACAGGAGAGCGACGAGGCTAACGTGGGCCATGACTTAGTGGGGATGGCTGCCAGTTGGCATAGGGCCGTCAGGGGGCCCAATGTGCAATGGCGCGCCGCGCAAGGACGCCTGTAGGATGACACGCCCAGGCCACCGGGGAGCCTCGCAATTACCTTTGTTCATCTATGGCCGGGCCATGGAACCGTTTCTGAGCACACGTGGAGCCCTTTTTTTTTATTTTTTTTTAAACTATTTTATTTTTGGCTTTATTGCTGTCGCGTTCTGGCATGCCATGACAGCAGCAACAACAACAATGAATGACTTGGCAGCATCCATGTGTCGTGTGTACGTACACCTACGTAAGTATACATCGAATGCCGCAGTGGCAGTGGTTCCGGCCCGTCGCGCCCCTCCAACAGCAGGCCCGAGAGAGAGAGAGAGAGAAACAAAAAAGAGGGGTCACGACGCCTACGAAACAGGCCCAACCATACGCCATGCAGACCTGTTCTATGTACGACGGGCACATTTGTAATTGCAGCCAATCACGGGCTGGCACGACATAAATGCAGCTGCGCCGGGCACATGGGCTTAGTATGCAAAATCGAGTGGACGAGCAGCCTGCCCATCGCATGTATATCCCCGCACATAGCATAGCCCATGCGCCTAATGCTGCTTCTGCGGTTCCCCCTCCCTCGCTCCTCATCCCACTCGCCTGCATATGCGAGTGTGTGTCTCGCCTTTTGCTGTTCAAGTCAGCACCATTCGACGACAATGGCTGAGAGGGGAACGTCGCAAATAGGGGACCCGGCTAGTGGCTTGGACGACGGGAGCTAGCGACGCCACACAAGGACGCACAGGCCCGCCGCCAGTGCTTCGACGCTTTGTATCCACGGGTCGGGCTAATAATAATAATAATAATGTCTGCTTGTAGCTGTGCATGTGCCTATGTAGTTTGGTGCTGCTCTGGGCCTTTGAATCATGCCACATATCGAAAACACCACTCAAAAAAAGGAGACACGTTCGCGCTCCGTGTGTGTGTGAATCCCAACTGTCTTTTCTTTTGATTGATTGATTTTCGTAAACATGCAAATTACCGTTGTACGCAGGGGCCCTGAGTATCGTATAAAAAAAACTTGCCCCCACCCCACCGTCAAAGCAGCAGCAGCAGATCTTCGGTCGGTTGGGTCAGGTCAGCTAGAACAAAGACGATCATTCCCCGCCCCAAACAAAAAAAAAGTCCATGGGCTCGGTGAAAATCCCCCTCTCCAAGCGAAATATCTACTTACTATATACATGGCCTAGACTTTTCGAATCATGAACATGCGAGTCACAAACGGGCTTTTCCGCCGCGTGCCATGGCCACTCTTGCCATCTGCAGCCGCAGCCGCAGTCTCCTCATCCTCTCCAATCTTCCACGTTCGCACCACCCACAGGCACACGGCTGCACCAATGTACATGCACCCCGTGAAGATGATGGCGCCCGTGTACGAGCCGCCGTTGAACGCGACGATTTCAAGACCAATGGCCTCCGAGACTGTCGTGGCTGTCAGTCAACTGCCAACCATCCGCATAACCCCATGGAGAAAACAAAAGGGCAAAATCAAAACTCACAAGTCGTAGGCAGCACAAGCACCAACCACGTGATACTCAGCGCGCTCGGCAAATCCTGCAGCCCCATAACCTCGGTCGTGACAGGCGCAGCCGTCGCCCAATACGTGCCTGCAACCATGCCGCCGATGAGGCTAAAAAACACCAGCACGCCAAAGCTCTTTGCAAACATCCACACGACGAGGCAAAACAGGCCACTCAGAAACGTCATGCTAGCCGCCATGTTGATTCTGCCGATGGAGTCTGAGAAATAGCCTATGGGCGGTCTTCCAATCGCCTGCCCGAGATTCAGCGTCGCCCCAATGATGCTGCCCTGCTGCGCCGACAAGCCAATTGTGCGAGCGTAGTTCGGCAGCGAGAACAGCAGCACCACGTATCCGAGCATAGACAGGAACCCAAACGCCAGCAGCCCCAGGAACTGGCGCTGGCGGAAGAAGCGATATTCAAAGCCCAGCTGGCTGCTTCCAATCTGCTTGTTGCGGTCGCGGATCAGCAGCGCACACACCGTGTTTGCGAAAAACGCAATCACAGCCAGCGTGCGAAACGCCCACGACAGCCCGATGTTGCGGATCATGGCCTGCGCAGAGAGCGAGTAGATGAGGCCGCCGAGGCCAGACCCCGCGGCACAGCACCCATTGGCGAGAGACCGCCGTGTGCTGAACCACTGTGCGGCAATGCCGACGGAGCCCACAAACAGGAAGCCCATGCCCCAGCCAAAGCAGATGCCCTGGCTGAGAAATAGGTGCCAGATCTGCGAGGCGAAACTCGCGCCGACAAAGGATATCGTTTCCAGTGCTATACCGATGAAGAGCGTTGTCCGCGTGCCAAAGCACCGTGTTGTCAGCGTTGCTATCGGCGACACAATGAGCGCCTGTGATATCGATAGCCCGCCGATGAATGCGTACTGCAGAGGCGTTGCGCCGGCGAAGGCGTTGTTGGAAAGGTAGTATGCGAGGAAGACTCCGTATGCTGAGTTTAATCCCCACGTGTGTCCGTTGATAGTGGCTACGGCTGCTACACATACCCAGCCATAGCCTCCATTCGGCGCCACGTCGAGGTTCCTCTTGTCCTCTTGTTTCCCTTGCTCCTGCACAGCTCCATTGACTCGTGTGTGGTCCTTGTCGTCGAAAATGCCCTCTCCCCTGTCTGCACGTTGCTCCGCTTCCACAGCGTGACACAGCTCCGAGCCACTCCTACTCTTTTCCGACATCTCTTCCCCGTCTTTCTTGATAGAAACAGCTGAAGTCACCACCATAACCCCTCGTGTCGTTTACCTTTTTGCCTCCCTCTCCGGAAATAAATATCCCGTCACCGTGGAAATAGAAACCCGTCGTTAGTCACTACTGACGTCAAGCCCAATGGCGATAAGTGAGCAAATTCGATCAGAGTGTGCTGTGTCAACGTCTAAGACACCACGAGAACCATGATGAGAAAAGTAGAGCCGTCATGGCAAGGGAACAAAAAAGGGAAGCCGAGAGTCATAAAAAGGCGGTTCCTGCGGTGGGGAAAGCACCGAAGTGGAGATGCACTTCGCACGCCCTTGGCCGGGAATAACCAACGCTGTTTCTCTATACGTATTGGATCCATTGACGCCCTTGACGCACCATGCTGCTTTCGGTTAATGCCTGGCGGGCCAGTCCTAACAGAGACACCATGCCGAGGGCCACTGTGGTAGGCTAACTTCCAGCAAGCTTTCAAGAGAAAACTCCGAATACTTCAATTTATTGTATGTGTTTCTGTGGACTATACAAAGGAAAGAAAAGAGCGTTCAACGCTGTGCCATCAGTCTAAGCCAAGAGGTATCATTGTTCACCAGCGCCTTTCTCGGCACGTCTATCTCACCTCACACGGACCTGTGAATATGTGCAGGCCTTGAGTCGCCTGAAAATTCATGGGTGTTTCCATGTCCATCTCGTCTGCCTCACTCGTGTGCAGACTTTCGTACCCTGAAGGTGATGAGACTGACAGCCACGGGTTCGGCTCAGTGATAAAGTCATCCAGTTGGTCATAGCTGTGTTCTGATGGTGTCGCAAAGCCTTCCGACTCGGTAGCCGAGGGCGAGAGCATGTTGGTCCAATCGATGTCTGGCTGCACATACTGGCGGTCGGTGACGGGCTTTGCGTAGAACGAACATTCCGAAGGTGTCTTGCTTGGTGCAAAGGGGAACATTAGCGCAATGTCCGTACCGACAGACGAGTCGAAATTCTCATCTTCGTGTACTACACCGCGCGTGATCCCAAAGTCATTGCATATCGACTCCACTGTTTGCGCATCACAACCAGGGAAATGGACCTTCAATGTCGAGTCCTCGTACGAAATAGGCAAGTCTCCCAACGCTGCTAGCCGTTGCAAGTCTTTCAAAACTGCAGCCAGCTCCAAAACTGCGCGTGAAAAGTCAACCGAGAGGTTTTTCAACAGACCCTCGCTGTTCAAGGTCTCCTTCTCCTGCGCGAAAGAAGCAAAGCCCTTCACAGCCTTGAGGGGAGTAAGAGCGGTGACGGTGGGGTTAATGTTGAAACTAATCGAAGAACCAGCACTGGCCGTGGGGACCTTGTTCAGGGTGCGGTTGACTTGATCCTGGAGTGCTGAGACGGCCTTGAAGCGCTTCTCGCCGTTGTGTGGGTTGACGCCGTCGAACTGGGCCTTTTGCCCACCGAGAAGGAAGGCTCGCACAGCTTGAGAGACATTGTTGATGACCTGAGCAGGTGCAGCAGGGCCATGCGAGAAGTACCGCGCGCCTCCGGTCCGGCCAGAGCCCCACCCATAACCTCCTGCAGTTCGCCCAAGTGTGCCACCAGTGAGGTTGGGGCGAAGAGTCGACGCAAAGGGCGCGCGACCAGCCTGTGAGTTGACGATGCTTCCGATGCGAGACTTGGGAAACGAGGCCTTGTCATACTTCACGCCCGAGTTGCGAGCAGCAGAAGTAGTGAAGCGTCGAACGGCAGCGCTGATCTGACTGTGGGTGGTATACCATCGGCCCTTGCTCTGTTTCAGATAGGCGATGCGATGGAGAGGATGCTTTGGCGCATTTCGGGCGAGAATAGGCTGGAGAACTGCATCCGCAGGTCGTGCAGATTCCGGGAGTTGTTTCTGTACAAGCTTCGCAGCATGTTTCCAGGCGGCCCTGTACCTGTTAGCATGTTGCTGCCTAGCAAAGGGGGGACAAACTCACTTGAACGCTTTCGCGTTCTTGACCACCAGTCTATGAAGGTGCACCGCGGCCGGTGCCATCATAAGTTTGTGTTGCCAGGAGAGGAGAGAGAGTGTGTGTGGAAAGAGTCTAGGACCTGGAGTGTGGGGAAGACGACGTTAATGAGGCGCAGGGCAATGTCGCCACCGCGGTCGGGGCTGGTGGTCTGGGGGCGCCGACCAATGACGCCGATCACATGCCAAGTCACTTACCGACCTGCATTTTCCCAGTACGCGTAGCCCAGTAGTTCCAGTAGCGTTCTGTAGACAGTGTTAGTCGCCGTGGTGCGTCATCCAACGGCGTAGTTTTGTGTACTAGCAGTAGCTATAGTGATAGTGCTTCTCATCTCACATCCGATGAGCCTCAGTGAGTCATGGGGCTAGTTCAGCTTCCGCAATGGAACTCCGAGTATCCTAGTCACGGGCGAAAAACAACAGGTACTAAGAGTGAATATTTCGGCTCTATCGAGTCCTAAATTCTCATGTTTTTGCATTCGCGGTTTTCTCTGGTTATATCTGCATGTAAGACATAAACCCAAACAAGTTCTTCCATTCTCGTACTTTTACAACGCAGAAGCCCACTCGCACGGGCCTTGCTGACTGTCTTTTTTTTTTAATATAATCTGCTGTAGGGAGTGATCAAGGCCAGTACCCCACATCCGCACGTGAAGAAACGAAGATTGAATGCCGCTATGTCGGAGGGGAGACACCTGCCTTTTGGGGTTCGTATGCGGGGCGGATGGAATGCAAGAAAAACAGCAACATGGTACGCCAGCTTGCAAATACTATAGAAACCTGCACAAAGCCCGAAGATCCAGGAGAAGAGGGCAATCAGATCCTTTCAAGGGTATTTCGTATCGTGTTGGAATATAATCGTGTGAACATTAAGGAAAGCCAAAAAATTGTGTGCAAAAGGTCTATCGGAAATGTGTGACGGACCGCCGACCGAATCAAAACGCCAGAACATAAACTTTTGTTGATGTATAGACAACCCGGGGACTCGCAAGGAAAATGGAAGCAACAAGACCGCAGCTTGTAGAAAGAGCGTGGAGAGAGAGAGACATTGACCCTTGCCAGTACCGCATGGCCACATGGTAGCCATAAGACACAACCAGTCAATCATGATGTGAATAGAGCCAAGGTCTCCGCATCAAGCAAGTCGCTGATGCGCTTCCAACTCTCAGGGTTGATGCCACCACTGCGAACGGCCGATTGCAACTGGCCAAAAGCACGACACCCGTCCTCGGTCTTGATCAATTCAACGAAGTCAGAAGCGACCCGCCACCGGATTGCTCCCTGTGGCGACAGTAAAGACTTGCCGTAAAATTTAATTAGACTTGAAATGCCAGTGTCCGCGCATCGGTGGGCGGCATCTTCGAAAGCGAAATGACGGAATTCATCGTACATGGATTGATTGAAATTCCGAATCAAGAAATGCGACCAAAACTGATAAAGAACGTTCATGTCGTAAGGGGTTACGCCATAGGCGGCGTTCGAGCGCTGTTGGAGAGCTTTTGACCGTAGATGATGATACGACTCATGCGAAGAATCAGAAGGAATGGAATGGACTGGACGGTCCTGGTCCTTGACCCAGTAAAGGCGAACAGGAGGGGAAGTCGACCGTTGAGGGGGCTCTGCTAAGCCACTACTCTGGGTATTAGCTCGGATGCCAGGCACAGTCTTGTATGGGGTCCCTCGATGGTTGGCAGCAGTTGGCGTGCTGAGTGACGCTAAAGGCTGCGGGCGCATGCCGACACACGTGCTGCGGGAAAGCTTGAGCACCGACTTACCCGTTGGGAGAGCTAGTGCCGTTGGTTTTCAATTGACATGAGGTCGACCTCTCCAGTTCATCCGACATACCACGGTTACTATCGATGGATCCATTAGAAAATGTTCGTGGAAAAGAAGAAGAAGAAGAAGAAGACGACGTTTTTTGCGATCGGCCTTGCTTGCGAACAATGATTGTCAAGCTGCCGAGTTGCAAGTCAGAAAATGAATCAGGTTCTCCACTCACAGCCTTTGTTGAGGTCTCGACTGCGTGACCGTTGGGAATGGCCATACCATTCGCCTCTTCAGCAGGTGTACCATTCACTACGCTCTCTGTCGGCGCCAGCCCACCGTCTAGAGCCACGGGATGAAATCCATTCATCTGAGCATACGCTCCATCGGTTCCATAGGGGCTCATGGGGAAGCCAGGCGACATTGCCGGCCACTGAGGGAGATTTGCAGGATCGAAGCCTGCCGGATGGGTAATCTGAGGCTGGTTGAGCTCCTTGGGGCCGTCGTTTTGTGCCGAGGGGTCGCGCTCTGCCATATCAAGCACCCACTGTTCCCAGCCGTCCTTGCGGCGTAGCCGTTCCTGGCCGTTCTCGCCCGTACGATACTCAATGGCCTTGGACTGCTGGCAGACGAGCCTAATCATATCGAGATCGGGTGACAGGTGCTTGATCCGGTTGAAACCAGCGATGAACTCGAGCGAAACGAATCCCTGCGAGTCCATGTGGCGACGCAGATACATGTCCTTGAGTAAGTTGTCGACGGAAAAGTAGTACTCACTGATACTGTGTTAGCACGTGGCGATTGGTTGGTTGGCGTGAGGGCAGAAGGCTTACACTTGGGTAGTGAGTATGGTGAAAAGGTACGACTGGTCGAATCCGTATGGGCTGAATGGCGCAGTAGCACTCATCGGCTGGACCATGCCGTAGGGATACATGTCGTGGGATGTCTGCAGAGGAGTAGCTGGGAATCCATTCTGGTACGACTGGTACCGGTAGGGGTCGGTGGTCAGAGACTGAGACCGATGGCTGTTGCGACCGTATTTGCCCTGGGAAGCCGGGAAGAAGCTGTTGCTCTCAGGAACAAAAGTCGTCGGCGATCGCGGGCCTAGGGGGAAGTTTGTCGAAGAAGTGCTATTGACGAAGTGGTGGCCACTTGCATAGTTGCCACGAGCACCACGGCCACCTCCACGGCCGCGTTCACGGCCACTGGAAAACGAACTGAAACGCTTCGAGTGACCGTGTGGGCCGTCCTGGTGCGGTGCACGGCGCTCACCATCTGCGGAAGCATCTGCCTGCGTTCCAGCAGGAGCCCAGGTGTTATCCTTGGTGGGTGACGACGCACCGTCTCTCCTTCGCTCTCCAGCGCCGTGAAAGTCGCCGCGGCGGCCCTTGTGGGGCTTGTTGGGGAATTGACGGGGGTAGGCGCCATTTTGATGCGGTGCCTGCGATGGTGCTGACGAGCCCTTGGTGTTGGCTTCAGACTCGGAGGGTCCGTGGCCATTCGTCTTTGCAGCGCCATCTCCGTTGGTCGTGGCAGCCTGGTTCTTCAGCGTGGGAGACGCGGCACCGCCTGAGCGCTTTGTCTTGCCAGAAGCATCTTGTGCAGCGGCCCTCGCGTGTTCACCATTTGGTGCCGACCCGTCCTTGTCAGGCTGCTCGGCGCTGTTGCTGAAGCCAGCAGACCTGCCACCAGTCTGCGCTCCGCCACGTCCTCCAGGTCTGCCGCCTCTCCTTGCATTTGCAGCATGAGGCAAAGGCGTGTTGAACACGACAGACGGTGTGTATGGGATTTTCACCCACTCCTGCTTGCTGGTAGGAGCACCATCCTTGCGCTCCTTCTCGACCTTTTCACCCTTTTCCTGGGCCTTTTTGCGATCCTCATCGACGGCGGTATCAGGGGTTGGCCATGCCTCCTGATCACGGTTCGGCGGCGGGGGAAGCACGCCCGATGATGATTTTGTATCCTTGTCGGAAAACCTGCCCTTGGCACCATTTCTGACATCGACGTCACCCTTTGCATCTCTTCGGCCTGGGGCGCCTTCGCCACGGTGCTTGCCTCTGCTCTCACCGTTGACGGGCTTTTCTTGGGGCGCGGAGTCTCCCTTTTTCGCAGAGACTCCGTTGGGCGCTTGCGAGACTCCGTTGGAGGTAGCTGAAGGAGCAGCCTTGTGCACCTTTGACTTCATCTCGTCAGCCCGCAGCTTCCATGGGTTGACGGTCGGCACGGGCGCCTCATGAAGGGCCTTTGCGACTGCGTTCTTGCCCTTTTTGACCTTCTCGGACGTCTTTTCAACCGGCTCGACCGACTTGTCGACGGAAGTAGAGGCCTGAGACTTGTTGTCCCAAGTGGTTGACTCGGAGGCAGTGTTTGGCACTGACGATACGTCGTCGTCCTTGGTCACCGTCGACGAGGACGAGGCTCCGAGATCGGGCGAAGACACGTTGGAGGCATCTGCTGGCTGTGAGGGTTTGGCTGGGCTGGAAGCGGGTTGCTCTGTGCGTGCCTCGCGGGCTACGGCGGGCTGGTCAGGACGCGATTCCGTCTCGACATCCTCGGCCCAGTTGGCTGGCGAAGCATTGGCGCCGGGGCCAGCGGCCGTGTTTGCGTCCTTGGCTGGAGTAGCGGTGCCGGAAGTCGGCTTGCTTGCACTGGTCGGTGTGGAAATGCCCTTTGCGGCTTGCGCATATGAAAACGTTGAAGCCATTGCGACTGCGGTATCTGGGTCTCGACTCAGGTCCGACGAGCAAGACGAGAGTGAGCGCTTAGGATCCCCGGTGGGAGCGCTGCAGCAAACGAAGCAGCAGGTGTAGGTGCTGGTATGTCCGGAGAGGTGTGTCTTGACCTCCCCGCACGCAACTCTTTTTCGCTGCTACCAGGACGGGGGCGGGCAACGGAAGAAAGGTGGAGAGGCAGTAGTGCTGCCGTCGGGGGGCAGAGGGTTATATGTCGCTGTGGGCGTTGGCTCGTAACCGAGGCGATCACACAGGCTGTGTGGAGACAGTGAATGCTTCCGAGCACGCGTGTATGGACGGACTGCAACAATTGGCGTTAGCGCCGCGCCCGCCCTCTCTTCTTCTACCTCGCTCCGCCCGACTCACCCTCTCCTCGCCTCCGCATCCCACGCCCCTCCTCTGCCGCCACTACTCCTACTCCTACTCCTGCTACTACTACTACTTCTTCTTCTACTTCTTCTTTTCTTCTTCGCCTCCTCCTCCTCCTCCGCCTTCTGCCTGCCCCCCTCCAACTCGGCCCCCCCACCATCACCATCACCATCACCACCACCACCACCACAGTCAGCCAGACCCGTCTGTCCAGACTCGTTGCAGAGGTTAGTTTTGCGCACGTTACTAGCACCCTCCGCCGCACGCCTGCGTGCTTGCTGCCTGCCTTGTCCGCGCCCGCCGCCCATTTGCCAGCCCCGCGCGCACTGTTTTTTTCTTTTCTGCTGCCCGTCCCTTCCTCCGCCTGGTCCCTGGCCTTGCGCCCAGCAGCCGCCCGCGCAGTCATCATTACTCCCGCCCTGCCGTGCGCTTCCAGGCACCCCCCCCCCCGCCCACGACGCCCGCCGCACGCACACGCCCGGAATATCGCTGCCCAAATCCGCTGCTCGCTCGGCATTTATCTCTGCCACACGCCACCTGCGGGGCGCGCCAATTCCAGCAAAAAATATTCACAGGCAGACGAGGTCCACGGGCTCCAGGCACACGAGGGTCGATGGCACAGGCACAGGCACAGGCACGGGCGGGCGAGGCTGACGAGCGTGAGGGAGCGAGGGCGCAACGACGGCGAGGGCGAGGGCGAGGGCGCGGGCGCGGGCTGAGGCGGCGTCTGAGGATTCTCAGTCAAGGCAGACGGGGCGCCGGTGGACAAAATTGCCAGTCGTGTGTGCGGGCGGAGCTTGCGCAGGTGCGACGAGGGCGGGCGGGCGTGCGGGCGTGCGGGCGTCACTGTGAAGCGCGAATTTTTCTTGGTCAAGGTGGTGCTCTAAAAAGAGCGCCCGACAGCCCACGCACGCTACTCGGCCTGCCAGCGACATGGATAATGCTGCTGCTGCTGCTACATGTGCGCACACATACAGCACAGGCACACATGCGCTGCATGCCTGGGCCGGGCCCTCGCTGCATGTGCTGGTGCTGGTGCTGGTGCTGGTGCTGTCCCAGTGCGTGCAAGCAAGCAATTTCTCCCACGGGAGGTTGACGCGCCTGCGACACGCCAATGACGCCTCGCGAGCCACTCAGCCCCTCACCTGCTGCCTCACCCTCGCCATCATATCAAGGCCATCCACAGCCTGCGCTGCATCCATACACACACACATGCGGCCACAACCACCCATCCGCCTCGTGCCACGCCGCTCGGTGAGAGCCTCTCCGACTCGTTCCTGGCTGCTCCTCTCTGGCGGCCACCACCGTGCCGGCACCGCGAGCGGGCGCCATCTATCGATCCTTGTGCCATGCGGAAAAACGGAATCGCGCCATGGACCTCCCGAGTCCTGCCGAGAGAACCACCACCGCCCAAGGCCGTATTGTCTGTCTGGAATATACACGCCGCCGTGTCGTCGTCCCTCGTGCCCGAGCACACTTTTGCGCTGCCCGCCTGTCTGCCTGCCTATTCTGCATGGCGCTGCCGACCTCGACGCCTACTAGGTCCCAACCGTCACCCCCTCCGCCCCACCATGTCTCTCTCCCTCTCTCTCACACACACAACTAAAAACACCCGCCGAAGCCAACACACGCGTTCGTACTAGCGCCTCTGGTAAGCTGCAAAGGCTCACCTCACCTGCCTGTCATCAGCACTACCACCACAGACCCGTGCCGTTGAATCCTTTCCTTGCGCCCACGCAATCCCATCCGGTCCTGCCGCTCCCCCATTTTAGCTCCCCGCCAGCCATGCTGCTCGACTGTGCCAGGCACTCCTCCACGTACTTGCGTAGGTTGTGTCTATCCAAAAATAGCCCGAACCCTCCTTGCCCCAACAGCGGTGGAAAAAAAAAAGCAAAAACAGTCACCGAATACCGTCTGCCCATCCACGCTGTCTCCGCAATAACCAAGTGCCGCGTATCCACACGAAATGCAATCACAATTGTCCCTTTTCCCGGAACTGCCTCGCCCCGTCCCGCCGCTCCTGGTGCCCCGGGGACGCGCATACATACATCTAAAATAGGCATGCTGTAAGCACACACGCACACACACGCTCACACCCACAGGCACAGAACCGCATGGCATCCATACCACCCGACGTGTGCGCATGCGTGCCTTGGCTCGATAGTGCCTAATCTCAGCGCCGCTTGTAACATTAAAGTGGCGTCAAAAAAAACCCGGGACGTGTGGTTGCTAATTAACCAGGGTTGTTGCTTTATAGATTGTCCCTGAAGATTCAGGTACGCGTCTCTTAGTGCAGCTGATCATCGGATACAACACCACATGCTCTTTGCTTATGAAGTACTCTGGCCAAATGAGAGCACCGGCGTTTTTGGCTAATTGCTTCATGTTGATTAAAGTATGAATTCATACGACTGCTGTATCAGAGCGGCGTACGCGAAATAACACAGTACACACATCTCATCCAATCGTCATCCTTCACCTGTGCGCTTGGCGTCGACTATACTCAGCCATGGAAGCCAGAGTCCGCCAACACCCCAAGTGCATGGCAGCAGCAATTTGCCGCCGTGGCTCCAACCCATCACTCCATGCCCTCGGGCCACCGCCACCTCTCCAGCTTCATCCTCGCCTTCTCCTCACTATTGGCCCACCACCAGATAGTCCACTGGGTTCCAGTCCACTGCATGCGGAATGCCACCCTGATGTCTTCCAAGCCTTCCCTGTCCGATTCATACCTTTCAAACTCCACCAGCGCTTGATCGATAAAAAAATACTTTGCGTAGTCGGTCATGGTCAGGAGAAAGTAATCAGGAAGCTGCTGGTAAACCCGCAGCTCACTCATGCAGTACCTGCTCTGGTGGAAAGAAGCTTGATCCATGGCTCGGAGCTGCGAAAGCGAAACTTGGAGCAGCAGCCGCTTCTGGCCGTTGTCCCAGAGTCGGATGTTGGGTGGAACCTGGCTGGGTAACGGGGTGCGCCATCTCTCGCTCGACGCGGGCATCGTCATTCGCGGGTAAGGCGGCTTGCGGCTGAGCTTGGAGCGTACCGCGAGGTCGATCAAGTCTGGCGGCTGCAAGTAGACCTGCCCTGCCATGAGGCAGACCTGGAACATCCGGTGACAATGGCCATTGCCATTATCAAAGTCCGAGTCGAATGTCAATGGCAGCTTCGACGACTCTTGGTCGGCCAAGAAGCTGATATGCAGTGGGAGCAAATGGTGGTACATGAAGCTGAAAACGGCACCCTGATCCAGCCTATCAAGTACGGGAGTCTTTTGATGCAGTGCAATCTCCGCCTTGCAGTACTCCAGAATGCGGAGCAGCACGTTGAATCCCGTCGGCTGAGCAAACCAGATCATGGCCCAGCGGATTTCCGTGTAGAGCCACACACACACGACAGCTGCGTGGAACCGCCCTCTCTGCTCTGCGTTCAACCGATTGTAGTGCTGGGTATGCGGAGTATCCGGACATCGCCTTGGTAGCCGTGTGTCCTGCCCCGGCTCACTGCGTGCAACGAGCGTATGGTATTTGTTGGCGAGCGTCTGCGCATTCAACGTATCTTCCACACACAGGTAATCCCCTGCCTCCAGCTGCCGCGCCAACCACATGTCCTCAAGCACACGCAGACCCTGATACCGTGCCAGAATCTCGCATATTGTTCTGTCTGACCAGCCGTGTAGTCGACGGTTTGCGCCCACAGCCTGCGCCAGTGTAGCTTCCCACACATTCACGTGCACCGCTGAAGGCTGGGAGACCGGTAGCCAGGTTCTGTGTTGCGTGACGTGCGTGACAATCCTCTGGTGGAAATCCAGCATCTTGCACAGCTGGTAGTCGTATCGGTGCTGCGGCGAGAAGTGGATAATGGACCGCATGATATCGAGATAGATGCGCCGCCGAGAAATGACATGGTGGGTCTTCTTGCAAGCCCGCGCCAAGTGGTGGACGTCGTCGATGCTCCCAAGGGCGTGGTATATTTGCTCCAAGAGTTCAATAGGTAGATCCGTTAGGACGGCCATGGCAATGAGTGGCGAGGACGCAGTCCCGAGAACACGTTGGAAGAGGAGGTCCAGTCAGTGCAGCCGTCCTGTCCTGCTTCCACGGCACTATTTTAGATGCTTTATATTTCTTGGAACGGGCGCTCCGTAATCAATGTGCAAAGACTGTATTGCGTGATGTAAGACAGGGTAACAATATATCTCGTCGTCGTTGGCCGTCGTCTCAGACGGCTACTTGGTGTGTAGTGGTGGAATGCACTGGGCGCTGCTCCAAAAGGGTTCCCCCATACAACAGAAAGGCGACGGCCAGGTACGATGGACTACAGAGGGCTGTTACCGGTTTGTTGTGCACGAGGCAAGGCATTTGGCTGGCGCAAGGCTGGTCCTTCTGGCGAACTGACTGCCTAGTCATGTGCTGCTAGCTGTGGTGGTTCAGGGCCTTGTCCATAGAGCCTGGCCAAAGTTGGAGCGGTTCCATTGGATGCCGAATCTGGGATAGAAAAGCCATGAGCCATGCTCGAGCACCATAGGCCGCCCTTTCAACGTGCAATGAGGGAGGGGAGGCTCCCTCCCCCAAGACGCGTCGTTGCGGAGGGTGAAGCTGCAACGGCTCCGATTGGCTGTGTCGCGCCTGGCGCACCTGATTGCTTGGCTTGCCGTTCTCTCACCTCCGCCCTCGCCTCCGCCCCCCGACTCAACCCCACACGTCATACCATCCACCCGGTCGCAACACGCAAGATTGAACCTGCAGCCATGTCCGAAAGCAACTCCCAGCCGCCTGACACCAACATGGAGGTGAACGATGAGCTGGACCGCACCGTCGATGACGAGATCAAGCAGGACGCGACACAACTCGAGGCCGACGCCATGAATCTCGACGGCGCAAACGACGCAGACGCCCCGGCGGTGAATGGCGTCGCAGAATCGGCCGCCAACTTTGAGGCGCGGATACCGGCTAAGAAGGATGCGACGTTGCGCGAGTTCCTGGGCAAGATGGACGAGTACGCGCCCATCGTATGCTCACCCAGCCACCCCCCCTTCGAGTGATAGGGCAGTGTTACTGACTGGGCCGCCAGATCCCCGATGCGGTGACAAACTACTATCTGACGCGCGCCGGCCTGCCACCGCCACCGCAAACATCACAGCATCTTGCGCGCCTCCTGGCGCTTGCGACGCAGAAGTTCATTGCCGACATTGCCGCTGATGCCTACCAGTTCTCCCGCATCCGCTCGTCAAACACTACAAGTAACAACCCTATGGGCGGTGCCGGAGGGCCTCCTGGAGCTGCTGCCCCAGGCGGTGCGCAAGGCGGAAAGGACAGCGGAAGCAAGACCAAGGACTACAATCTTGGCATCCAGCGACCGGGTTATGGTGGTGGCGGCCAGGGTGGCAGCCAGGGACGCACTGTGCTCACCATGGAGGACCTGGGCATGGCCGTCGGCGAGTATGGCGTTAATATTAAACGTGGCGAGTTCTACCGCTAGACGCCGTTTCACCATGTCGCCAGGCCCCACTCGGCTTGACGCTTGCTTCATGAGGATATCTTGGGTTATTTGCTATGACAATGGCATTACAGGCGTTGAATTGGCATCGCAGGCGCAGGGGCTTTTTCACCGGAATCTTTTCGCCCAGCAGAGGGCTCATCGCAATTGTACAATAGCGCAGTACAGAATGGCTTCTAGACCAACCAAAATGATACCCAAACTCCCATAAACATACACATGCGACTTTTGTTTCTTTATTTGTTCTTGGTCTGCTTGTACGTGAACTGCTTCCGTGTTCTAGAGTCGCATTGTCAGCCAAGAGTGCCTTGTGTGTATGTCGCTGTATAGGCCGGGGCTATTGCTCTGGGGAACGTACGGCGCAAATTCTCCCAGTTTGTGTCCTACCATGTCCTCGGTAATGGTGATGTCCAGGTAGCTCTTGCCATTGTGTATCTGGAATTTGAGGCCGACAAAGTTTGGCAGTATCGTCGCCGAGCGGGCTTGTGTCTTAATCGGCGGCACCCGCTCACCCGCCTTCTTCTGCACGATGGGGAGGCTTCCAGGCAATTAGACAGGTTCGTAGAGGGCTTCACCACAGCGGCTTACGGGACGATGTTGGGTCCTAGCGGGAAATTAGCCTCATGCTGTCTTTACATCTGACTTGGCGAATCGGAAAAATACCTTTCCAGATTGACCGGGCGCAGAGCGCGCGTGTGGGCAACATGGCGACGTTGAGCGTGAAGGTTGTGGTCGGCGAACCTTTTCGATTGCTTCCGATGGAGGAGGCTCAACAGGAGCACGTGAGAGCGCGGGGGGACAAACTCGAGCTAACGCCTTGGCCGCCGCCGCAGCGCGTCGCGCAGTGTAGGCATTTGCTGGCGGCAGGCACTACTCATTCTCGTGGAGACTTTTGCCGCATACCAATTGTGCAGCACTCCATTGAGGCCTGTTGAGTTGTTCCTCAGTAGCGAGAGCAACAAGGAAATTCAGGCTGTCCAGCCAAGTACATCGCTTCGCCCGATATGCCACCACGAGCGCGCGGTCCCCAGCGAGGTAAGTATGTGACAGCAACGGGTGGGGGACGACCACGTGCATGTACTAAGAATGGTCTACAGGCGCGGATACAATTCGCATTCTCGTGGCCACGGATAGCCATGTCGGATACAACGAGCGCGATGCGGTGCGAAAAGACGATAGCTGGAGGACCTTCGACGAGGTCATGTGCCTCGCCAAAGAGCACGATGTCGACATGGTGCTGCACGCCGGCGATCTCTTCCACGAGAACAAGCCGTCGCGCAAGTCCATGTTCCAGGTCATGCGGTCGCTGCGCATGAACTGTCTGGGCGAGAAGCCGTGTGAGCTGGAGATGCTGAGCGATGCGAGCGAGAATTTTGGCGGCATGTTCGACCACGTCAATTACGAGGACGAGGATATCAACATTGCGATACCGGTTTTCGCTATCCATGGCAATCACGACGATCCGTCGGGCGAGGGTTCGTATTCTCCGCTTGATCTGCTGCAGGCGTCTGGGTTCGTCAACTACTTTGGGCGCACGCCCGAAGTAGACAAGATAGCCATCAAGCCGGTGCTGCTCCAGAAAGGCGGGACCAAGCTTGCTCTGTATGGACTGAGCAATGTCCGAGACGAGCGGTTATTCCACACCTGGCGGGACGGCAACGTCAAGTTCTTTCAGCCCGGTACGCAAAAGAACGAGTGGTTCAATCTCATGAGCGTCCACCAGAATCACCATGCCCACACGCCGACGAGCTACCTGCCTGAAAACTTTCTTCCAGACTTCATGGATCTTGTTGTGTGGGGTCATGAGCATGAGTGTTTGATCGACCCACGGTACAACCCTGAGATGGGCTTTCATGTTATGCAACCTGGCTCGTCGGTCGCGACGTCTCTGATGCCAGGCGAGGCTGTGCCGAAACATGTATGCATTCTTAGCGTCACCGGCAAGGAGTTTACAACCGAGAACATACGGCTGAAGACTGTACGGCCGTTTATCATGAAAGAGATTGTTTTGGCGGAAGAGCGGGAAATCAAACAAAAGGAACTCTGGCGTATTAGCGATAACCGTGCAAAGATTACTCAGTATCTCAATCGCGTCATTGAAGACCTGATTGACGAGGCGAAACGGGACTGGCTCGAGCTCCAGACAGATCGTGGCGAAGGAGATGATCTCGAAGTCCCGCTGCCATTGGTACGACTGCGCGTCGAGTATACTGCTCCCGCCCCCGGCGAGTTCCATTGCGAGAATCCACAGCGCATCTCGAATCGCTTCATGGGCAAGGTAGCGAATGTCAATGATGTAGTCCAGTTTCATCGGAAGAAAAAACAAACAACCCGAGCTTTGAAGAACAACGCCGACGAGCCAGACGAACAGCTGTTGGCTGAACTATCAATTGACACGATCAAGGTGGACAAACTAGTCAAGGAATTTCTCACCGCGCAGACCTTGACGATCCTGCCGCAGAATTCATTCGGAGACGCCGTATCACAGTTTGTCGACAAAGACGACAAGCACGCCATGGAGACTTTTGTCAAGGAGAGTCTGACAAACCAACTAAAGCATTTGATGGAAGCCAATGAAGTCGAGGAAGAAGAAATCGTCAAGGAGATGACAGAGTACCGCGAGCAGCTTGAAGACTTGTTTGCCTCAGGACAGCTCAAGAGGGTACGCAAGTCCAAGGTCAAGCCCAAGCCGGATGGCTGGGATAGTGATTTCGAGGGCCCTTGGGTTGACCAACCCGGTGCTCTCATTCGCTCCGATGACGAGCAAGAGAAGGACGAGGACGAGAATCTTGCTTCTATCCCTACCAAGAAGGCTGCCGCACGTGGCCGTGGCAAGGCGACTGGTACAACTCGGCAAACAGCTGCAGCTCCGAAGAAGGCTGCGCCAGCAGCAAAGAGCAGTCGAGGCAAGAAGAAGGTAGTAGAGGAAGAAGAGGAAGAGGACGACGACAATGACGTTATAATGATTGATGACGACGACGATGAAGACAGCGCAGAAGACCTATTCGTAGCATCCCAAAAGAAGGCGCCTGCAAAGAAACCAGCTGCGAGGACCACGAAAGCACCCGCACGTGCAAAGTCGCCAGTCAAGAAGACAACAACTACTACCACGCGAGCGAAAGCGCCGGCGACACAGACAAAGTTGAACTTTTCCCAGGCGTCGACACCGCGCAGCCAGCCAACGCGACCGGCTGCGTCGCGCGGAAAACATGTTGCACAGGAGCCTGTAAGTAACATCATGTCAAGGAAGATGATGTGCATGCATGCTAATCATTGTCCACAGAGCGATGACGAGATCGAGTCTGATGATGCGTTTGAAGCAGCGCCTCCTTCAAGTGCCCGTCCTACGCGCAGGAGGTAGGTTATTGTTATTTGTGTCAGGGTGGTATAGTAAGGGTAATCGAGGGAGTGTGCGGGAAAATAGTGGTCTCTGTAGGCCGGTGTGCCATATGGAGCGCTCCACATACAACATAGCGAAGGCGTTTGGGAGTTACTGATGAGGATATTACATCTAGCTTGTGGACACGATAGGCGGATGAGCAGTGTGGAACTTATAGTATGTGTTTCTGAATTGTAATATCTCGTGGCTCTATCCTCGCACAGTATCATGATTGGGCCATGTACCGCCTCAACGTTCTTGCTCACATGCGGTCTGCATCTCGACCGTTCTTTCCTCACCTACCACAGGGTAGCCGCGCTCAAACCATCCCCACTTCTCCACACCCCCAGATCTCCTTCGTAGAGCCCTCCTAGATCGGCGCCCATCACATCTTTCCTCATCCGCAAGACCCCTGACTGTCCCGTCTATGGGGAGTCGCGGCAGGGCAAAAGGCTATAACAACAGGCTCTTCGACGCTCTCTCTCTTCCGTTTTCCTTCACTACCAACACACAAACACACACTCATTTTGGTTCCATCTTCTTGTTCCGCCTTCGTTCTTCTTTCACATTGCTGCGCGCCCCCGGGCTTTTTGGATAGCTTGTCGCTCGCTTGTTGTTCACGTTGCGCTTCATCGATCTGCTTTGAGGTACGTCGAGGCTGCCTCTACCACACTGGCACATGTACAGTGCACTGTGAGACACGGCCATGAGGAATGCTAATACAGCAAGGATATTCGCATCACACCATCTCAGCCCTCTTCGCCTGTCTCGCTCGACATCTCATTGGCCCTACAGCCTCGACGGCTCAATCAGGTCGGCGGCTCGTTGCTTCGGGTACCTAACTGGGGTGTCCAACTACGATAATGTCGCTTGCATACAAAGTAGACGAGCTCCTTGCTCTGCGCGATTCGGTGTCGGAATCAGCCGTGTCGATTGAGAAGTTCCCGGACGAGGATGTCATCAGAGGTCGGTGATGACCATACCCTTCTTCACCCTTCACCCTTCACTGTTCATACGTCCCCACTTGAAAACTTGGTCTACGATGGAGACCCACGCCGCCTTGGTCTCTCTACTCCTGCATCATCACTTCGTCCCGTCGTATCTTATTGGGCCAGCGTTCACTGTCCCCACCTCTTCGATTGTCACACATGTGGAGTATTCACTAACTCCCTTTCCCCTCTGATTAGAACACGTCTTGCGTCCATCGGTATCTGCAGCTGCGAACCTCAACAGCAGATCTTCGAACAAGAGCCTTAAAGTTCCCGCCGCCACAGCACCCGTTCCCCTCGGACCTCAGAAACGACCGTCGCCTACACCATCGTTCAAGCGAGGAAAAGCCGAGAAACTCCTCAAGGAGCACGGCAGCCCACCAGGTTTGCGAGTAACTGCAGGTGGCCGCATAGTTCCCAGCGACCTTCCACCGCTTGGTACGTCCCGATACGGCGATACGACTTACAGACCACAGCAACCGTTGCGGGTCGCCCCAGGCAACGTCATGGCAATGCCGCCTCACTCAAACGCCAGCGACACTGCTAGGATTGAGATTGTCGGTGGCCAGCCCGTGGTTTTCGTTGGCGATCGCATGTTTGCACTTCCAGCTGTCAGCGCGACCAACCCTACACTGCCTCCTGGTGGCCCTGCCGCTATGGATCCGACCACGAAGCGAGCTCCGGACGCATCTGCCTCGACTATGCATGGTGCTCTACCAGGTGCCGCCTTTGGTCCGCCCCGCTCGAGTACTCACACGCCGTTTGCTGGCATGGACATTGCCACACTCAAGACGCAACAGGCTCTGAAGAAGCAGGAGCTTCGCACCGTCGAACAGACTGAAGTATTGCAAGCAAGCCACCAGAGCGAGGCATGGCGAGCGGGCATGATTGAGAAGAAGCGTTGTCTGATTGTTGAGCTGGATGCCCTCAGAAAGCAGATTGCGACACTGGAGGCAGGCGGCACGACAGCGCAGCCCAGCGCATTTCCCAATCCAATTGGTGGACCCGCAGCACCAGGACTTGCATTTGGAGCCCAGAACCAGCAGCCTTTTGCGCCTGCAATGTATCCCTTCGCTGCTGCCAATCAGTATGCACCCATGGGGATGTATCAAGCCCAGCCGCAGCCTTATGGTGGTTTCCCTAGCTTCCCTACGGTAGAGCCAGCACCGTTTGTTCCTAGTTCTACCAACATACAGACGCCGCATTCGCCTCCAGGATCAGCCACTCGCCGCTCTCGCGCCATTGAGATCAAGCCCCCGCCTCCCGAGGACGTCAAGAAGCCATCGGCTCTGAACCCAAAGAGCCCCACATATGAGCCCGCCACCAAGTCCACTGGCATGCAAGGAGCTGTACCGCCTACCCCTTCGCCTGAGAAGTCGTCCCCTTGGCGCGCGCAAGAAGTGTCTGAGGCAAGCAAGCACGATCGCGGAGTGTCATCACAGAAGCATAGCCTGTCGAGCGTTGATACCATGGACTTTTTCCCTACAAACACACATGAGCACTCATCTACCCGGATGGCGCCACAGCTTCAAGAGAACAAAGCGCCGATTGAGCCGGCGGCTGCTCCGTCTACACCAGAGAAGCACTGGCCTGCCAGCCCATGGAACGAAGACCACTCGGGTCGCTCGAGCAAGAATGAGGTGGCGCCCAAGCTCACGTCATGGCCAGAGGCATTTGGCAAACAGCCTTCAACGTCATCGCTACGACCAAGCACTACAAACCAAACCGTCTCAGCAAAAACGGAGCGGAGTTCGATGGTGAGCGCTCTCATGGCGACGTCTGCTTCGAGCAGCAACGCAGCGCCACGAACAAACTCTGACCAAGGCACTGGCACGAACCAGAACTGGTCCCTTTCTGATAAAGCTATCGCGCATGTTCCATCTACGTACCAGGAGGGTTACCAGGCCGGCTACGACCACATTGGCATTCCTGACAGTCCTGAGGTGCTGCAGGGCTACATCCAGGGTCTCTTGCATTTTCTCACGGATGAATCCAAGAAGCGTCAGGCCGAGTATCAGCGCCGTGCCAACTCTAGGGCTCCTTCACTCAGGGGACTAGTTGCGGGATCGCTGCCTCACGACTCTGGCATGGGCATGGGCGTCAATCGTAGCAGCTTGAGCGGAGGCCAGGAGAATATGCGGTTAACAAAGGGCAATGTGACGGATGATAGCCGCCGTGAGTTTGGGCAGGGGGCACAAGCAAACATGCAGGATATACCAAACCAGTACAAGATGGGCGGTGAAGCAGTAGCAGAGTCGCGCCAGCGTGTTAGTTCGGGTGCACAGTACTTCAACTCGCCTGTTCTATTTGCGCACAGGATGGCGTCTGGTCAGCGACAGATTGTGATACCACGGATTGAGGACGAGGCGAGCAAAGGGCATCAGGACAAAGGTATTGGGTTCCGTGGGGCTTCGCACTCCAAGGGTGGAGCATGTCAACAGTCGTTTGGCACTCCGATGCAGAATGGCAGTCACGGCACGCCATTGGCGACGCAACGCTTCTATACGGGGCCGAAGGAGGGCAGCTCGCACGAGCTTGGCGGATGCAATGGGCCGTCTGGCAGGTCTTGTGCTGACGTCGGCCTAACAGGACTGGACGGGGCCATGGACGATCTGGTCGAGATGATAAACGACAGGCACGTTGACGAGGGCCGTACGTGTGTGGTGGCGGAGAATCAGTCGAGCGAGGCGGGCAGTCGGATGGAGTACGAGGAGAGCAATGCATGGTGCTTCAAGTCATCGAGCAACAAGGGCAAGCAGAAGGCAGCGTCATCGCCGAGCAAGACGACGGACATGGAGCGCGAGACTGTGGCATCGTCACGCACAAACACGCCGGGGTCGCCCAAGAAGGCGGGAGAGCATTCGCCGGCCAAAGCGAAGCTGGAGCAGGTGACGAACAAGTTCCGGCGCAACAAGAAGGACGAGGGCCGCACCATGTCTCCTGAGGAGAGGACGCGGCGTTCGGAGAAATGGCGGCAGCGCTTCCAGCAACTCAAGCGCAGCGAGCTCGAGGAGATTGAGGCGCACCGGCGGAACTCGGGCACTTGATTGCCTAGTTTGTTTGTGGTGGAGTGGATATGATATGGACTTTGTTGGAGGCGGCACGCGGGCGTGGATGGAATTCCAGGACCAAGGTCATGGAGGCGGCACGACTCGTTCACAGACGGGCAGTTTTAGTTTGGGGGGGTTTTTTTCTCTTTTGTTTTTGGCGATATGAAACAGCGGATATGACATAATGATAATCAGTGGCAGAGGGCCAGGGGGGGTCGGGGTGGACTTGTATCTCTTTTTTTTGTCTCGGTATTGATTCGGAGGCAGGACGGCGTGAGTAGGCGAGAGGGCGAGGAGAGCAGGAGAGCAGGAGAAGGGGTATGGCGGTGAGGAGGAGGTTGGACGAGTATGTTGCATATGCGTGCAGGCGTTGTATGGCTAGATTGGCAGCATAGGTAGCGGGTGAGCAGCAGTAGCAGCAGCAGCAGCAGTAGCAGAAGAAGAATGAATACAAGGCGTATATTGTCAAGTCATGGCATGCCATGTCGTCGGTGGAAGGGGTCGGGAAGTGGGTGCGCACGGGCAATGGCTCAGGGTCGTGGTCGCGCGTACACGGGGCGGGGCTAGTGCCAAAAGCGGAGGGATCTAGAACGGATTCGCACGCGAGGCCCATGGATGGGGGACGCGGTGCATGGAAACGGCGGAAAACATGATGGGCACTGGCAAGGCACTGGCACGGCACTGGCACGGCACAGGCACGGCACTGGCACAGGCACAAAGAAGGGGGCGGGTGGCTGCGGGGTTAGGGGGAGGCAGCAGAGCAGCAACCGGCGGCGGTGGGTGTGGGCGTGGGTGTGGGCGTGGGCGTAGGGTAGAGCAGGCAGGGGAGGACGGGGGAGGTCAGGGTAGGGGTAGACGGCCAGCAGCGATGACGTTGCGGGAAGCCGTGGCGGCAGTGGTAGTGGTAGTGGCAGCGCGTCGCATTGCTGATAAATCGCGGCGTATATGGCCATGGGTAGGCTAACCCGGGACGTGTCGACTAACAGTCCAGTGTGGCATGACCGGAGAGGCGCAGCTCCTGCCTGCCTGCCTGCCTGCCTGCCTGCTTGCAAATGCAAATGCAACATGCGCACAGTAATCCACACGTGTGCGCAAGCGCCTGCCGGACTGTGCCGCGCCTCTTTGCCGATGACGATGGTGTTGTTCTTCTGTTTCCTGCTGCGAGGCTTCTTTGGTCGTGCTTAGCTTGGGCGTGGGCGTGGGCGTGGTAGTGGTAGTAGCAATAGCTCGCCGCGGCTGCACTGGCATTGCCTAGGCTATCCCCACCTGCCCTCCGCGCCATTCATTCGGCGGGTGGGCGAGAGGAGAGCGGGCGGTGTGGCGGAGCGGGCAGCGAAGGCGGGCAGAGGGAATGGGGGGGGGGGACGGAGGGGAGGGGAGGGGGGTGGGGTGAGAGAAGATGAGATGGAGCAGAGCAGCGCAGCGCAGTGCGGTGCGGTGCGGTGCAGGGAAGGGGAGAGAGCAGGGAAGGGAAGGGTAGTCTAGTCGTGCCGGATAGACCAAGCACGGCGGGCGGCGGCGGCTGTGCCAGACACCCACACGCACTGCCGTCCGCCCGCTCCAGCCACACGCACCGCGGCCCCCGGGACATTGACCTCGCCCGCCGTGCCATGGCCCACTGACCGTGCAACGCGCAATCGTCACCTCCCTACTTGCTACGCCCGCCGCGTCTTCGCCTCACTTCCCGCCCCACGAGCACCACCACCAGCAGCACCCGCAGCACCCGCTGCCCGCCCTCTCTGACCCCGTGCGACGACGGCTATGACGCAGCTCTTCAGCTCGTCCGCATCCAGCCATTCCACCATGACGGAGAAACGCACCTTCTCGGGCAAGGCCCTGTCCACCAACAAGTCGGTCAACGGAAAGGACGGCCAGGTCTCGCAACGCATCAAGAACTTCTTCCGCATCAACAGCAACAACGACGCCCACAAGCTTGCCGACGACGCCTCGTCCCACACCAAGAACGAAAAGTCGGGCTTCCGCCAGTCGCGCTTCATCCCGCACATCACCCGCAACCGCTCGCAGACGGTCGCCAGCGAAGGCAACCCATTGGACGACACGGTTTCGCCCACGGCCCACGCCAACCCCTACTTTGCCCACCAGGGCCCGCCCGCCCTGCGCCATCACAATGAGGGCAGCGTGCCCCCGTCTCCTCCAGACACGCCCGCCATGCCCAAGACGCAGGTCAACGGCACCGACACCACCGACGACCACGCCACGAATGCCGGCAAGGAGGAATTGGCAAGGAAACTGCGCAGGGTTGCTTCTGCGCCAAACGCCCAGGGCTTGTTCGCCTCGGGCAAGTCCAACGAGCGACCCCAGACGGCAGAGCTGGGCAAGCAGCCCGTTTTGCACCACCCCAATTCGTCGACGCTGAGCATGGTGGAGACGCATTCGCAGGACTCGACCCATCTCATGCCCATTGAGCCTGGCAAGCCCATACCCTCTGCCGGCCAGATTCGACAGTCTGTAGCTTTCAGGAGGACCTACAGCTCCAACTCGATCAAGGTCCGCAACGTCGAGGTCGGCCCGGCCAGCTTCGACAAGATCAAGCTGATTGGCAAGGGTGACGTCGGAAAGGTCTACTTGGTCCGGGAAAAGAAGTCTAGCAGGCTTTACGCCATGAAAGGTAGGAGATGCAGTTGCTGCTGCTATATCGCATATGCTAACAAGCTGCAGTGCTGAGCAAAAAGGAGATGATCAAGCGAAACAAGATCAAGCGTGCCTTGGCCGAGCAGGAAATCCTAGCCACCAGCAACCACCCCTTTATTGTTACTCTATACCACTCCTTCCAGTCGGAAGACCACCTCTACCTCTGCATGGAATACTGCAGTGGAGGCGAGTTCTTCCGCGCTCTGCAGACGCGACCAAACAAGTGTGTCGACGAGGATGCCGCGCGATTTTACGCTGCCGAGGTTACAGCAGCTCTGGAGTATCTGCATTTGATGGGCTTCATCTACCGAGACTTGAAGCCAGAGAGTATGTCATATTCTAGCCCCTTATGATATTGATGCTCATTCCCCCTCCCAGACATTCTCCTACATCAATCCGGCCACATCATGTTGTCAGACTTTGATTTGTCCAAACAATCCGACACGGGCGGTCGCCCAACCATGATCCTCAGCGGCCGAAGCGGTACTTCTTCCACGAACCTGCCAACCATCGATACCAAGTCATGCATAAACAACTTCCGAACCAACTCATTTGTCGGTACCGAAGAGTACATTGCGCCAGAAGTCATCAAGGGCTGCGGACATACCAGTGCGGTCGATTGGTGGACCCTGGGCATATTGATTTACGAAATGCTGTACGGAACCACGCCCTTCAAGGGCAAGAACCGTAATGCCACTTTTGCCAACATTCTCCGAGACGAGGTGCCGTTCCCAGAGGGCTCTGGGGCACCTCAAGTGTCAAAGTAAGTTTTGTTGCGCACACGGCGTACGGTTTCAGCTGCTGACAAACGGTAGTCTTTGCAAGTCAATCATACGTAAGCTGCTCATCAAGGACGAGACGCGCCGGCTTGGCTCACGCGCCGGTGCCTCTGATATCAAGAATGCGCCATTTTTCAAGACCACACAATGGGCGTTACTGCGCCACATGAAGCCACCGATTATTCCCCACCAGGGCCAGGGTATTGAAACACCAAACTTCCGAAATGTCAAGGAGTCGCAGAGTGTTGATATTGGCGGGTCGAAATCCAAGGGCGTTCCGCTAGACTCGAATCTCGCTACACCCATGGGCGAAGTGGCAGACCCATTCGAGGAGTTTAACAGTGTCACTCTTCACCATGATGGCGACGACCACCATCATGACAGCAGCGACATTGACCTCTCGCATACCTCGCATCGATAGGATGAAGCGTGATTCCCATACCACGGGGCGTCTTTCTTCACCCAGGCCATTCGTATACGATACTCTTCTCGACTCTACTCATTTGCTTTCACCGCATCATAGACAAATGAGTCTCTCTCATGTCAGCGGCGTTCCACGGGCATCAACTTTGTTTCTTTCACATGGGCATTTTTCTTTCATACTTTCAATTCAGCATCTTCAGAGCCACAAAATTTTTTTTGGCGTTGTTTGTAATTTGTTCTGGAGGCATGGACTGTAGAGGAGTATGCAGCACAAGGGCCGAGGCAAGCTCCAGTAGCAGCAGTCTGTAGGATGACGCTGATGAGAGGGTTTTGATTTTAGGGAGAAAAGGGGGTGGGGGAGCAAAACAATCATGAGGCATTATTTTTTGAACTCCTTTTTTTATGTTGGTTTTCCCTTGCGCCTGATTTGTGAAGTTTGAGACGTAGACTTAGCACTTACTCATGTCCATTTCAAATGCTGGGTGCCCTTGGATGAGCGTGCATTGACCACTCGGGGTTTGCGGGGAAGACGCGACAACCGACAACCCCCATTTGCAGGAACGCGCCGAGTTATTCATGGCGGTCTCTGTACCTTTTGCACTCGGCCCAATACAGGCAGTTTGAATGCGCATATATTCCAAAAACACCGAGCTATTGTCCATTTTCCCTGGTAACATTTCGTCTCCACACACGACGTCTCTGCCCGCCAAAAGCCCACGATAAACAGCCCCGCTCCATACCTGCACGCAGATACACGCATACCTACCAAGCGAGCACACATTGCGCACACAGCCAAAACCAACCAAAGACTTTGCTGTAGAAAAGAAAGAAGAGGAGGAAGAAGAGGAAGAAGAAGAAGAAGAAGAAGAAGAAGAATGGCCTCCTCGGAACCCCACGACACACACTTTTCTGCCTCCCAAGTAGCAGCAGCAGCAGACGACGACGACGAAAGCCTCACGCCGCTTGAACAAGAAGTCCTAGATGAATATGCACGATTACTCGAGAACCTGAATACAGTATGTCTCTTGCCTCCCTTTCCCCCCCCACCGCTCTAGCTTTTATCCATGTATCCACAAACACATACATATATAACATGCATATATACACGTTCCAGACAAGACAGGCAAGACAGACCATGTACATATGAAAAAAAAACGCGAAATTCTGACACGCGCTTTTTCCAAACAGATGTCCTCGCTGCTGCTCGCTCTCTCGGATAAACCCAGCGCCGCTATCCTCGACGGCCTGCGTGGCCTCGAGCGCAAAACGTCGCTTGTGTTTACGCTGCTCAAGGCGAGCGTGTATAGTATTGTGTTGAATCAGCAGATTGATACGGATCAGGATGGGGGTGTGGGAGGAGAGGCTGATGCGGATGATGGGGAGGGGTATTGAGAAGGAATTGGGGGATACACGTAGGAAAAAGGGAAGAGAAGGAATTGGAGTGGGAGTGGGAGTGGGACTTGTGTAGAGAGATATGATACCCCAGAGTAAGTCACCAATGCTCAATGGCAATGACACATGAATATTTACGTGTCCATGAAATTAAGACACCAAAAAAGACTTGGAATAAATGCTGCAAGGATGCATGGTATGATGCATAGTTGACCAACACGTATGACACGCTTCTCGCCGCCCACGCTACATGCTACATGCTACATGCATATGATACATTTCCTTCGATTCATGACTCAACTCTATCATACAAGAAGAAGCCGTCTGTTTTTCTCGTCTTGATCTAGTGCACCGAGCCTCCATAGTAGACCTTGCGTACATCGACCAGCTTCTTGCCGCGCGCGCGGGCAATTTCATCAGGCAGCTTCTGGCTCGTGAGGGCTTCCCACGTAGCCTTGATGACGTTCATTTTGTTTCTTGAGCGCGGCGTCTTGGCAGAGAGGTCTTGCAGGCCGGCGGCACGGGCGAGCTCGAAGATGAGGTGTTGGACGCGGAGTCCGAAGCCTGGGTTGTTTTGTGGAGTGTTAGTGGGAATTGTTCATTCATACGTGTAATGTATGTATGTATGTATATATGTATGTATGCAAGTGTGAGTAGACGAGACTCTACAAAACTGGAAGTGGGGGTATTGCGGTATGCGGCTTACCTGGAGGTCGAGAGAAAAGCTGCACCTTTGTCGCGCCAACCTTCTTCTCCAAGTCGCCAAATGTTGTCCTGTTCTCGTATCGCGGAACAGGCCTCATATTCCGGATTGCACTCATGACGCTTTGTTTTCGGCCTTCGTCGGGTTCGACAGACTTGCCCTCTCCAACGCCCAGGAGGCCGTTTTGGTTGCCCGCAATGGTTAGGTAGTATAGACTCCTAATCTTGCCCATGCGCGTTTGGTTGGTAACGCCGTGGACCACCAGTGTCTTGACTTTGATACCGCGCAACTTCTCCTTGTTCCAGCCCAGATATTGCAAAAGACGTTTCTGCCGGGGGTCTTCCTGCTCTTCCGTAGCAAGCCGGCGCGTCTGCCGTGCCATGCGGTTCTCTAACCTGGGTAGATCCGGTGCAATGACCGAGTAACGCTCGTCGCCCAAGGCCTGGAGTGCCGCAGGATTGTTCGAGGTATATGTCGCGCGCGGATCGAGCGTGGCCTGGGTAATTGCTGCCTGCATGGCACCCGGTAGCCCTTCATCATCATCTGGTATACCGTCTGGAAACATCTTTGCCAGATTCTCTGATGCGATGCGGGATATATTCTCATCGCGCTCCACCTCGTTGGCAACTCGAAAAGTTTTGGGCCCTTCAATGTTGTCGCTCGTCAGTTTCTCCGGCCGGTCCGTGACCGGATCGACTTCTGCAAGGTCGTCCTCGTAGTTTAGGCGCCAAAAGTCTGTCCGTCGCTGACCTTGGGTAAGAACATCTCGGGCATCGATTGTAGATTCGGCGGCTTGGATGGCGGCGATTTGCGAGGGCGTATATTTTTTCTCGAGGAGCGCCGTCTCCGAGGTATCGTACTTGGGGTATTCTGCCTCGGCGGCTTGGTTGAGAAGCTTGAGTTCGTCTGCCTTTATCGAGGGGTAGTGCGGTCTCTTCTTGCGGGCCTGTCGAGGTGCGGAGGCGTGGAATGTGCGTTGCGGAGGCGGTTTAGGAAGTGTTGTTGAGACTGCCTTTGTGAAAAGACATCTTGCGGGGCGGCAGACGCTCATTGTCGGCCTTGGACCCCAATGCGAGGGCCAATTGAGCGTGGGGGGACGGGAATAGCAGGTGGCCTGCGCGCTTGGTGGTGCTCGAAAGTGAGTTTCGGAAAGTTCACAGGTGACTAAGCGGGATGCAGTAAATGTTGCAGCCAATCAGCTCTCAGCGCACCTCAGTGACTAACGTAACTTTTCTCGACTGCGAGATTCAATGCATGTACTCCCGAATTCTCACTCGACCACTTCGGACTCTGCTGGCGAGGAGCCGATATTCTCAGATTGCCAAATACAGCATGGCTTCCTCCGCAGACAATGTTGGCCCTATTGAGAGCAATGGCGCAAAAAGACATGCCGAGACGCCTCTGCGCAGCGAGGAAGGCTCACGAGGAAACTACAGATTCAGGAATAAGCGAATGAAGAACGGCCATGCCGAGCAGAGCAAGATACTAAAGACTAACGGCACCAACGAAGAGGTCTTGCTGGAGGATGTCACAGCGCTCATCAAAAACTTCAAGCTAGAAAGAGATGGGAAGGAGACGTCAACCCGGCTCCCTGAAAAGTTCAAAGAGATCACAGTTGAGATCAAGGAAATATCGTCCACCGGAGATGGCCTTGGATTTCAGCAAGGCTCAGACTCGGACCAAGTCTACGTTGTGCCTTTTAGTGCACCAGGCGACGTCGTGACCGCGCGTCCTCACAAGCACTTTGAAAAGGAAAAGTACTCCATGGCCGATTTTGTCGATGTTGTCACGCCGTCGCCTCACCGCGACTCGTCTTTGGTCAAGTGCCCATACTTCTCCAGCTGCTCGGGCTGCCAGTTCCAGATGCTGCCATACGACTTCCAATTACAGCACAAGAAGTCTATTGTCCAGAAGGCCTACAAACACTTTTCCAACCTGCCGCCTGAGCTCATACCCACTATTGGCGACACCATTGGCTCACCTTTGCAATACGGATACCGCACAAAACTTACTCCGCACTTTGACGGCCCACCAGATGCTCGGCGAAGCGATGGCCGAAACGGTATCAAACGCACGTTCAAAGAAGTACCACCCATCGGCTTCATGAAGAAAGGAACCAGAAACACCATTGATATAGAAGACTGTCCCATCGGCACCGACGCCGTTCGTGCAGGCAACAAGCGTGAACGCAGACGCGTCGTCGATACCATCGACAAGTACCACAAAGGCGCGACGCTCCTCCTCCGAGAAAGCACGACCCGGATACCCAAATCAGAATACGACGTGACCAAAGAAGAAGACCAAGACGCCGTCATCGAAGACCGAGGCGACCACATCCACCGCAAGATCTGCGTGACAGACCCCAATGCAAAGTCGACCGAATACGTCGACGACTTCCAGTTCGTCAACCCCGCGGGGTCCTTCTTCCAAAACAACAACAGCATTCTCCCCGTCTTCACCCAGTACATCCGCGAGCACATTCTCCCCTCGACCCCCGGCCACAAAATCACGCACCTCATCGACGCCTACTCCGGCTCCGGACTCTTCACTATTACTCTCTCTAGCCTATTCAAGACTTCGCTGGGAATCGACATTTCCTCGTCAAGCATAGAGTCTGCAACCACGAATGCGCGTCTGAACAATCTCCCCGAAAGCTCGGCGCGATTTATTGCTGCTGATGCTGCGCGCCTCTTTGCGTCTATCAAGTCCCCCGCCGACGAAACAGTCGTCATGATTGATCCGCCGCGCAAAGGCTGCGATGAGTCTTTTCTGCGCCAGCTGGTGCAGTATGGTCCTGCCAGAGTCGTTTACGTGAGCTGCAATGTGCATACGCAAGCTAGGGATGTTGGCGTCTTGGTCGGTGGCATGACGGGCGTAGATGGCGGATTTGGAAAGGGCCAGGGTTGCTACGAGATTGAGAGTCTGAGGGGCTTTGACTTTTTCCCTCAGACGGGGCATGTGGAGGGTGTTGCTGTGCTGGCGAGGAAGACAGCAACGGGTGAAAAGGCTGATGGGTCACAGAACGGTGAGGTGATGATGGACTAGTTGAGAAAAGTGAAACCTTGCATGACCAAAGGGTCAGTATACCCAGCTTGTCTACCTGTGTATTCAACTGAATCTGGGGTTTGACGACAATTTAGCTTGGCACGGTCATCACTTATCACGGTCAGAACAGTGCTCGTAATCTTGTCATTCTCGATAGCTTTGCAGTTATATCGTGCTCGCTAACTAAGGTATCGCAACATCTACAAGTGCTTCCCATTTGCATGTTCAGCCTCTTAAGTGCTTCCTGGCCCGCCGAGCAGGGCGAACCTTCGAACAATGCTGGGGCCGATTTCATCGTATTCTGCCTTCGTGTGGCAGTAGCTCTTGAATTCGGGTGTCTGACCGAGCAAACTGCCTCCGAACCAAGGACCATGTCTTTGTCTCTTGTGGGTAATGACCTGTACATCCAAACCACCACTCTTTGCGCCTCCACTTCGCGCCTCTGAAGCCTTGATTCTGGCATCCACCATATGTCTAATGTCGCGCTGCAGGCGGCGGCCAAAGTCTTTGTAGAGCGTCGAACCGCCAGACAGCACAATGTTCTTGTACAACCCTCTGCGTACATCAATGGGGGAGGACTGGATGACGGTATCGACAATCGTGGGTAGCGGGGTCAGGAAATCGGACGAGTAGATCTCGGGGTTGAAAAAGATTTCTGGTGCGAGGAAGCGCTCGTAGCCGACATCGACGGTCGTGGTCTTGCCGTTGGGGTAGTTGACGGTGTACTTCTTGAATCGGTCGTCTGATTCGCGGTCGAAGCGAGCAAACTCCTTTACGATATCGGGACAGACATAACAAAATTCCTCCTTGATGCGCTCAGCAGTCTGGAGGGACGAGTCGGGCTCGCCGCGTTCTCGGAGGAGCGATTGAACAAAGTTGGTGATGTCGCGACCGGCAATGGGGACGCTCTTGATGGAGGAGCCAATGACGTAGCCCTCAGCAACTGGGATGACGTGCGTAACACCAGCACCAGAGTCAATGACAGTGCCAGTGAGGGATCTATCCTGCACCTTGGAGCTTGTCCATGACGCGGCCAGTGCAAGCACAGCTTGCACGGCAATGTAGAGACCGGCGACGTTGAACGACTCGAACATGATCTCGGCGGTGGCTTCACGGTTCTCCGGGGGGTTCAGTGGCTGTGGAAAATCAGCATTTGTGTTCCTTCAATTGGGCATGACTGCGTACTGGTTCCGTGAGCAGAAAGTGGTGGTCCTCGGGCTCCACTCGTAGGTACTTGAATATCGAATTGGACCAGAAACGCTCCATGAGATCCTGCAGACCGTCAATATTTGGGCAGCTCCTTCTTCACCTATTGCCGTACCCAGTTGTCTATCTGGCCATGTCTGATGGGGTAATTGATGCCATAGCCCGCACCTCCTGCTGCGGCCAGAGCTTCATCACCAATGAAGAAGTCCAGATCTTCTGTGCCACGCTTTCCAGACAGATGTCCGCCAGGCCCAGCCCCGCCAGTCAGGAACGAAGGTTTGTTTGCGACGGCTGGGCGTCCAGAGCCTGAGCCGCCCGTACCGCCGGTTGGGCCCTTGGTAGCTATCGCGGTAGGGAAGACGAAGGACGGGGAGTCGTTGCCGGCGAAACCTGGGATCGGATGTTATTAAGAGCTGAAGGGCCTGAGATCAATGTCTAGCATACCGAGCTTCGAGTATCCCGTACCGCTGCAGGCCAACGTCAGTACTCAATGGGCATAGAGGTGCCAACAGGCAGCTGGGAGCTTACTTGTCCATGACAACGGCGGGGGTTTGCGACGCCATGTTGACTGCTGCTGCTTGCTGCAAAAACAAATATGCGAAGCAGCTCAGGTGATCGCGGGTAACGAGGAAAAGCGAAGATCAGGTGTGGAGGTGGCTTCGTCAGAGTGGTGATGGCGGAGGTCGGTGTCGGTGCATGTGGGCTGTCGTCGAATCAGGCGTCGCCCCGCTCCGCCCTTGGCAGCGGAAATCGAATGAGATGGCGGGGGGACGCTAATCGTTGATTGTTGGCATTGCCAGCCCAAACACACTCGCTCCTTCCCTTTCACCTGTCGTGCCTGCCGCATCTGGGTGAAAACGTGTCTCACATAGTAATGTCTATGCCAAGCACATGGCCTGCGTCCGCCCACGGGAAGGAGACATCGCCAGCACCACTCTCACAATACTGCTAACTTCTCCCTTACTGATCTGGATCCCTGCAGCGCTCACCCAGCATCTCTCCCACTCTCATTTCTCACCAAGCCACAGCACCAGTCTCCTCTACACCGGCTCCATCCCCTCATTGATTTCTTATTCTTCCTGTTTTCCTCTCTCCCTCAGTCACCCTGCGCCGCTCCCATCCGTATCCATTTCACCACGATCCTAAAGCCGTTTCCTCTCCAATGTCCGCCTGAAGACTGTCCTTACTGACGGCTCGCGATACTCTGAAGCCTCTGCACCCACTTACCTCAGACACGTGCCGACATTGAACGCTGTTTGCACAGTTCCACTTCCGACCTCGGCCAAGCCTCACCGGAGACAATCTAGCAATACACTGGATACATTCGCCCCTCATCTTCGACACCTACGCCGGCGTTTTTCAATACACAAAGGCATGTCGGTTCCTATTTCTCAGTATGCGTCCGTGGATGGAGTGTACCAAGTCGATGTGCCCACGCGCAAGGCCACGCGTAGTCCGCCCAACGATGACATATGTTGCATTTTTGTCCATGCTGGGGCAGGGTACCATAGTCACCAGAATGAAAGAATACACCTTGAAGCGTGCAACGAGTATGTACTCACCAGCAATTTTGCGTGTGGTATTGTGGATAATTGCTGATATTCTTTAGTGCCGCACAAGTTGCCATGTTCATGCTCAAAAACGGAGGCTCTGCACTTGACGCCGTAGAGATTGCTATCAAGACCCTCGAAGACCGGGAGATTACCAATGCTGGTTATGGAAGCAACCTTGCCATGGATGGTGTTGTGGAATGTGATGCCTCAATCATAGATCATTATGGGCGCAGTGGAGCTGTTGGAGCTGTGGCTCGTAAGTTGCTCGTGGCACAGGTACAACGCCCTGTACTGACAATTCTTGGTAGAAGTCAAGAATCCCATATCCCTGGCACGCATGGTTCACAGCCACACAATGGACCCGCTTACGCTGCGCCGAGTCCCCCCAAATCTTCTGGTTTCTCAAGGTGCTACGGACTTTGCCATCGATATGGGCATGCCAATTCTGCCCCATGATGCGCTCATCTCACCAGCAGCCAAAGAGCGTTGGATGCGGTGGCGCTCCGACCTGAAATCCGCCGAGTATAAATCTCGAAAGAGCGGAGCGCATCCGTCCTGCTGGAAAATAAAAGACAATGCAGAACTGGGCGAGCAGCTATCGCGGGAACGGATACGCGAACAGCATACGCAAAATCTACTGGCAGCCTGTGTATCATCACAGTCTCAGTCACCTCCGCCCTCTGATGATATGATATATGATCAAGATGAGAGCAGCCGATCTGGTCCCTCACTACCCCTCTCAGAGCAGTCTTCAAACTCTTGGGCCAGCGATGATCAGGCAGCCACCTCAGAAGCATCTGCACAGTCATCGTTGGCTGCCAACCCCTCTCGCAATGCTTTTATCAACAGCACACAAACGGTGCCTACCCTGGACCAACTCGGAGATAATAACAGACGTCCCAGTGTAATCAACGACAGAATTATGGAGAGCGTTCCGCACGGAGCAATGCACTCGGCCTCTCCACGCAAGACTTGGGCTGATGGTTCCGGCGAGGACTCTGGATCTACCTCCAGCGCACAGACAGAAAAGGCCCACTCTCCAAGAGAATCTCGTGAAGAAGCAGCGAAACATAGTCTGCTAGAGTCTATAGATAATCAGAATTCGGATACAAAACCACGGTCGATGCCTCTTGACTCAACACCGCAACAAACCGAAGAAGATAATATTACCGATACTGTTGGAGCTATTGCAATAGACAGCTGGGGTAACATAGCTTGCGGTGCTTCTTCTGGAGGCATTGGTATGAAGTACCGGGGGCGAGTTGGCCCTGCCGCTCTTGTCGGAGTGGGCGCTGCAGTCATTCCTGTTGATCCAAAAGACCCCGATCAGACAAGCGTAGCGACAGTTACCAGTGGAACTGGTGAGCACATGGCGACAACGATGGCTGCCACCGTATGTGCCGAGCGACTTTTTCAGAGCGTGAAAAAGGGTCGTGGTGGAGAGTTTGTTGAGGTTACGGAAGACGAAGCTTTAAAAGCCATGATTGAAAATGAGTTCATGGGTGAGTAGCCTCTTAGGTCACTACTCAAAACTTACTAACCTACCTCAGGTCATCCGAGTGTCAAACACAGTAACTCTGCTGGCGCTATCGGTATCTTAGGTGTGAAGAAGATGCGTGCCGGCGTATTGCTGTATTATGGACATAATACCGACTCCTTTGCCATGGCTTCCATGTCTTCAGAGGACGAACGGCCCGCCTGTTCCATGTCACGCAACAACGGCAGCGGTCAGATCGCCCAGGGTGGTCGTATGATGTCCGCAAGACGCAACAAGAAGCCAAAGTCATCATCCCGCCGATGATCATGATTATCCTGCGGGATATACCCTATCTCATATATCCTTTCAGCCACTCTGCTTCATGCGTTTGACGGTTCGACAATCCATATCCGATTAAGCTTATAGCCTTCCTTTTCTGTACAAGTATGAATGCTGCAGTTATCTCACGGCAGTCCTATACCCATGCATGGAGGGAGTCTCTTTTCTTGTTTCTTCTAGACGGCGAAGATCTCAAAACTACATCTTTAACCTATGGAATGCAGTCACCGTTTCGGGGACTCGGCGACGCTGTTGAATCTGACCCGAACCTCAAGGAAGTACCGAAATAATAAAATTGTCACCATGATCTGGACCCTGCTCACCTGCCGTCATATCCCTTTACACTTGTATCTCCACTCCCTTCCAACTGCCCACTAGCAACTCCCAGGCTCTGCTTGAATGCACCGGTAATTCCAATCTGATCCGTCAAGATACTTATCATATCAAAACCTCTTTCGGCGTAGCGTCTTGCATCTTCTCCCGAATTGCAGTACATGGCGACTTTCTTGCCTTCAGCATGGGCTGCCTGTTTGATCTTTTCAATTGCATCTTCAAGTTCGGGTGCCATCTTTGCAGTCAGAATTGGGTGTCCAATATTGTTTCCCAGATCAAAAGGACCAATGAGCAAGCAATCTACACCAGGCAGTGCAGCAATTTCGCGGACGTGTTCCAGAGCTGGCGCGGTTTCTATCTGGACAATCGTCAAGAGAGTGCTGTTGTAGTGATGTATTAGTCTCATTTCCTCAAGACAATGTCTTTTGCATTCTGTGGTTTACTGACGAATTGGCATGTTGCAGGTAATACGTCATGGACTCGTTATTGAAGCATTGGGTGGGCAGCGGAGAGCCAAAGCCACGGGATCCTTGAGGCGGGAATTTTGCCGAAGAAACGAGTTTTTTGGCATCTTCAACCGAGTAGATGAGCGGGACGACGACGCCGTGGGCGCCGCAATCCAGAGCTCCTAGATGGTGTGAGATTTCCTGTTCAAGCCTCACAATCGCACTTGGCCGTGTTTGTTCAGGGAGTTGACGTACGCTTCACCATCCACGGTTCGTTCGCGGCTATTCGCACAATGGGACTCACGCCCGCAAGTGCAATGGCAGTGACGGCTTCGTGCATCTGGCTGTCGTTGATGTTGCCGTGCTCTGTGTCAACGCAGATCCAGTCCACGCCGGAGCGAGCAATGGCTCGCGCAAGGTTGGTCCCAGGTAGCATCTGCGGTGTATCAGCCGTGTCACAATACCCAATGCATGCATCTCCAGCGGTACCAACCTGCCATCCTCCGAACGACGGACCGCCCTTCTGGAACGCCTTGTATATGCGGCTTGCTTCCTGAAGCGTGTTCATGTTTCTTGCTGAAAACGGCACTCTGCTAGTATACCGATTGTGCGTCTCGGAGAAGAAAAACGCGTTCGGGGAATGCTTTTTGAGCGCCCGTGATACGGTGGTGTGGCGTAGAGAACGTAGCATCATCGTGCTGCTTTTGTATGTTCGGGAGGGGTAGTACCGTGTCGGAGGGCTTTACCCCACAGTCCGCCCCGCTAATCCTACCGCTGTGCGGCAAACGTCATGCGTAAGCTGCGAAGGGTGCGGGTGGAAACCTTGCTGGATGGAAATCTGTGGACAGCGGAAGGTAAAATGTTGGGTTTGATGTATGAACAGGCGGAATGCAGACTGAGGCAATCGTATCCACTGTTGTCTTATTTGTATCGACACACTGTTGGGCAATGAATGACAGGCGTATCTGCAAGTCATAGATTATACGACTTGGATTTTATCAGTCAAAGTCAGTTTCCGATGTTTTGTTAGCATCTTTTGGTTGTTATTGGAAGAAACTGAAGATCTTCTTAGATGTTAAACGCATCATGTAAGTGACCACACTGCTTAGCAAATGGAAGAAAAATGAATGGTATGATGGAATGAAGTTTGAAATATACTCTTATATTCCTAGCTATGTAGATGTTCTCAGCCGACTAGTACTGGCGATAAGAGATTGCTGAAGACTGGCAATTACGAGACGTGCCAGCCCCGAGGAAGTGCAATGCGGCGCCTACCCACCAGCTGAGCTGTGGGATTGGCAGTCTCAAGCGCCTAGGTAACAGCGATTACATTAAGCGACAGCCTTGATCAAGAATTGGGCGTTGACTTCCTTGGAAGGCTTGTAGCAGATGAGACCTGATCCAGACTCTTTGGCGTTCCCGGCAACGTTGAGCTGCTTATCGCCGCTCACATGGTTGATGCTGCAGAGCCATATCAGCATGTGTTGGAGTATTTGGGCGGCTATGCTACTTACTAGAAGGCTCCGTTGCCGGTATGGGCAAGCTTCCAGCGGACAGAAGCGTCCATGGGCCCGCGAAGCTGAGTCGTGACTGGTTTACCGTCGCCTACCATGTTCACGTCAGCTTGCATTATCCTTACTCTGGTTTATTATTTCAAGTGCTTGTTACCGTTGCAAGTCAAGTAGAGGCCCGAGTTGACAGCAATGATGAGATACTCGCGGTCGCCCTTCTCAGTCCTGGCATCGAGGTCTCCAGCGTCGGCAATCATAAACTGGTGGTTCTCGGCAGTGGGGGATCGCTTGCTTTGAGGCGTTAACAAATGAGTGGTGAAGAACCAGGCACACTGGGCCTAATGTGGTGAGAGGGGTTCTGTACTAAAGCTTGATTGCGATTCCCTCCTTCTTGTTGTTGCCCCAGACGTCGAGGCTCATGTCATTCGCATGGTAGGGAACGATTCCGTAGATTCCGGGGCCGGTGTAGTCAGACATCTTGAATGCTGTTGCTGCAGAGATGGGTGGTTGTGTAAAGAAGTGGAAGTGATGGAGTCTTGTGAATGATGAGCAAGCTTGAGTGCAGTGTTTGATCTTGAGAAGGCAGATTCAAAGGGTTCATATATATTTCCGAGGAATTGCGTTAGCTAGTTCATCTGCATGATCAAGTTTCCAGTTGTTAGGTATGCCTTTTTCTGGTCTTTTCTGTATTCGCGCTTGAATGCCCCAGCGGGCTGTCTCTTGGAGCCATTGCACACACGAATGTAACTTGGGTATACAGTGTATACGTATGCAAAGTACGCATGCATCTAAGGCGATTCAATTGATCAGCACTTTTGAAGCTGCATGGGGCAAATGGGGATATCTCATCCTGTTTTACAATTGCCCCCGTGGTGGACTTGGCAGGCCATTTCAAACATTACTTGGGCTTGCATTCATCTAAGACATGTCTCATCAGACAATGTCAATAATCTATATGTTCTTCCAAGATGTAAATTTGATTCCTATTGTTTTACTGTCAATGACTCGAGGAAGCCATGCAGTAATGCTTGGTATCATCATGCGGGGTCGGGCCGAACCTTCTTCTGTTTGCTTTTCCCGTCACCGATCAGCCGTGTATACATCCATGTAACTTGCTCATCCCAGACCACAATCTCCTTTGCCTGGATACTGTGAACTCAATCACAAGGTACCCCGGAAACTGGGCATATAGTATCATGTTATCGATGTGAGGAAAATGGTGCTGCATGAAGTAGTCTCTTAAATCTTGGATGGACTGTACGTTCCCAAGTAAATGAAGCCTTGCGGCTGACTTCGGGAGTTGACAGGCTACGTACTAACTCCACTGTTTGCCACTACTAATGTAGCTTACTGCAGCTAGTGCAGAAGCCACACTCAGGGCTTCCGTATAGCCAGTCAATTCATGTACATTTATATTGCTATTCCAAACCAGGAGACCGGTCATAGACCAAGAAACATGTAAAGGCGGTCACTTAGGTAAGTGGATGCGAATCTATTAGACTAGTGTATTACTTGCGCATGTTATACCTTCTCTGTCTGATATAGCAGCACAGTCAGTAGCATTTGGAGAGTGTATTGCCCATCGATATATATGGGTTTCTCTCGATATTCTAGAATTGACAGTCACATATGGTTCAGTTGCGGCAAAGAACAGCCAGCATTGAACCAAATAGTGGTAGAAATGAGGAACTTGCTTCTTTCAATTACTTCCGCAAGTAAGCCACACTCTCCTCAACATGCATGGGTATTACAGCGTGGCGCAGGCGGAGATAATGTCGTGTAACAGCAGTAGTTCTCTCACCACAGAATATACGTCAATATAACATCATCCGGGTGTGGTGCCGACTGGTATGTCACGCATTACCGGTGACACGACAGCTCTGCAAACGCCGGCTCTTGCTTTTTTTCTCCTGCATATCCAACCCGAGTCTTGATGTAGGTGGATCTGGAGTATATGCACGCTAGCAGACCTAGCGCCGGACAGACCGTCTTCGGGAGGGCGGGGAAGTATCTAAGCCTGCTGCCCTACACTGTGTCCCTTTTGCTGTTTCTAAACGGCTTCCGTCGCTTTTCCATCTGACTGGGACTGCATTGGAATTTCTATGTATTCTAGCCCATCCCGCCTGACTACATGCTTTTTTTTTTACATTCCCTCTCTTCGCCCTTCAGGTATTGGATTCTGTGCTGACTTTGTATTTTTGCAACACTAACGTTTCGAATAACAACTACGTGGGGAAAAAAAAGCAAAACACTTCAATGCCATATCCTGTTTCTTGCCTGTTTTTGTTGAAGCCACGTTGAAATTGTGCATTGTATGAGCTGACACAATAAAACCTATAATTCTCCACGGGGTCTAAAAACAATAACATCATATTCTGGCTGCAAAATCTACACATCACACTTCAAAATCATATCCAGAAACCGTGGTATATCACCAGTGAAGTTCCTCTGTCTGTGGGAATACATCAGACAGGTTGTGATTAGGTAAAAACCAGAACGTGTGTGTGTGTGTGTGCGAAACCTCAAAGCTAAACGTCAGCAAAACGCCACGCCACCACAAAAGTCACCAAGTACATACACCCTAGATTCACAGACCGGTTAGCCATCTCACCGCCTCGCTTACGCAACTCTTTGTGCGGGCAAGAAGCCGTATGTAGTTGGTGACGTTATTGCCCAGCCATCAAAAAAACAACCACTAAGTAAGTACGGATGCAATCGGATCATGCGTTTTCTCATCCGGAGACCCGATTGTATCCGAGCAGTGGTAAACAGGGGAATGGGGGCTCGTGAGCCAGAGACAAGGGCTTATGTATTTCGGTATAATGGCTAGTTACTAGCGTGCGTGATGAGAGGAGGAGGAGGAGGTGCTTCGGACTAACTAGAAGGAGTTGTAATATGAGTGGAATGTCATCAAACAAGCAAGCAAGTAATGTTTCCCCGGTAATCATATACAAATCACCACATATATTCCCCTCCTCTTCCCCCTTTTGTACCGCTGCACTTGTGCTTATTCATCCCACTCACTCACTCACTCACTCACTCACTCATTCGCCATGGCCCTCGCATGTATAGGTATCTGCCATGTAAAATCTACATCCACCTGTCACGTGTATACTTGCATTACCACACCAAGCCGCATTGCACTGATATGTACATCCACCCACCCACCCACCTATAAACAACTAGCAATAATATCCACGAAACCATCTTAACTAAACCCATCACTCCCCCATAATATCCAAGTCTCAGAAACGCCCTCTGATTCCGTATTCCGAATTTCAATTACCCCGTTGTACGCAAACTCCATATCCGTTGCTTCTAGAAAAAAAAGAAAACCTCACGTGCACTTCACACTTGTCATGTTGGAGCATCTGATTTGCATACCTGCTTACCGCTTACCCTTGCTTTGTACGAACATGACGTTGGACCTCAGGGGAGGGGCGGTTTTTACGTACTCCTTTCTTTCTTAAATGTCTTATTAATATCACGTACACACACACAGATCCTGGCATGGCTTTGGGGGCCGGTCATGGTTTACGTGGTGGGAAGGGGGGGATCGATAGGACATGTTTAGGGGAACATGTTTGAGGAACTGGAACTTGGGTAAGTTGTGGTCTTTTGGCAGGGTCCAATGTGTAGCACTTTAGCATGTTTGGACAGTGGTGCGTAGCATGCATTTGATTGCTATATCCCATGTACTCAAACGATTGGTGCTGGACACGGCATTGCGGGTAATATGTAGATGAAGTCTCACACAAACTCCGCTTTGCACACTGGGTAGCTAGTTTGGCATTGGATACATGATTGGTTTCCCGGGTGAGTACCCAACCTGACATTTGCATTGCCGCATCCAACTACCGGCAGTGGAGCGCTTTTGGACCGCCATGTTGGGTGCTGCATCTCGCAGCGTGAAACGCACTGCGCCTCACCGGATTGCAGCCGAAGTCATGGTTCGGTAATAAGTAATCGAGATTGGCCAGCAGAAGCGGAAAGAGGAAGAATCGACACAGGATTCCGGTAATGTGGTCTTTGGAGAGAGGGAGTGCCACCCTAGGCATACATGTAGCCGAGAAGAGCCAGAGTTTGGAGTAGACCTAGCTCGAAAAGGCATGTCCAGAGGCCTGATATGTAGTAAGAGCGGAATACAGCGGGAGGCACAGTAAGCCACATGGCGACAAGAAAATGGCCGTTAGTGCTGACTTGTACTACGTAGAGGTCGGTATCCGAAGAGAGGCCCCCCATCCGGCCTGGGCACACGCGACAAGTGTAAGTATACTTGATGATGATGCCACCATGGACGCTTGGCTGTTGATGGTGGCGGTGCTGCTTTAAGTCTGTTCAGCTTCGTCCATGAGCTTCATTACGTCTTCCTCTTTGAAGCGATGCATCAGCTTGAGAGATGACGCTGTGGTTTCTGAGGCACCGGCCTCGTCGATGTGGATCTAATGCAACATTCAGGTACTCTGCAAGGCACACATATATATATCGGCTGCTCGAGGTAGTCAAGGTCGGCTACTTACCACTGGGGTATCGAACTCATACAGCTTCTTCCACTTGTCTTGGCCGGGGTCCATGACGTTGATTTCGTGGAAATCGAGCGGCCGCTTTGCCTTGACGTTGTGCACCACTGCTTTGGCCGTGTCGCAGAGCCCGCATGGCGTTCGCGTGAACAAGGTGATGCGGCAGGCGAGTAGGCGAGGCGTGGCGCGCAACATGGCGGGCGGTGGGCTGCGGAGACGAACGAACCAAGCGAGAACCGAGAAAGCAATCCAGCAACAATGCGCCCTTGTCGGAACACTTACACACTTACACACACACACAGCGATATGAAGAGCCCAAGTCCCAAGGCGTTGGTCGCGCTCTGGTGAATACGAAGAACGGCGGCAGCCAAAAAAGCAAGCTGAGCGCTTGGACCCCTTGCCTATGACATGATGGCTACCCGCCGTCGCAATGTTCCAGAATATTCCGACCTGGCTAAAGGAACATCTGCGCAAACAACCAGCAACGACCGTTCAAGAAGCGCAGTTCTCGAATCGCGACTCAATCGTGCGCACATTAATAATTTAATACCAAATCTACGGGAATATGGCCAAAAAGTGCGTCCACAAGGGCTGCGGCAAGACGTACGAGGACGACCAGGAAGAGTGCATCTACCACCCGGGCCCGCCAGTCTTCCACGAGGGGCAGAAAGGTAAGGAGGTCAGCGAAAAACAGCATGAGGATCCATTTGGAATTGAAGCAAAAAAATAAATGCTAAGTGCAGTGATGCAGGCTGGAAATGCTGTAAACCCCGCGTCCTGACATTTGACGAGTTCCTCGCAATCGAGCCGTGTACACAGGGCACGCATTCCGAGGTGGACGATACGCCTGCGCCCGAGCCCGTCGAGACGCCCGATGTGCCCAATGGCACAGAGGTCAACCTGGGGTCGCTGGACGAGTCGCTGCCGCCGCCCGCGCCCCGCGTCCCGACTGCACAAGCTGCCGCACCCAAGCCAGCGGGCTCGCCTGCGCCGCCGCCAGAATCCGAGGACGACGACGCGAGCATAGCGCTCAAGGAGGGCATGACGTGCAGGCGGAAGGGATGCGGCGCCCTGTACAAGGGAGGCGACAGGCAGGGCGAGAGCTGTGTATATCATGCGGGGGCGCCCATATTCCACGAGGGCAGCAAGGGCTGGAGTTGTTGTAAGAGGCGGGTGCTGGAGTTTGACCAGTTTATGAATATCGAGGGCTGCAAGACAAAAGACAGGCATCTGTTTGTCGGCAGTGGCAAGAAGAAGGAGGGCGAGGAGAAGCTGGAGACTGTTCGGTAAGTTGTTTGCTGTATCTGTGATTTCAGCGTGCTGACAATGGACCAGACACGACTTTTACCAAACAGCCACGTCGGTGGTCGCATCTCTTTACCTCAAGAAGATTGACAAGGCGACGGCAACGGTGGATTTCCAGTCTACGTGTGTGAAGCTCGATCTGCCCACAAGCGATAGCAAGCGGTACCAGACCGAGTTCCCCTTGTTCGCGGCCATCAAGCCCGAAGAGAGCAAGTTTCGGATTCTCGGCACCAAGCTCGAAATGACGCTTGTCAAGGCCGACGGGGCTAGCTGGCCCGTCTTGAGGAGCGACGACAAGCCGACAGGCGAGATGATACAGGTTGGCCGGGCTGGAAGGGCATAAGAAGTATCCAGTTGGGCACTGCGCGCAACGAGGGCACAATGGCTGCATGCATAGAATATAGCTACTGCAAAACGAAGTTACGATGTTTCTCTGATGTCCCCTCCATCTCACCTTCATACGCTCTCCCTATGCCATTGTCGTGGTAGTAATAGTGACCAAAGCATGCTTACTAATCATGACGTGTTTCGGCGTTTGCGCAATCCGAGTCGGACATGGTATCACGGGTGGTTAGTAATGTACATACTCTAACCCCACAGCGAAATTAACCGTATAAACACTGCAGCGCTGGAATTGATTGCTGAGCAGAAGAACAATCCAGCTGTAGTCACTTTGTTAATTTTGCCACCATTGCATTTTACATTCACCCACAGACGGCCATGACATCACGACTCATCACCATTGTCGCGGGCGTGGGCGGCGGCACTGGCGCCTCGATTGCGCGCAAGTTCTCTGCCAAATACCCCGTTGTGCTGCTGGCGCGCAAGCCCGAAAACTACGAGAGCATTGCGGCCGACATCAATGCGAGCGGCGGCAAGGCCATTGGCATCAGCGCCGACGTGTCTGACGCGGCGAGTCTGCAGCGGGCCGTCGAGGCCATCAAGCAGGAGTTCGGAGCCGATGTGGGCGCGGCCGCGGCCATTTTCAATGCGTCTGGGGGATTTATGCGCAAGCCGTTTCTCGACGTGTCGCCAGACGTGTTCCAGAGCAGTCTGAATGTCAGTGCCATGGGGGGCATTCTCTTCAGTCAGTCGGTGCTGCCGCTGCTGCTCAAGGGCGTGGAGCTCAAGTCGGAACACCCGCCGTCGCTCATCTTCACGGGCGCAACGGCGTCGGTCAAGAGCAGTGCGCAGATGTCGTCGTTCTCGACGGGCAAGTGGGCGCTGCGGGCGCTCAGCCAGAGCCTGGCACGCGAGTTTGGGCCTCAGGGAGTCCATGTTGCGCATGCGGTGATTGATGGAGTCATTGATACGCCGAGGACCAAGGAGTGGTTGAAGGACATGCCTGCCGAGGCCAAGTTGAGCGCTGATGGGGTACGTTTGTTTTCGTTTCTTTTGTTCTTGTTGGCTGCGTCCAAGGGATACAGGTGAGAAAGCAGCACACGTGCTAATGTGGTGCAGATTGCAAATGATTACTGGTGGTTGCACACGCAGCCCAAGACAAACTTTACGTGGGAGATTGATCTCCGACCGGCGGTTGAGAAGTGGTAAGATCGGTGTAGGACGGTAGGACGGGGCTGTGATTTGCTGGCAGTGAGAGAGGGGGGAAGGCAAAAAGGACGCCAAGTAGGTGTTGAAAAGGTTGTGGGTGGTGAGAATGTAGTCTTGTCCATGGTTGTCCTCTTTGGTGTTTTGTTGCATAGGTGCATGCCAAGCTTGATGTGACTTCAGAGGTGCAGGTGAAGTCGAGGTGGCATGGGCGGCCACGAGACAGCGCTGGCACATGTGAGTGGCCCGATGCGGGCATTGTCAACCCGCGCAGGGCTTCCTCTCTCGACACGAAGGACTGTTTTTCCATGCCTGTCAGATTATCGCGGGCCCGATTATGCGACTAAACGGCCATGGTGGACTGGGTTGACGGGCGGACATGGGGCCAAGGGCATGGTGTGTATACAAGCCGGCCATGGAGCGCCTGGCGCGGGATGGCCGTGTCGCGGCAAACACGTGAGCTTCACCGTATGTCGCATGCCATCCAGGGCGGCCATGGAGCGATAATAACGCAATTAACGCCTCTTGGCCCATGGCCGGGGCTGGCGCTGGGTTGCGCGGTTGGCGAGCGGAAGCACTTGTGGGTTCCCCCCATGGGCAGCAAGGCGCAGATTGGGCATGTTGCAGCAACGGGCGGCGCAGCATGTGCGTCTAGGCCGTCAGGCTGAGGTAGCACAGACATGCGCATGCACGACATGCTCGCTACACGGCGGCGAGAGGCTCCACGTCCGATTCGATCCAGCGCTGTCAGGCGGCGGTTGGGGGGGAGGAGGGGGAGCGATATGCGCAGTCGGCTGCATGGGGAAGAGATGGACGGGCCCACGTGTCAGCGGGCGGCGGGCATGGATGCGACAGCGCACGCCGTGGTTGTCGCGAGCATCTGGCAGCGGAGCATGGCGAGCGACGGGGGAAAAAGAGGATGCGCGGAGAGGGGGATGGCGATGGCGATGGCGATGGCGATGGGGGGAGGGGAGGGGGAGGGGGGAGGGGGGACAGGAGACGGCGGCCGTTGGCCCATCCATGACGCAGCAGCGGGCATGACCAGCATAACGTCGTCTTACGGCAGCGCGGCAGACTCCAAGCCGCGACGGATAGCTCTATCGGATCCAGGCCGCCATCCATCGCTTAAATACATAATCGTACGCAGGCGCAATGGCGAGCTGCAAGGACCAGCGCCAAGTTGCCCTCGTCCCGTCCAGAGGGGGCAGGTCGCAAGGTGAATAACCGTGAGCCTGAGCCCGCTCCACAGCGTCTGGATATCGTACCCTCGCCCCGACGGCCGGCCAGGAAGACGACGACGACGACAAGCAGCCCCCAACAGGCATCCTGCCCAGCACAGCCAGGCCAGCACAGGACAGAACACCTCCACAGCCCCCTTCCTCCTCTCGCCCTGTCGCGCTTCTGCCTCTGCCTCTGCCGCTCGATCGCATCTTTCCATACGTCCGTACGTCCACACATACTTACTTGGGCCTTTATCGGCAGCTGAGCCCGCCGCCGTCGCCGCCGCCGCCGCCGCCCCCCCCCCATCTTGCCGGCCCGCCCTCCACCATCGCCCGGCAACAGCGTAGCGAGCACGACGTCGACAACAACATCAACATCAACAACGTCAACGCCAGCGCCAACATCGACATCATCGGCCCCCGTCGACTGCCCAGCGCGTCTCCGTGCAGCCAGCGTCCCTCCCCCCGACCTCCCCCCCAAGGCCCTGTGCGCGTCCATCCTGCCCGTCGCCCATCGCAGCCTGGCCCCGACGACAATCGCCAAAATTCGCACGCCACCAGAGCTGGCTGCCGTCGCGCATTCTCCCATGCCTGGTGAGAATGCACCGCGGCTAACTGCAGTGCCCGTCTACGCACAACACCAACAACCACTCCACCCGCCGCCCTCTTCTCCACCCGTCCCCCAGCACCAGCACCAGCACCAGCACCAGCACCAGCAGCTCTCTCCCCTAACCCAGCTGTCGCCCTCCACCGTCAAGGCCTCCCCCCAGCAGACTCCAGGCCCCCTTGATGCAGGCAGCGGTAGTGCCGAACCCTCCGCGAAAAGAGGCATGCGCTCGCAAATTGCCTGTGCCAGATGCCGCCGAAGTAAGACCAAGTGCGAGAATGCCGGCCAGGGCACAACGTGCAAGGCTTGCGCAAACACCAAACGTGACTGCATCTGGGACCATGCCGCTGCCCCAACCGCTTCAGCGCCGCCCCGTCGCGACAGCACCGCCGATTTCGATGTAAGTCATGTGCGCCAGGCCCTCTCTGTTCCTTTTGCACCCCCCCATGCCGCTGCCCCTAGGCCTCCACCAGCCCGCAATCCGGCGCTAGTGCTGACGTCGCCAGGCCCCGCCCAAGAAGCGCCGCAAGCTGTTGGCCACCACGACGACGACAACCACGCCCGGCGGCCAGCGTCCCGTAGACGGGCTCGGCACCTACGAAGATGCCCTCCAGTCGCCCTTGCTCACTGCCCAGGTCTGGGAAGAGCTGGTAAATGCCCACTACTATGCTGCACCCAGATGGTCGCTCACCCTGCCCAGTTTGACATTTATGAGAAGCACTTCTCCATTGATTTTCCCTTCCTGCACAAGAGGACCTTTTTGAGCGCGGTGCAGCAGCTGCAGCCCTTGCCCAACCCCTCGGATGCCAAGCCGCAGCCGCAGCCGCAGCCTCACGCCCAAGCCCACCAGCCCTATCCGCCTCTGCTGCTTGCCTTTCTCACCCACACTGCCCGCTTCCATGAAAAACTCGTGCTGCAGACGGGCAATGATCCCATCAGGACGGCTGAATTCTATGCCCAGGCCACGCGCACCCAGATGGGCGCCGAGATCTTCGGAACCCCGACCCTGGAGAAGATCCAAACCCTCCTCATGCTGGGCTACTATGAATGGACCGCGCTGCAGGGTAGGGAGGGCTGGATCAAGATTGGCACCGCCATTCGCTGTGCCATTGTCCTGGGCTACCCCCACCTAGACGTGGATCAAAAGGGCCACCCGGCCCCATTGCGAGAAGGCGAGAGCCGCCTTTCGGAAAAAGACCAGTTTATCCTGCGCGAGACGCAGCGCCGCACCTTTTGGAGCTGCTGCCTCATGGACTCGTATCTCAGCTGGGGAGAAGACAGGCCCCCAATGCTGGGGCCCGAGCACTTCCAAAGAACCCAGCTCGTGTGTAGTGATGGCGCTTTCAACTACGGCCGCAAAGCACGGACAAGACTGCTGGGCGAGGACGATGCGGCCTATGCCAAGCGAAGAGACGAGTGGGATGCGCTTGCCCGGCAGCATCGCAGCGAGCAGAACGGCGCCGACCGGGCGTCTCAGTTGGACGGTGGAAAGTGGGAAATTGGCGAGCACGAGGCCGAACTGACGTGGTACATCAAAGTCGTCATTGTCTTTGGTGAAGTCGTTCGGTGGTCGTGCAACAGCGGGCGGCGGTATGTCATGCATGGCACATCGAGTCATTGAACCACGTGACTAACGAGCACTAGGCAAGAGGGTAAGAATGCGCCATGGCACTCGACGACAACCTTCAAGAAACTCGAAGACAAGCTCAAGCAATTGAAGCGCGACTTGCCCGACCACCTCCAGCTGACGGCCGAGAACACCGAAGACCGCATCTACAACAACCCGGGCAAGTATGTTTCGATACACGCCATGTACACGTTGTGTTTTGTTTGGTTATACAGAGAATACATGCCCACATCACCATGGACTCTGACGCATCCCCGAGGCCCTCTGGACGAGCCGCTCATTGACGAACCTCCCCCCGACCCGGACTACTGGATCAACCAGGCCAGGAACTGTGCAAGGGCCTGCAGCGACTTTACCCAACTGCTCCATACAATCGGGACCACTCGAGTCCACAGCGACTCGGTGCAGACGCCCATGGTAGCATTTGCTTGCTTTGCTGTTGGCATATGCAGTAAGTCTTCGATCAACTCGAATAGCGCCTACTAATAATTGCAGCAATCTACTGCCATTACTTCCCCAACATGGACCCTGACAACATGCTGTCATCTCGCTTAGACCCCAGAGCCCACGATATTGCCAACAGCTTCCTGTTCCGCATTCTAAAACGCTTCAAGATGGCTCGCTCATGGCTCTGTGAGCTAGCTGAATGGCAACGGTATTACCGGCGCGAGAAGAAAAAGTACAGAGAATGCGGTGGTTCCGTCAGCGATTCGCCAACGAGCAACAACAGCGATGGTGTCAGCAGCGGCGGGCTGAAAGACTACGCAGAGCTCTTTGAACGAATGCACAAGCAATTTGGCAAGACGGTCGATGACTACAGCAATTGGTCGACGAGGGACATCGACTTGGCCGACACCAGATTGTCGCACGATGAAGACTCGGCGGAGCGCACTCTTCCACACGCGCCCGCTGCCATCAAGCCTGAAAAGGAAGGTGCATGTGACGACGCACCAACCCATCAAGACCCGATCCCATCGGCCTTTACACCTGTGAATGGCAACGGCATCCGGACGCCGCCCATGACGCAAACTCCGACTTATGGGCCCCAAACGAACTCTCACATTTATCACCAGGACTCTACACCCCAATACCGAGCACATACCTCGCAGCCCAATGCTACGTATCCGTACAGCAACGGTTCCGTCGCCTCGACCAATATGCCAACTGGGAGAGGTTCTTTCGAAGCTGGCCAAAACCACTTTACACACGCTACTCCTCTACCCATTGATGCTACTACATACACGGGCTGGCCTATAGCAGGACCAGTCAATATGCATGCAGCGAGAGCAGCCATAGAGGCAGGGGGCGCACAAACTTTCAATAACTCTACCGCCTTTGGAACACTGATTCTAGGCGACGCAGCGCTCTACGACGTGACGCCCAACTGGACCATGGGCGTCGAGGTATCTAATTACGACAGCAACACTACCAACGCAACTTATTATCAGCCAGGTGGCACCGTTCCCACCTACCAGTATCAGCAGTCTTGAGCTGCACCGAGACGAGTCTCATATTGGATGCCTACGCGCATACCCCGGGATAGACGACCGCTTTGAATACGTGACGATGTGTCACAACGAATGCTTCGGCATATATACCACAAGTCCTTTTAATGTACATAATCTTTTTTCTTTGCGCGGCCGGCGCATGTTGCTGTGGTTTGGTTCCAAGCATTGTATCGCTGTTTGGTGCATATCGGGATGGAGATGCACATGCGGAGTACATTTTTTTTCCCTATTTCTTCACTGTCTCTATCGCATCGAGAATTCGGGGTTGGAACTGTTGTTTTTCTTGGACGGCGCATTGTCGAACTCTGGACGGGGTTCATCGCATCTGGCAGCAAGGGTACATGGAAGCGATATTCTTACCTTCAAGCTCACCTGACTACGCTCAGAGCGCTTGGACTCGGCGGTACATGATCAGCCAATATGAGGCTGGCAATGCTCTCTCCCTCTTCGCTTTTTGCGTAATGAATGCATGCAATGAGCTCGACTGCGGTCGAGTTACTTTACCTCGGTATTCGCCCCGGCCCCTCGTAACCCCGCGGATGCCTTACCCAAAGCAGGCCGGCGTCATGTCATTTTGTCCCCTCGCTCGCCGCCTCCCCACTGCTCCACAATTAAGCAAAAGACAAGCATTAACCCCAGCGCTAAACCCCCACTGATCATCACGACTCTCTCCCGCATGGGCAACGGGCTAAGGCGCGCAACGACCGGATATACTGGGATCCCTCCTGGCCCCGACACCCCGCCTGCGTCATTCCAGTACGACGTATGCATGTACCTTGCCGTGTGCCGCAATATTGGTGGAAATGTATACCTAGATTTGCCGTTTTGGCTGGTACCGCGACGTTCCTTGCTGGCTTGCTTGTTTTGGTCTCCACCAAACCCGCAACACGGGAACCGGTTGAATTCCGCTTCTCTCACTCGCTCCTCCTCAACACTAACGATGGATTCCTCGGCGAGTATTGACGCGTGAGGAAGGAGGGGAAGGCGGCGTAGCTTGCGCTAATCACAATGCTACTATTGCTTGACAGGAACGACTAGGAATGTATATATGTAGACGCCACCTCGGGTTCATACTGGTCGTGGGTAAAAGGCCCGATGCAAGAGCGTGGTTATATCACTGCTCGTGTAACCATCTTCCTCACAAGGGTCTCTCTCTCCCTCTGGTTACAGCTCTCTAGCTTCAGCATCTGATTTCAAGTCAAGATGACAAAGGGCTTTTCGAGGCTTGGTGGCGCCGTTGCGCTGGGTTGGCTTGCTGCCGAGGGTGCGGCGAGGGCTGTAGGATATACGCCCAAGGATTTTATCAAGCCGTATAAGAGAGAGGCGTTGCAGGATATTGTAAGTTTTGCGGGAATCGAGGTGGAAGAGGAGTGGAAACTGATGTGTTTTTCTAGGTGACCTGGGACGAACACTCGCTCTTTGTCAATGGCGAACGCATCTTCTTGTATTCGGGTGAAGTCCATCCGTACAGACTGCCCGTCCCGGATCTCCACCTTGATATCTTCCAGAAGATCAAGGCACTCGGATATAACGGCGTTTCCTTCTATGTCGACTGGGCTTTGCTTGAAGGCAAGCCTGGCGTCTATCGCGAGGAGGGCGTCTTCGATCTCCAGCCTTTTTTCGACGCTGCCAAGGAGGCTGGAATTTATCTGATTGCTAGACCTGGGCCTTATATCAATGCCGAGGTGTCTGGCGGTGGCTTTCCTGGATGGCTTCAGCGTGTCAATGGCATGCTGAGGACTCGTGCTCCGGATTACCTGGCTTCAACCGACAAGTACATCTACCTTTGAATATGTGAATCATCAATACTGACAGCATCCAGCTACATGAAGAACATTGGCGCTACAATTGCCAAAGCCCAAATCACAAACGGAGGCCCTATCATCTTGGTCCAGCCAGAGAATGAATACACGCAGGCCACCAGTGCCATTCAGCCATTTCCTGATCCGGTCTACATGACCTATGTTGAAGACCAAATCCGCAACGCCAGCATCGTTGTGCCCCTCATCAGTAACGATGCGTCTGCCAAGGGAAACAATGCCCCTGGTAAGCCCGCTGCTGTTGACATCTACGGTCACGATGGCTACCCTCTTGGTTTCGACTGCGCGAATCCCACCAGATGGCCTGATGGCAATCTACCCACCAACTGGCGCCAGTTGCATGAGCAGCAGAGTCCTACTACACCCTACTCGATTGTAGAGTTCCAATCTGGTAGTTTTGACCCAGTATGTACCGACATTCAGTTACTGAAATCACGCCTAACAAATTTTAGTGGGGCGGCCCAGGCTTCGACAAATGCGGCATTCTGGTGAACGCAGAGTTCAACCGTGTTTTCTACAAGCAGCTTTATAGCTTTGGTGTTACGATTTTGAACTTGTACATGACATTCGGAGGTACCAACTGGGGTAACCTGGGCCACCCCGGTGGTTACACATCCTACGACTATGCCGCGCCCATCGCCGAGGACCGTCAGGTCGACCGCGAAAAGTATTCTGAGCTAAAGCTGCAAGCCAGCTTTCTGAAAGCCAGCCCGACATATCTGACTGCCTCGCGTGGCTCAGCGTCGACGTCTACATGGACTACGACGAGCGACCTCAGCGTTACGCCTGCGCATGGCAACAAGACCAACTTTTACTTTTTGAGGCACGCAAAGTACAACTCGCTTGCGTCGACGAGCTACAGACTACACATTTCGACCTCGGCTTTTGGAAACATCACCGTGCCACAGATGAGCGGGACGTCGCTTACGCTCAACGGACGCGATGCCAAGGTCCATGTTAGCGACTATGATATTGGTGGCACCAACATTGCCTACTCGACTGCTGAGATTTTCACCTGGCACAAGTACGACGGCAAGACTGTGGTTTTTGTTTATGGCGGAAACGGAGAAACGCATGAGCTTTCAATCGAGGCTACCGGGCTCGAGGTTCTCGAAGGCGATGTACAGAGCGTGGCTACCCGTGGCCACACGCTCCTCAGCTTCAAGGCTGATGCTACGAGAAAGGTTGCCAAGTTGGGAACTGACAGTCCCGTCTATGTGTACATGCTCGGTAAGTGGTTGAAAGGACTTGAGGAGGTGCATGCTAATGATATTTGAAGACCGCGACGAAGCGTACAAATACTGGTCCATTGACCAAGCACCTCATGACTCTTCAAGCCCCGTCATTCTCAAGGCCGGCTACCTCATGCGTACAGCCAAGGTCTCTGGTGACACCCTCGCCCTAACTGGAGATGTGAATGCCACGACGCCCATCGAAATCATTGGTGGCGCGCCGTCTGGTCTCTCTAAATTGACTTTCAACGGCAAGGATATCAGTTTCGAGAAATCCAAGGCTGATACCCTGACCGCAACTGTCGATTTCCCCAAGCCCGACCTCAATCTCCCTGAGCTAGGCAAACTCTCATGGAAGTACATCGACTCGCTTCCTGAGATCCAGCCGGGATACGACGACAGCAAGTGGACCATTGCCAACCTGAACAAGACATACAACTCGCTCCGCGCCCTGACAACGCCCGTCTCGCTCTACAGCTCCGACTATGGTTTCCACACAGGCACGCTTCTCTACCGCGGCACCTTTACCGCCACCGGCTCCGAGACGACATTCGAGCTCTCGACCCAAGGCGGCTCCGCATTCGGTTCTTCAGCATGGATCGGCACCCACTTCCTGGGCTCGTGGCGCGGCTACGACGCCGCCATGAACTGCAACTCGACCTTCACGCTCCCCAACCTCACCAAAGGCCAGAAATACACAATCACCATCGTCATCGACAACCAAGGCCTCGACGAAAACTGGACCATCGGCACAGAAACAATGAAGAACCCGCGCGGCATCCTCAACTACAAGCTCGCGGGCCACGCCGCCGCAGACATAGCCTGGAAGCTCACTGGAAACCTTGGCGGCGAGGACTACCGCGATATTTCACGCGGACCCCTCAACGAAGGCGGCTTGTACGTCGAGCGCCAGGGCCTGCATCTCCCCGGCGGTCTCGCCGCCCCAGACGCTAAATGGCAGGATACCGCTGGACCTGTTGCCGCGGGTCTCTCCGCCCCTGGCATCGGCTTCTTCGCTACGGAATTCAAACTCGATATCCCAGCCGGCTACGACGTGCCTCTTAGTTTCAGCTTCACCAATACCACCACCACCTCTACCTCTACCTCTACCTCTACTACTACTGCTGTTGCTGCTGGATCCAGCGTCCCGGCTTTCAGGGCACAGCTCTACATCAACGGCTGGCAGTACGGCAAGTACGTCAACAATGTGGGTCCTCAGACTAAATTCCCCGTTCCCCAGGGTATTCTGAATTACAGCGGTACCAATTATCTGGGTGTTTCGCTGTGGGGACTGGATGCCGGCGCGACTAAGATGGCGGGCTTGGAGTTGCAGGTTGATGCGCAGATTTGGAGTGGCATGGCTAAGGTGGAGACGGTTGTTGGAGAGGAGTGGAAGAGGAGGGAGGCGGCGTATTGACATGGGAGTGTTTGTTGAGCCTGTGTGTATTGGGATTCCTTGTACGTGGTCTAGTCATGTCATGTGCAATGTATCTATAAGTGAATGAATGAATGAATCAAACAAACAAACAAACAAACGCCTTGTGTGATTCGTAAATGAGCTCGTGTCGTCGTACCGCAAAGTCTAGATATATAATACAGTCTACTTGGATTCGCGGGAAAAGCAACAGGGATAATACAGTCTACTCATGGATTGAAAAGGAGGCAAGGGAGAACGCCAACACAACGGCCAACGCCGACCCCCCCCCCACAGGATTTTTCTACTTGCCCTCCGGCGCCTTGACATTCAGACTGGGATACTCAGGCACCACCCACCTATGCAGCTGGGTCGAAGGCAGAAACCCCGCGAGCGCACCAACCAGGCCCTGCAAGTTGAGCGCGGAAACCAACCAGAGCAGCTGATACAAGATGCAGAGACCCAGTGTCGACTGCGGGAACAGCGCGGCGCCACCGTTAAGCCAAGTGGGTAATTTCTGCGCTTCGTCGACAGGCTCGCGGATTGTCTCTTCGTACGCACTGAGCGCGGCATTGATGTCGTTGGGGCGCCGCGATAACTCGTCTGCGAGGACGTAGGCGCCGATGAGCGCGAGCGTGGTGCCTTTGCCCGTGAACGACGAGGGACAGTATCCTGCGTCGCCCAGCAGCACCACGCGGCCCGTATACAGCGTGTTGTGCGGCATCTTGACCTGCGCGATTTCCGTGGCGTAAAAGTCGTTTGCATGCGCGAGACCAGCTGTGTAGCGTTTGGACTCGCTGCCAGCGTTGGCGTAGGCTTGGGTCCATGCAGCCTTCTGCTCCGGGATAGAGAGTTTATGTGAGGCCTTGAGTAAAGGGGTTCGGGCGGCGTTTTTCAGTTGGAACCGGAAGACTTGGGTTGCGGGTCTGTTGCCCGTGCGGGTTAGAACCATGCGGTTCTCAGGCCCGATGTAGATGCGCGCGAGGCTGGTTTCGCGGGGGACCCGGGGCACGTCGAAGAAGGCGGCGTTGATGTTGAGTGAGGTGAAGGCCTGGCGGCTGGTTGCTTCGCCAAAGGCGAGGCGCCGCGTGCGCGAGCCCTGGCCGTCTGCTGCGACGACAAGGTCGTATGTGTGTGTCTGGCCGGACGACAGCGTCACGGTAGCAGATGTACTTGTGTTTTGCGTGAGTGCCGTGATGCTCGTGCCAAACAGGTACGTCAAGCTGCCCCTTTTAGGGCCGTTTGAATCCAGGGTTTCCCGCTCTTTCACACTGTTCTTGTACATCATGTGGACAAAGTCGCCGCGCATAAACTCGAATTCGTTTGTGATTTGGAAGGCTTTTTGCTGGGCGCCGGCTTTTCGGATGCCTGTTCGAATGAGACTGTTGCCTTTGGAGTCGACTAGCTCCATGCCGTCTTCTTGCACACAGAGGTCACGCAGCTCGTCGGTGAGTCCAAGGCGTTGCATGATGGGGACGCCTTGGTCTTTGAGGTCAATCTGCTGGCCACCGGTGCAGAGCGACTCCCAACGCTCTATGACGGTGATGTGGTGCGAGGGATTGGAGCGTTGTAGGAGGAGAGCAAGAGTAGGCCCAGCCACGCCTGCACCTACTATGAGGATGTTGAGGGGGTTTGCAGAAGTTGATGGAGAAGTGGCCATGCTGGACCTGCTTGGACGGTGGAGTATAAAGTTGAAAGTGTGATTAATGTGTATGAAATGCTGCGATGATGAGATGAAGACTTGGCGATGGTTTTACAATAAAAGCCATGGTCGTCCTGCCTTGTATTCGCAGTTGTGTATACACTCCCATAGTACTGCATACTGCTGCCATACTGCTGCCATACTCGGTCTGTTGAAGCGGGCGACATGTCCGACATGTCGGACATGGCATCTCCGATCGCACCCCCGAAGTCCGGATACTTGAGCTTTCAGGCGTCCTGCTTGCGGACATAATCCAAGCTGTGTCATGTTCGACTGCTAGTCCGATGCTAGGCTGCGCCGGACTGGTGCCATTGCAGCGCTGGCTTTCTGGTGCGAGGTCTGTAGACAGAGAGGCCTCTCGAGGCCTTCAGTTTCGTGGAAAGAATGCTAGCAATTGATACAGAATCACATGGTCGGCGTGGCTTTGCTTTTGGAATAGGCGTGGTGGTGGTTGGAAGAAGAAGCATGTGGAGTGGATGCGAGGCTGCGTCGGACGTCAGGGTCCGCCGAGGAAAACCAACGCTTGTCGCTTCACCATCACCACCCAAGCCAGCTTTCATCCACCCCACGTGCCCACGTCGCCCGTTTCCGCCCGTGTACAACAAACGACGGGTCCAGGCCACCGAAACCACAATCTTCCGGCAGTCTTCCCCATACGCGCCCCTACAGAAGCACGAGTGTCGGATAGCCCCGCGAAACCTCACAATGGCCATCTTCGGGACGGCGCTGAATGGCGTCGGCGCGCTGTTGCTTACACATGCGTAAGTCACACAATTGCCCTGCAATTGCCGAGTCAAGGACGGATTGAATTGGAATTGCGGCTGTTTCGCATATCTCTACTGACGCCTCCAAGTGTCTACTCGGCGCACGAACACACAGCCACCTTTGCAACCTCGCCCCTCCCGCTCGACATCACCCTGGAGCTCCTCACATCAATCCTCCTGCTCTCGCTCGGCATCGTCGTTTCCTTTGCACCGCTCAAGCCGATATATTGCGCGCAATGGGCGGGCCAGATCTCGCGAGAAGGGAGGCACAGCGAGGGGCAGTACACCAACGAGGGCGAAGAGGTGTTGAGCGAGGGCGACCCGTATGCGTTTCTGGGCCTCGACGGGGGCATTGGCGGGAAGAGCGAGGGAAGAAAGGGCTTCTGGGACGTCAAGGGCAAGAGGAAGGAATTTGAAACTTGGATGAGGGAGGGTGGGAAGCAATAGGACCGCAACAGCATGTACGGTCATAGTACGTATTGCGCGTTTTTATGGGCTGTCACGAAATATCACAGCATTGCATTCTCAGCACGGCAGCAGTGGGGATGGTCGAGCCAGCAACAGACGTCTGAATAAACATGTCGATTACAGCCCTGAGCGCTTTTTTACAGCAAATGCTGCTTGTCCCAATTTGAAAAGGAAAGAAAAATACCCCAGACGCCATGCTTAAACGCGCCAAACCAAGCAAGTCGTATCAATCTGTTCACGTGAATGCCTTCAGCAAGTCCCGCCCTCTTACGCCCTCTTACGCCTCGCTCGTCATCTGCTCCACCTTGTTCCCTCCACACGCATTCATCCTGCAGGCCCAGCACTGGGCGGCCTTGATGTCGTCTCCAAGGCCAGCCACATCGGCGCTCTTCCGCCTGGGGCCGTCGACATCGCCATTGATGTCCATGCCGCTAACCCACCAGATGCTTGCGGCAATCAACTTGGCTACCACCTCGACCTCTTGCTCGTCCCGGGGCGCATACACCAGCACAAACTCGCGAGGCACAAACTTCCTGCACCAGCCGCCTCTGGCCAGCGGATGGCGCTCGCCCCAGCCCTTGGCAATCATCAGGTTGGCGTCTGCGGGGTGCAGCGTCATATGCATGGAGCCGTCGCTGGGGTGCGCGTGACAGACTTCGCCTCCGCACGTCCTGGTAATGGGCACGCTGGTGAAGAGGCCCGAGCTATGCTTCTCAAAGCAGCTCGTTCGCTCGGCCAGCCTGTTCCGGGGCTCGCTGGCCAGCGCCTTGATTCTCTGCACGAGGCTGGCGTAGATGGCGGCGCTGCTGATCTGCGTCTGCTGGCGCTGCGGCGCAATGCCGCGGATCACGGGCCTCGTGCCTGGACGCGGCGACAGCGCATCGTCGGTCAGATAGCCTGTTTGCGGGCGGAAGTGTGGTGGAATGGCGAGCGGGCGAAGCGGGTCTCGCAGGCAGATGAGAGACAGCAGCTTGATCTTGACATAGCCTAGCGGTGTCGAGGGCGTGCCGCCGGGGCCCAGCGAGATGAAGGCGCAGTAGTCCTTGCGGATGTAGAGAGCTGCCAGGCTGAGGATGCTGAGTGCGACGAGTGTGCTAAGGCCGTCCCATTGGGTTTGCGTGAAGAACATGTTGGAGAGAGATGCATGCACGTCCGGCAAGAGGTGTTGCATGTTACCCATTCTGGCAATGGGTGTGAAAGTGCTCAAGAAGATGGTTTCTCTGGCGCGCGCTCTTTTGCAGGTACCTTTTTGTTTTTTGCTTTTTTTCTGCACAACAGCCCCAAGAATGCAGGCACAATGGAATGACCTTATTTTACTTTGCGTGGTACGACTTTTGTTGTCACACGTGCGGGCCGTGTTTGTGTGTGTGTGTGTGTGTGCAAGGCTGGCCCGCGGAATTTTATACGCTCAGAATGACGTTGAATTGATACCACACAAACGCGGTGAAGCGGTAACAAAAGAAAAGCTATTGATTATTCAAAAACAGAAAAATGGCAAGACCAAAAAGAAGGTCGGCATTTACAAATCTCCAACATGCACGACTTATATATATTGGGACGCACAGCAAATACAAGGGCAAAAAGCATATAAGTAGGGTCCCGGCAACGCTAATTGGGATACGCATACGCATACACAGCTACGCCCAAGAAAACGATAGCCAACCAATCCCGCTTTTCCCCTCGCCTTGGCTTTAGGAGCGCCGCTTAATGCCCGAGTCGTTTGTTTGGGTATGCAGAGCGAAGGGAAGGGAAATATGCTTTGGTCGGAGAGATACCGCTGCAGATCGCAGGCAGTCGGGCCACCGTCCGAGACACCTGACCACGACAGCCAAAGCGCACTACCACTACGCCTTGCCCTGCCAGCCCAGCCTGTTCTAGCGGCCGCATGCCAGACAAAGGCCATTATTGGTCCACAGTAGCGGTGCCGCGTACCGCCAGCATGGTGATAAGTCGCTTGTTTTGGCCGATTATTTGCCCATCTTCGCCCTTGACCCTGTGCCTGCGCTTGATGGACCTGTGTCCAAGGTGGGGGGTGGAGGCGAAACCCATGTCACCGGCATTCTGGGCTGTGGCCCTTTTTCTCTTTCTCCGCACAAGTGGCGGGCCAGTTGGAGAGAGTTGGGTGCTGAGATCAGCTTATCATGGCGAGACGGCTGCATACGGCTCCGGGGGTTGCGAGCGCAGATCCGTGGTGGTAAGAACGTGGATTGTTGCGGTTTTTTTTTCTCTTCAAAGGCCCCCCCCCCTCACCTCCCACAAAGGCCTTTCGTACCTATGCTTTGTGGGGCTTTGGGAAAATGGTTGGGCCGGGGACCGGCGGAATGTATGTAAGACGCGGCCATATACATGGTCCCGCAATAGGGAATGAGATTGCAAGTTAAGTAAGGGTAAAGTAGTGTGTAGTGTAAGGCCAAGGGGGCCTCCACATGTCTATGGCTGATATTATTATTATTATTATTCTAGTTTAACGTCCTTTTTCAGCCCGAAGGGCTATATAA